GCTTGTGAACAATCTTCTTGCCAACATCAACATCCCACGAATGATCGTCCTGGTAATAATCATTGACCTCGGAGGAGAACTTGCTAGTGATCGGCAGCGAAAATGTGTTCCCAATGTCGACGCCCTCCGGTCCACCGATCAGGTCAACGTCATCGCCGTGTTGGCGCTTGTGAACAATTTTCTTGTTCACATCAACGTCCCACGAGTGGTCATCTTGGTAATAGTCGTTAACTTCCGAAGAGAACTTGCTGGTGATCGGTAGGTCAAAGGTGTTCCCGGTGTCGACACCTCCGGGTCCACCAATCACATCAACGTGCTCGCCATGCTCTCCGTGGTCGCCATCCTGTCGCTTGTGGTGAGGACGCACGATCGTCTTATCATAATCGAGATCCCAAGAGTGGTCATCCTTGTAATAATCATTCACCTCGGAGGAAAACTTGCTGGTGATTGGCATGTCAAAGGTGTTGCCAGTATCAATCCCACTGGGCCCGCCGATCACGTCCACATGTTCCTGTCCTCCACGAGCCTTATGATGGTGGGGCTTAACAACAGTCTTATCCAAATCAATGTCTCGGGAGTGGTCGTCCTGATAGTAGTCATTGACTTCGGACGAGAACTTGCTTGTGATAGGGAGGTCAAACGTGTTGCCGGTATCGACACCACCAGGGCCGCCGATAACATCCACACCCTCGCGCCTGTGGTGGGGACGAACAATCGTGGTATCCTTGTCCAGATCAAAAGAGTGATCGTCAACGTAGGCGTCGTTGACGACAGAAGAGAATTTGCTGGTAATGGGCATGTCAAAGGTGTTCCCGGTGTCGACACCTCCGGGCCCCCCGATCACATTCACATGCTCGTGGCTTCCCCGGGCCTTGTGGTGGTGAGGCTTGACCACAGTCTTGTCCACATCAATATCGCGGGAATGGTCGTCTTGATAGTAGTCGTTGACGGTGGATGAGAACTTGCTGGTTATAGGGATGCTGACGGTGTTCCCGGTGTCAACCCCTCCAGGCCCGCCAATAACGTCCACGTGCTCATGCTCGCCCCTAGCCTTGTGGTGGTGAGGAGAAACCACAGTCTTATCCACAGCAATATCACGCGAGTGGTCATCAACATAGGCATCATTCACAGTCGAAGAAAACTTGCTGGTGATGGGCAAATCAAATGTGTTGCCGACGTCAACTCCCTCAGGCCCACCGATCAGATCCACATCCTCATGATCAGTACGTGCTTTGAAGTGACCAGGTCCGTGGTGCTTGGGGTTCACGATGGTGGTATCTCTGTCAATGTCCCGGGAGTGGTCATCAATATACGCGTCGTTGACTTCGGACGAGAACTTGCTCGTTATCGGCATATCGAAGGTGTTGCCCGTGTCAATACCCTCAGCGCCGCCGATAACGTCGACATGTTCGTGCTCTCCGCGAGCCTTGAAGTGGCTCGGGGGGTGCGACTTGGGTTTCACAATGGTGGTGTCGATATCGATATCACGCGAGTGGTCATCGACATAGGCATCATTGACCGTGGAGGAGAATTTGCTGGTGATGGGCAGAGCAAATGAATTGCCCGTGTCAATACCGCCGGGTCCTCCGATGACGTCGATGTCTTCGTGCTCACCACGAGCATGGTGGTGCTTGGGATGACCGTGAGGCGGCACCACCTCGACGACATCCTTCGCCAGCTCAACGGAGTGGTCATCTTCATAGTACGAGTTTTCGTTGTTCGACTCCGCGTGGACTTGCGGCTTAACGTAAGTCGATCCCTCGGACAGTCCGTCGTTGGATTGGATCACTTCCTCTCTGGCCTTGTGGTGGTGAGGGCGACGGCCATGACCCGGCTCGATGACGGTCTTCTTCGCATCAAGGTCGAAAGAGTGGTCGTCCGAGTGGTAGTCGTTAACCTCACTCCGGAACTTGTTGTCGACCGGCAGCGCGGCGTCACTGCCGCGATCTTCGCCCTGCGAGCCCCCAATGACCGAAGTGGCCCGGGCGACAGCAGCCAGGGCCGCGAGTGGGATTCCTGCCTGGAGTCCCTTCATGCTTGTTGCTGTTGGTGTCAATTATAATCGATGGAGATTTCACGTCAAGGTATAAGAAACAAAATACAATACAACCGAAAGTTGAAAGAGTGACTGGGGGCCAAGGCCGGTTGAGGGAGGGGCGTAGTAAAAAAAAGATTAAGGAATGAATTAAAAAGGATTGGTTGTCGACTATTCACGTACGATCGATTCGATCTGCTTCGAACCAGAAGCTCCTAGGTTTGCGGACCCTGTTGCACCTTTTATCATAGATGGCATTATCCTGGCGCCGGCATGCTGCTTCCCTCTGTGGCAAACAAACAAATACAAGCAGGGTGTTGTTGTCCTTCTGAGAATGCTGTGAAGAATGGGCAGTCCTCAAAACCCAAGCCGGACCATGTGTTCCCAGAAAATTGAGGGTTCTTCCCTCAGTGGTGGTTCGCTGCATTCCTCACGCTGAATGGCGTATAGAGTCAAGGGATCGGTATGGGCGATCTCCACGCCTTGAAGAACATAATAGGTGCGGATATCAAAGATGTTGACCTGGTCCAATGGGAAATCGAACAAAGATTCGCATTGAACAATGGGATTAGCTCCATCTGGACTTGAAAGCGTGATGATAGTTGGAGAACAACTTGTTGTATGGGAAACGGCCAGGTACGAAAGCTGCAGCGATGTGGGGTCCCGTTGCCGGCGCCCGGCATGACTTTCTCCCGCTGCTTCTTTAATTAATCCGGCACTGCCAGCGGCCACCTGAGAACAGTCTGATTCTGCAGACTGAACGATTGGTCTAGACGCAGCTTTTAGCGAGTTTACGGAAGCTGAACAAAATACGCGAGAGAATGGCCATTTTTAAGTGAGTGATATTCAGTACAGTCATTATATACCAAAAGTGATGTATCCCGTCATCGACATTCCCCCCTCATCGCCCTCACTGAAGAGGACACAACGAGAAGCGAACTTCCTATCAGGGAAGATTGTTCTCCAGAGCCGATCAGTCCGTAGACCGAAGGCAACACTCGTCGTGGGAAGATGGACGAGGGTCGTGGCAGGCTCTGTTAGCTTTTTTCGATGTAATGAAGAAAAGAAAAAGTTCAGATAGGGAGCGCCGCCAGCACACGGTATTTATGTGGCCTGTGGATCACGTGCTTGAGCTAGGCATCCGTCCCTCGCTAATCGCCAAGCTGTCAGGCACCCACCCGTTTGGCCCGTATGTTCTGTTTGTATTTGATCTTATCCCGTTGTTACAAGCAACAATCTCGCCCCGCATGCGTCGCCAGCAAAAGACCAGAAGGAGCCACCAAACCCTCATTTATGTACAGGAACTCGGAAGAATCAAAAAAAAGAAGAAATCCCCAACTGAAAAAGCGAAAATGTACATGCAACCCAGTTACTACCCGGCAAATGCTCTCCAGACTCCAAACTCCCATGCAGTTTAGCTATGCTCCGCAGAAATGTGTTGTTTGAGGTGATGACACTGCACATTGTATCACAACCGAGAATGGTAGGTTGAGGTATCGACGGAGAGGGGTTAGGAAACACTGGTCCTATTCGTGTACTGCACTTAGTATCTCGCGCCTCCCATGAAGTCATAGTCTACATACCTCTGTATCCTCAGCCGATTAACTCCTGTCGGTGATCCGACCTCCACACGGCTCCTCCGACAGCGACGGTAATTCCCACCGCGATCGCAATCATGGTTCCCAGGATCACCACGGCGATAATGCCTTTGGCCACGATGCGCTGCTTGCGGCTCAGCCGATTCATGCACCCGCAGTGCCTCTTCGGTTGACCCCAGAGATTCGACGTCGACTCATGACGGCTGCCCGACTCCAGGGCGGATACGTTGAACATGGGCGGGCTCTCGGGGATGACGGGGGAAATGTAGCGCTGGACGGTGGACTGGGGTTTCTCACTTTCCACCTTCAGGCGATCGATGTTCACGGATGGGGTGGCATGGCGATAAAAGGGTGAAGAGGGCTTTGCGCCCACACAGGGGTTGTAGTCTCCTGGCTGGAGATCAGGGGAAGAAGCCGCCGCCGCCAGGTGTGGTGGTGTTTCAGAGTCGGCGGGGAGCTCGACCGCGGCGGGATATTTCTCGGCTTCGCACACACTGTGACCTGTCATTTCGCCAGGGTGATTCGTTCGGTTGGGGTCCCTGGGATGTGGCGTGGAATATCGGATGCTGTTTTTTGGGGAAGCTTGTTTGGGGCAGATTGTAGGTTGCGACTTTGGGGTCAAAGATAGGAGTGCAGGTGTAGGTCATGAAGATCAGGTTTATCGGTGTGGAGCTCCAGGAGCAGCAACCTAATGATAGTACTTGGTCGCAAAGGACAACGTCTGGGCCCAGGATGTCGTAGGCCGTTCAATGCATGATGGAAGGGGGTAATAGCAGTAAGTCAGTGGTGGCTTCCTGAGGCGTGCAGCGGGTTGCAACTGGGGCTCGCCATGGCAAGATCCATCCTGATCTTTTGAGTCTTTTCATCTGCGGGAGCTAACGATGACAGTTGGAGAGCTGCAGACAGCATTCCTATTGTTTTCAGTGGGCTGGCCCTGATCCGGCTACTTTGGGTGGCGGTCTGGAGTCACTGGGGCAATCGGAAGTATTTGCATGCTTCTATTTCGGTCGGGACTGGCCGTGTTCGATACCTTGGCCGTCGTTGTATGATTGTTTGCATTATTCTTTATTTCGATTAGTATGGCTGGATACATTCGACCGTACGCAATTCACTCTCGATACAACTTCGAATTCGATGATGAGGAAGTAAATAGAAAGCCTACTATTGCTTATGGTGGGGGTGGTAAAGGTTCTGGAGGGGAGTAGGTTTCAGAGCGCAAAATATATATCTCCCATAGGATTTCCCGAAGTTCTATACCACAAACATGAACCTATGTACGTGCTCAATCTCTCCTCAAACATCAATTGATGACATGGAAACTCCAGTTCACAGCATGATGCACTCAAATAATATTGGATCTGCTGATTGCTAGAGCATAATTCTACCATGCTGTCAACGTGTGGTAGCAGATATAGTACTGCGCCTGCACCTCCAATCTAAAAATAATGATGCAATACCCGACTTCACTCCCTGCTTGATTACATCTGCACCGAACACAAACAGACCACCCATAGAGCGACTCAAACACTTAGAAACATATATTATATCCAGCAGCATCTCCACCGACGAACAAGCTCACTAACCTACACCAAACTTCATAAGAATTCTCATTCCCGTCGCTTGACCGTAAGCCCACCCATCGTACAAGATAGATAGAGTCTAGACCGTCAACACAAAGCAGGTACTCTCAGCCATCATCGCTGTCAGTCACTAGAATTTAAGAAAGGAACAAAAGCCTACTTCAAGCCACTTATTCCCCATCCCACCGCCTGATGATTTTGGCGAGCCCCATTTCCACACCACCACTTCCTTCCTCAACCCACTCCGCTGGTTGACTAGGATACACCTCAAGACTACCAGCCCAAGTATGTGTATGCTCGCGGAATGTAGAACAATCACCTATGAGCGGAGAAATTGAATTGTTTCCGGCCAGAGGGAGGCCAAAGGGCAGGGTCCCACTGCACCCATAAGTTCATCCCTTGATCCCCCCTCGCAACTATCCCGCCCAGCATTCCTAGCGGCTCAACGATCGAAAGAAAACTTGAATTATGAATCAATGTCTCTCTTACCCTCTCGGCCAATTCCCCGTAAAGCTCCTAAGAGAAGAAATAGAATCAATCAAGTGGTCAGATATTCCCGCAATGGCGTCCTGTAGTCCAGGGAAACCGGGTCCTGATATTCGCTGCCTGAATTACTTTCCAGCCACCTTCCATCAAATATGATGACTTTCCCCCCCCCAAATTCGCCATGTTGGCTGAATCACTTGGGCAATGAGTGTGGAGTTTAATTGGTGCGGATTTAGATGTTCTGTCGACATCTCAGCTTGTCTCGCGTGACCATCTCTTTGTCCAAAGTGAGAGTACGATAGGGCCTAGGCATTATTCCATCATGCAGGAGAAGACCTTTCAGCAGTGACATGGAGCACGCACGGAGTGAGGATACTGCTAGGCACCTCCAAGAAACCAAGGCTGTCTGCGTCGAAGGTCAGTCAATGCACGCCGCGTGGGCCTTCTTGAAAGTATCATCATACTACACTGGCAGTATCAGTATACTACACTTCCCGCTCCCTTCACCAGCCAACAGCACCATCATTCAACAACATCCACAAAGAACCCAACCCGCCCAGATCTAGAAATAAAACCCAAGTAGATCACCAAGCCCCACCCCCCCCCCCAAAAAAAAATTTCAATAACCTCAACCTCAAACCAATCTCGGAACCCATTCCCCTCCCCCAAATCAACTCACCACCAAATCCACTCCGAACTATATACATCCATATCCACCTCACCCGCCCAGAAAAATAATCACAACAACCCAATAACAATATCCCCATACAGCTGCGCATCTAACTCCAACTTGACCTTCGCATGGAGATTCAAATGAATCCGGATCCGGAGACTCTCCTTGCCGTCCTCCTCCTGCGTGGCCCCGGGCGCCTTCATCCCGCTGTTCGGCACTAGCCCCTTGGATGTGGTGTTGGTGGCGGTGGCGGCAGCGGCGGGGGGGTTCGTCGTGAGGCTCTCGGCTGCAGAAGGGGCGGAGGAGTCTAGCTCGTCCTCCGGGTGGTCTTTGCTGGTGCTGTTCTTGCGGCCGCCGGTGGGGCGGCTGTCCGGGAGGCTGTTTTCGGGGTAGGTGGGAGAAGTGGGGTGGTTAGTAATTGTGGTTGTGAAGTCTTAGGAAGATTTGGATGAAGGACAAGCGGTAGAGGAGGAGGGGTTGGAATGGTAACATGTGGAGGAGGAGTGATGGTTTGGGGTTTGGGTGGAGGTGGAAGTGTAGAAGGAGGGAAAGAAGTAGGAGATGAGAGAGAAGGTGATTCGATGGACAAAGATTGTCTCTGATTTGTCTCCTTCTTCCTCTTCTTCTGCTTCTTCGAGTAGTTGGTGGAAGCGTTAGGGTTATAAGAGATACCATCCATTTGAACATGTATTGGGCGGGGTAAAAAGGATAAGAGATAGATTGGATTGAACTGCGTCAAGACCAGCAAGAGATAAGGGCATACCTGGTAATTGACTCGGCCATTTTGACGATATGAGTAGATCCCGGTGCAACTGATTCGGTAGGAGGGGAGAGCAGAGGCAGCGGTGTTGGCGGCTGTAGAGAGCAGACGAGATCAGGCAGGAAGAACTGGGAATAGAAATAAGAAGTGGACGAGGAAGAGCTCGTCTCAGAGGACAGCATGACAGCCTCGAGGGTAGCAGGAGAACATCATTAAACTAGGGACTATAGTACAACCTGACCTCATCGACATTTAATCGCAAGCTGAAGTTACCTTGCGTAGTAGCGATGGAACCATCGCGGCGCTCTGGATGGAGCAGACTCCACCTACCACCTGCAGCGCCAATCAGTCATATTTAACTCACACTTAATCACACCTCGCATTTCAGCCGAAAAACTGCTTACGGTCCTCTCCCGGTGTGAGCACAAGGCAGTCATTGACCTTGTTTCACCTTGTTTAGAATATCTAGCGAATGGTCATACTCTTTCTTCCACATTTTTGGACACAACCAGCACCCCCGCCACCATGGTGATAGGAATTGCAGTAATGGCAGCTCTGCTGCCCACCATGATTGGTCTGAATGAAGCTTCCCAACACACGCGCGAGCATGAAGAAGATCGACGAGCATCAGCCCGCAAGCAGCGCTGCCATCTGATTGCCAGCTGCTCGCTCACCCAAGGGACCCCTAGCCAGCGCGGCGAAATCCAGAACGCAAAGGTATACGTGGATCAAGACGGCCGGGTGAGTCTGCCTGTGCTTTCCTTCCCAACTACTGGCTGTCTGCTTCGGTCTGCCGGACACCGGAGCAATAGACAACCGCCATTCCAACGTCGCAGCAAAGCTAAACATAACAACCTGTTCCATTCGGAACATACAGCTCTACATCACGAAAACCCCGCCGAATACAATGTCTCCATTCAATGGGGGGTTTTATACTCATCCAGATTTCCCGACCGATAATACCTCCGGGCTGGTGACTATTACAGGCGAACAACCACCCACTTTACGGTGGGTGTTTCTCGACGCGCAAACCCACGAAGTGCGCTGGGGTAGTCGACCCGACAGTGAGGGTCACGTCTGTGGTCCCTTTGACTGGACCAAGGATGAACAGCGATTGACGCTGGATGGGTGGGAGGGCTGGCTGGCGGTGCGATTGCCGGACGATGAGGCCGGAACCGGGTTTTGGCGGCTATACTTCGACCTGAACGATGACGGAGCAGACCTGCCAGTTGGAGCGCAGGGATTGGAGATTGTACTAAAGCGGGTAGCGGCGGAAGCTTGAGGGATTGATTGTGCTGTGTTATGAATAGATCATGTAGATGAAGTAGTCTAGAATAGAAAGTGTCAAGATGACGAACTGCGCGGAAGGTGGAACAGTGGAGCGGCTGGTGGAGTGGACAGCAGCAAGATGTTGGATCTGGTGGATCTGCTGGCGGATCGCACAAACCAAAAGCTGCTGCCGCCATGGGAAAGCCCGAGCTGGCAATTTGGACTCCACCCACTTTCACCTGATATCTTGTCAAGCTGCGTTATTTCAAACTCTCTCTGCCTGGTTCTTTTGCCGGATGCGCGTTGGTAAACTAATGCATACCCTCTTTCAGCATGCGAGACTGTCTGTTGGTGCCTCTTTGACCATCTAAGTCAGTCATTCCAGAGCACCAGACCGACTTGCTGTGGGGTCGTCTTGCTTGATCTATTGCCCCGTTCGCATTAGGGGAGTCGCTGTCACAAGGTGGAATGCGAACATGTGCTGCCTCGGACGCTCGGTGGAGTCTGCAGATTTGTATCTCGCTGCATGTCCACTCGCATATTTTCCTCCATCTCCTCTGCTTCCTCCTCATCTCCCCAGAATTCTCGAAGGTCTTCTGCTCGCCAGCTTGTTGCCCACCCCGTCTCCCGCTCGATTCGCGTCAGCGTCTGAATAATAGCGGCGTGCTCGGAATGGTGAGACATCACTTTGCCAGCCAGCCAGAGAGGTTGCAATGCATTGGTCCAGCAGCCGCTAAGTTACTATGGATTAGCACCTCATTAGATTATGACACTGTGGGACTCCATACTGATGAGTGTTCGAGACGGAAATAGCGCAAATCTGTCGTGCATGCCAGAGGACAGACTTCTAGTTCCAATATCAGCGACTGAATAGCTAGGGAAAATCTCCAGCAAGATCCTACCGTTCGACGTCGCTGCATTGGAAGAGTTTTTGGCTTTGCCTGGAGTAAGAGAAGAGCGCAGGCATGATAAAGTTGGTTCCCGGATACTGAGGCGTCAGATAGCGACATATGAGCGCTTGAGAGGCACTTACTAGCAGCTCCATTCCCATAAAGCACGGTCGGAAACGGCTTATCATTATTACTCGCCCCAACTGTCGCGGTCGGGATACTAAATAATGGCTTCATCTGACTGGGACGATTCTCGTACCACTGTTCCACATCATGCAGCAGTTGTTGCCATCGGTCAACATACGAGTGGCCATCTTCCAGGATGCCGTGGTAGTATGTGGAAAGTCTAGCAGAGCCAAACAGCACGCCCAGTGTCTGCGCACATAGGAACACAGTGTAATTGGCATATGTATCGAAAGCATAGATATTTGACGCCAGGAACAGCTGTGCAGCTTCGGCAGGGGTCATGTCGCGTGGAGTCCAGTTACGGATGGGTATGATGGTTTCTTCTTCCGAGATGAGGCCACCGCAGACGTCTGAGATCATATTAGAATATTCGGGATAGATAAAGCAGGTGGGCGGCGTACCCATTCTGGCGAAGCACCAGAATAGTGCCTGTTCCTCTTTACCAGAGAATCCATTTATCTCAGCAGCCTGGATCAGATATGCACACCCATCGAGATGACGCCGCCACTCCTTGGGGTTGCCTGGCGACCACAATCAGCTGTGCCGGGCTTGAGAATGAATAGAACGTACAGCTAAGCATTTCTAACACGCAAAGAATCACGCAAGAGGCGATGACAGGAGTGCTCTTGCTTTCAAGCTCAGGAAGAAGCAGATGAATTGCTTCTTGGTACAACGACAGACTTTCGGATTGAGACTTCCTGTTCTGCTTCCGCTCCATCTGTCGGGCGGACAGGGCTAGAATTGAGTAGCGGAGATGAGGCGCCGACTTGGCCATTTGTGGGAAGGTTGAAGCAAAATGACGATGATTGTCAAACATGTCAAGCTGAAGGGTCAGTATGTACTGACAATTATCACAAGGTTCGTGCCGGACTCACCCAAAGACATATCTCGTTAAGGTAATTCTGCCACAGAACATTCTCACGTTCGGGGAGTAGCTCAAACTCGCGCCCTGTTCTGTGATGAGTGACGACAAGAAGTTCCGTTCTTTCATTGCCTTCTAGCACTGTACTGCCGGGCCCCGGCACGATTTCAGGAGTCCTTCCCCGACTTGGGATATCAGGTCGTGCAGTCCAAAGCTGCCGGTTGCGAAGGGTAGTATGAAGAGCCTCATAAGCAGATCCAGGAACAAAAACATCATTGGTAAAGCTGACTGCATCAGAGAACACGCTCTGGTCAAACATGGGCGAGGGTATCGTATGATAGACGTTGGATGCTGAATGAGGGAATTGCCCGGCGCTCCCCGTAAAATTCTGAACAGCTGCCAATTCATCGACAACAAACTCAGGGCTCGAATGCATATATGAGTGATAATGAGACACATCTGGAGAGCTACGGGATGCGTGCTCCGCCCCTCCGGCAGACTGCTGCAGATCCAGTCTGTCTGGGTTCTGGAAGCTCTCATGCGATAGCGGTGAGAGTCGCTCCGCGGTACGCGGGCTGAGATGGGGTCCGATAATTTGAGTGCTCGGCGAAGGAGACTCCAGCCCGGGGCATGCGTTGGCATTCTCATCATTGGTGCCATCTCCTAACGGTGCTGATGACGCGACACGCTCATCTACTGGTCGTCGAGATTGCTTAACTGCCGCTGTCTTGGCAGATCGCGCCGGAACAACATTCAAGATCTAGATCCGTCAGTTGAATACTTCTTAGTTAACCTACCTGGTCGACTGTAATGTACCTTAAATTTACTCTGACGAGATGCACGACTGGCAGTTTGGTTCATGGAAGGATGCTCGGCTTCGAGGACTTTGAGATTAGCCTCCCGGAAAGACCCCAGTCGACGCCATTCACACGTGTCGCCTCGACGTTTGCAGCCCGAGCAAACAGGCTTTGCTTCGTCGCCTGGAACTGTCAGTTCAATGATCCGGTTGACCTTTGAGCAGCAAGATGGAAGCAGATACTAAGTTACATTTCCTGCGGCGACGGCTGCAGTTGATACAACCGGTACGAGTGCGTTTGCGCGGCGCAAGGCGGGATGTGTCAAGGGTAGCGCGCATGTTGTGGCACAGATCAATTTCTGATTCTATCGCCATTTTCGATTGAAGGAGAAAGAGAAATCCGGAGGATAAGATGGAGATCAAATCAAGGTACGTAGTATTGATGGGGTAACAGCCGAAGGAACGAAGACTGCGGGGAATAACAAGGAGAGAGGAGGAAATTTTCCCGATCGGGTAGAGATAACCGCCGAAGATGTGGGGAAAGGAAGAAGAACCCGGGGGGGTTTCCTGGGGGGACCCGACCGCAACTGCCTGTTTGAGAGGCTCGTCTCCTGGCACCAGGCTTTCAAAACAAAATTGCTTCGTTATCACTGTATATACCGCAGGTACTGTCTATCTGGATATCTCAAGTCTACTTCCAACAAAGCACTGAACTCTGTACACCACCGACGACAGAGACCTGCCCGTCACTCAACATGTTCTATCATTCCTACCTCCTTGTCTCCGATGCGCTCACTGACATCGCCCACTGCGCCCATCGACGGGTGCCAGTGAAGCTGCACCTTCTCTCCCGTGAAAAGCAAATCCACTTGTTCCAGCGTGAGGTTGCGTGTCTCGGGATAGAAGAAGTAAATCAAGGGAAGGAAGCAGAAATTAAACACTGGCGAGCCACCGTTAGCTCGGGTTGATATCCCTCTACCTATCAGGGGGTCATTCTTACCAGCAAAGTAAATATACGTGCGATAGCCGATGCTGTCAATACTGACGGGTGTGATTTCCACGACAAGAAAGGTAAAGATCCCTGCAGATGGCAGTCAGCAAATCTCCTCGAGTCTTGACCTTCACCCATCGTGATACGTACAATTGGTGGCAGTAGCCAATGCAGCAGCGCGGCTTCGGATCGCCAGCGGGGCATATTCAGCGGGCACTGTGCGCGATCGGTCAGTGAACCTTCAGCTCTGGAGGATGTGGGAGCCGACTTACATAGCCACGGAATAGCCAGCAGGCCAACGGCAAAGAAGAAATTGAAGAGGAACAGCATCACGGTGGCTACGATACCGGCCGCATGGCCGCCATCGTACACTGTGCCGGCTAGGATGGCCATGCAGCCGCATTGGCCCGCCGCCGCAAAGAGCATGAGTTTCCGACGACCCAATCTGTGCAAATTAGCAGCTGAGCGGGTGAGCATGAGAGCAAGAACTGTACCTATCAATAGTCCAGACGGGGACAAAGGTAGAGACAAAATAGGCTACCCCGTTGAAGCCCGCCATCAGTAGGGCCAAGTTGTGGCTCATACCAACCGAGTTCTCGAAGATTACCGTGTTGTACTGCGTTCAGTCAGCAAGACAAATTCAATTTAGTTTCAAGGGTAAAGTGTTGGTCTCACATATGTGATCAAATTGACTCCCGACATCTGCTGCATAAATTGCCCCCCCATTCCCAGAAGCGTGCGGTAGAAGAACTTCTGAGGCCCGTTGCTGAAGATCATGCCGAAGGATCCTTCCTGGGATGCTGCCTGTTCCTCTGCAATAGCACGAGAGATCTCTGCTACCTCTGTGGTGACGATGGCGTCAGACTCAGAAATTTGGTCTGCGTTAGGCTGAACAGCCCAGATAATGTGTTGCGCTTCGTCGCGTTGGCCGTGGGAAATAAGCTTTCCTGTGTTAGCTCCCAAGTCCCAAAGCCCCTCGGGACAGCAAAACTCACCCAACGAGGCGACTCAGGCAAGGCAATCACCCCCAGAAGTGTGATGATGGCAAAAAGGATCTGCAGCGCGATGGGGAACCGGAATTGAGCTTCATTGTCGACATAACTCATTCCATAATCTGGGCACTTTTAGTATGTGTGGCGGGGCTGGGAAAGCAGTAGATAGACTAACCAACCCAGTAGGCTGTCATGACACCGAAGATATTGATCGTGAGCTCGATCGCCAGCTATACGAGGTCAGCACCGATCATCGATGTTGTCAGCGAGGTCACATACCCCTTTTCCTCGACTGGATGCTTTGCTCAATTCCGAATGCCACACCGCTACTCCGATCAGCCTGCATCCTAGGGGGACAGTAGTCTGAAGACAGACGTACGGATTGTACTAGTATTGAGACCATTGCCGACGCCGGCCACGATCCGACCCACAATCAACTGCGGGATGCCATACGCACTGCACTGAATCGCCGCTCCGATGCTGAGGATGATGCAACCTGCAATGATACACAACCGACGGCCGATCTTCTCACCCGCGAACAGAGCAATCAGGGCACCTAAGAAGCAGCCCTACTCTATGGTCAATTGGTGTGTCATCAGCTGAATCGAAGTATCGTCAACCTACGATCTCATAGATAGCAACCCTAGCCCCAGTTAGCTCGCTGCACACAACACTTCCACAGATCTGACTTACACCGTGCCCTGCAGTGAAGAACTGCCATGTCCTGCGGAGGTCGTGTCAATCTCCGGGAATGTCCGCGTGAATGCAGTACCGGTCAAAAGACCTGACATAACACCTTGATCATATCCAAATCTAAACCCTCTGGTCAGTCTTGATCCGATAAAGATGGATCAATGCATTGGGTTGACTCACAGAAGGAAACCACTTCCTGCAGTGGCAGTGATAGCCAGCGAAAGTGGCTTACCAGTGAGAACAGTCATGTCTTTCCGTCAAGATGCTTGAATTGCGATTTAGGAACAAGGCTAGCAAACCAGGGCTGGCTCGCATTGACTCCGATCTATTTGGGGCTCCATCTACTTTTATAGGGCTGGGCCGGGGTAGATTTAAAATCGCCGAAAGACGGCAGAAGGACGGGATAATAGGACGTCATTTTCATGGGGTGGTTTTTGCGGGGACGGACACGAGGAACCCGGGGTTGTGTTTTGGGAAGCGGAGAACAACCGAAACCCTCTTTCCAAGGAATTCTAGTCAAACAAGGAACCATAGCTTCCTCCGGGGCTCCATGGCAGGATCCATGTTTATTCATGTTTATTCATGCTCCCAGAAACCACGTTTGCCAGCGGTCCAACAATTTGGTGCCTTTTCATTGTACCATAAATCAAAATAGTGAAAACGTTGGCCTGGTCATTGGAGTCTGCATGCTCATAAGCATTCTCCCGAATGTTGCGCACCTCCATTCTGCACGACATCATCTGATTCATGCCACTCTTCAACCTCCGCTCCATGAATTAGGCTGAGTGGGTTTCTGGCTTAGGGCATCACCAAGTTTGCGCTCGTATATTCCCCAGTTTGGTAAGCTTTGGCGCCTCGGCAGGACCCACAGTGGGATGAGCCGAAGGGAATCGGCAAAGCCACGAGTTCATCATTCCGGGCTTTCCCCTCTAGGAAGGCTTTAGCACCATCCGTCTTAGTAGCCGGTTACCCTTCCGCCCGCGTACTACATACAGCAACTCATCGCAGGCCAGGTCCGGAACAGCGGCGCTATTCCATAGATCAGTGGAGCAGATAGCATAGCAATCGCAGCGCAGCGATGAGAACGGTCCCAGCGCGAAACGCATGCCAGAAACGTTCCAACAGGATGTCTGTCCCACAGCAAGTTTCCTCCCACTTACGTTAAGCATAAGCGCAGTCCACTCACCAACTGCACACCCCTCATATAACCATAATTTCTCCCACGACAATCTTCATTTAAAGTCCCCCTCCCCCATGCTCACCTAACCACCTCGCCTGCACCTAAAGCCCTCTCGCACAAGTTCTCACCATGTCCCCTTCCATCACCGACAACACCACACCCGAGGTCGCCCTCGAGCACACCACCCCCGCCGTCGCCGCCTCTACACAGCCGCCGGTCATCGGGCGCACCAACGACCTCTTCTCGCTCGGCAATCGCACGGTCGCGATCACCGGCGGCGGCCGGGGACTGGGGATTGTGCTGGCCGGAGCCGTCATCGAAGCCGGCGGCGACGTCGTGTGCCTGGATCTTCTCCCCGCGCCCAGCGCCGAAGAATGGGGCTCGGTCCAGAAATTGGCCAGCGCGCGGCGCCTCCACGCATCCTATATCTCGTGCGACATCACCGACGAGGCCTCTACGAGCCAGATCCTCGAGCAGATCGCTGCCGAGGCGTTGGGCCGCGATATGCCCCTGCGGGGACTCATTACCTGCGCCGGGATCCAGCAGATGGTGCCCGCGTTGGAGTACCCCGTTGACATGTGGAGGAAGATGTTGGACGTTAAGTAAAATCTTCCACCACTACCACCACCACCACCACCAAGGCCGCGGTTCTGTGGGAGGATATGATGTGTGAAATCTAACAAGAACCGGTATTCAGCGTGATTGGCACCTTCATCCCCGCCAAGCATTGTGCTCGCATCTTCAAGGAACAGAACACCCCCGCCAGCATTGTGATGATTGCTTCGATGTCTGGGCAGATCGCCAACCGAGTAAGAGATTCCCTTTTTTCCATTCCATCGACTGTGACAGAAGAAAAGCTAACAGTGCGGCCGCACACACAGGGTCTCACCTGCACAGCATACAATTCGTCCAAAGCGGCCGTCCACCAGATGTGTCGCTCTGTAGCACAGGAATGGGGACAATATGGCATTCGCGTTAACACCTTATCCGCTGGGGTAGGTTTGCTCTTATATCCTCATGTGTCCAGCGATGACTGCTAACCATTGATTCAAATGCAGTATATTCGCACCGCCATGACGGATGCCTTGCTCGCAGAGAAGCCGGAGGTGGAGGAGACATGGATGCGGGGTGCGCTGCTGGGCCGCCTGGGCGTGCCCGAGGACTTTAGGGCGCCCACGGTGTACATGCTGGCCGATGGCAGCGGATTTATGACGGGAGCGGACTTGAGGGTAGATGGGGGACATTGTGCTTCGGCTTGATTGCGGGAATTATTTGATAGATGGCGTTCAGGTAGATTGGGGAATGCATTTCGTCTAACTTCATAGGTTGTTTATCCGCGGTGGTCAATCATGGCCGTAGAGCGGCAGAAGCCAGAATTCTAAGGTGTCCACACGTCGAAATCATTGGTCTGACTGTAGGAACTCTCGAATTTCAAGGAAAGCCCTGGGTCCCACGGCCACAGTTCGGTTAAATCGCATGAACAAGGTCGTATTCCAATGTGCCCTGTGCTTATGATCTCTGGGTCTACGTTAAGGGTCCCAAGGGCGAGTCTCTGGAACAAATGTCACTGTACGCAGATTTCCAACAGGCGATACGCCAAAGGATTATGACCGAAACAGGTATGACGGGTTGGGTGCATGACTGTGGCACGCAGATAATGTCGCTTTCGGGGAATCGATTGGTCAAAATCGGTTTTTATCATCCTCCTCAGCTTCCCATACCGAATCAATGCTCCATCTCTAGAAGAGCTGTTCATGCAATGGTAGTCCATGACACCACTAAGATTGGGTGTCAAATTCTAATGCGAGAAGCTATATCCTGACTATCATACGTCCGAAGTGGAATGGTCAGCGTTTTTGGCTTCATCATCATCAAGGTCCGGTCTCGAACAATCCATTAGCTTTTGATCTATCATTGTTGAATGTCATGGTAACATGGCAAGCAGTTAAAGGCCGAGCTGCATACCTCAGGCTAGGCATGCATCCAACACTGAGTAGAAAGGCTTGTTGGTTGTGGCACCAGAAAAACAAGACGGTGTGAGAGAATTCCCAAAAACGGTTGACGAGCAGCCAATGGGACATAACGGTACGAGCACACCAGTCTCTCCTCATGGATACCGAGGTATAACGAAGATAGCTGTCAACTGTTTGATCTCCGATGCGACCCTTCCTGTACGAATGTGTGTCTCAATGTTTACCTTCTCTGCGGCATGGTGTGATAAACATTGGATATCATGATAGACCCACCAGCAAAGGCCAGTCTGCAAGAAGAGCGGGGATTCGCATACTCTAGCAGGGACACGTCTCCCAAAGGTCGAGCATTCTGCACATAGAGGGGTGGATGGAAGGCCCCTGCGAGCCTGAGCACGGTGCTAGTCACAGACCCCGCGCGCATAGTCCGTCATGCCATGACAACGGAGTGACTGACATTACCTTGATATCATTCCTTGACCAATCGTCGTCCAATTTACCGAAGAGGTACGGATGTATGAGGATACCATGCAGGCACCAACCCGGCAGAGTCGATATAAAGATAAAGTATGAAAACAAGCCGTGTGGAAGTCTGGGGAGATCCAGCCGCCAAACTAGATTGACAATAAAATTGAACCGCACCGCAGGAAGCTTGCTGAGAGACAGATCGTGTGGGTTTACTGTACATCTGATTGACGATTTGCACGATGGAATTCCCGGGCGAGCCGCCACCAGGCAAAACCGGCAGATGTGTGCATTAACGCGGACGATAACGACAAGGGTCCTGAGTATCTCTGACCTAGGGTGGCTTTCCGAGCAGTCTATTGGATTGAACGTAAGTCGATGAGGAACATGGTGAACATATTGTGTGGTGGCTAAAGCACAGGTTGAGCTTTAGCGCTGGAAAATAGCGCGCGTTAATCCCCGAGGCAGTCAGTATCTCGGCCTTGCTCGTTAGTTTGCAGCATTGCATATTTGGTTTATTTGAGCGATAAAGAACGTTTTTCAAGCCTTTCAAAGGACGAATATAAAGAGGATGGTCCCGATGAATGCTTGAGCTTCAGTTTATCTGACATAGTAGCCGACACCTGCTCGTCAATTGTCACACATCTTTGCAGATCAACGGATCTGAACCTGCAGTCGAGCGAAACACCGTCTTCCCCTCATTCTCCCGAAAAGCCAACCCACACCAGTCAAATCTGCAGACTGATGATCCATTGCATTGGAGATCACACCTCTCTGCAGCCAGCTTGGGTGAGTTGAAACGTGTGGAGGCGGATAGATGTACGGAGTAGCGTGGAAAGGGTGACTCGGGGTCCTTCAATGCAGCCGCGCACCTCTCGGGATCAAGCCATTTTAGGTCTAGCGCGTGACACTGACCTTGGATTTGTGACAGACCATCATACTTACATGACATGCGTCTCGTTCTTTTACCGTCATAATACCCGTACGGTACGCGAAATCCGTCTGCCTCTCTGGGCTGTCGGCGTCAATTCGAGATAAATAATAATCCTCGCTCTCCACGTCTCGCTCGCCCTCCATCCCTTAACCTCCTCCCCCACCCTCCTTGACTTCTTCTTCTGAGAAACAGGATATCACGAAAGAGAGTTTCTTTCCGGTCTTTCTCTATCTTTATCAAAGCTGCGACGTTCCCGGTTAGATCGCTTCAGTCACCTAGTCCCGTCTCGCCCACTTCTCCCCGGGTGTCGGCTGTCTCATACAAAATCAATCTATATACGACACCAAGTCGCCCTTGTCTACTGCCACGCACGCACAACGTGACAAGGTCAGGCGCATCCTTGCCAGAACAAATTGTCACCTGGTTCCAAAGCCTCCTATCCTCAAAGACACTTTGAGCACTCTTGTGTCCTACACATTACCTAAACCTCTCAAGACTCCGACACATCTACCTCAATTCAAAATGCCGGCAAAGCCAATCCTCCACCCGTTACAGACCCCTCGCACAATGACCTTCCCCTCCGAACTTCAAGCCGACTCAGGAGCCAGTTTATCCGGGGGTGGAGCAAGGAACAACAGTGACGACGGCCTGTCGACGCCCATCACCCCACCCGCCGCCTACACCGAATTCCTTAAGGCCCTCACCCCGATCTTCTCCCCCGCCGACGGCAATGGGGCCACCACGCGCTTCGTCTGGGACAAGGTCACGAAGACCCCGACATCGCAACCGGCCAGTGCGGTCAGCGGCTCGTTCAACTTCTCCGATGCCACCAGACCCGCGACGGCGTCGCTGCCGCCGCCGACGCCTTACGGCACGGTGCCCCCGACCCGGCGGGACATGATGAACCTGCGGCGTCTGCGCATCCCCCCGGCCATGCGGTACTCGCCCACGTTGGAGACGCCCCGGAGCGCGAACTCGATCTTGTCGCCCTACTCGCCGTCGGATTGGAAACTGCGGTATTGGGAGGGACCGCGGAGTGCGACCGCCAGCCGGGTGAGCGTGCGGCATGTGGTCACCCATACCGTGACATATAAGCGGACACAGCTGGAGGATCCGCCCAAGGGGAAGCGGAGAAAGCATAGCGAGGAGAAAGATGATTCGTGAAAGTCTGACTTCATTCAATTTAAAGCGCTTTTTCTTGGCTGGGTTAGGTAGCGCTGGGTTTGGCGTTGGGAGTTAGGGGAGCGGATTCACTATTGGCTAGGATATAACAAATATGAATAACTCTCTCGAAGACATTTGGAAGTCACTTCTACTTTGACTTGTAGTCTGTTTCTCTGTTGGATGAACATACAACGGGAATACCAGCAGGGACCAGCTACAAGCTTCTGACTGGTTCATTGGCAACCCCAAGCAGACTTGACCAATGACGAGATGTACATGTAGTCTGATCTACCACCTGATAGTGACGTCGACATGAGTATCAGCTCTCTACTATAGACGACCTATGACCCTCCATCAATCAACATTAGAACCCTCGACACTGTTTCTTACCATCAGCTTGGTCTGAGAAAGGTACAGAAGGTACAAACTGACCAACTTACCAACTTACAAACCTCCTCCCTGACCAACTCACCCCAAGCTCCATTCATACCACTCAAACCCAGAGACTCAAACCCACAATTGACTTCAGGCCAACACACCACCACCACCACCACCACCACCACTGCAGAGCCTCCTGCAAGGCATCTGCGCCGCATGCACACACCTCTTCCCCTCCCAAGCCTACCGTATACAATCCGCCCCCCCTCCAAGATCCCAAGATCCTCTGAATCCAATTCTCACCTCCGGCCGCAACCACGTGTTTACCCTAGAGATCCTGCCACATCAACAATCACCCATCCACAACCCATCTCTACCCACCATCACAAGAACAGAAGGGCATCAGCCACCTCACCTCCTCTCAGCTAGCCTATTCCTGCTCACTGGTGTCTTTCAAGTATAAGCGCGATTTACGACCTAGATGCCCAACTACGCCGGCGGGACCCAGGCATCCGGAAGCGCGCACTGACTGACTATGTGTCAATGGTAACAGCCTTTCACGGCGATGTGGGCCGTTCACTCCCCCTAACCGTCCTATCCTATCTCAGTGAGATGGGTCGTGACCCGACCCGGGGCAGTGGTAAAGATGACTATTGGGAGGAGAGAGAGAAGTCGGAAAGGTAATTCCCACTCGGGGAAGACGGGAGTGAAACCTTTTTTCGGGGGCGCGGTTATTACTTGTGAGGGGGGGGAGTTTGTGCTTTGGCTGGGCAGGGATGGGGTATTGTTCGGGTTGGTTTATAGATGCAGTAGAGTGAGAACATGACTTGGGAGGTTTAGATTCTGGATACTGTTTTGTTGGTTGTGAGTCTTTGGGGGTTCGATGTAGATGGACGGTTGTGGTTGTCTTATGAGGTAGTAGAAAGGGCTCTTGTGTAGATACTGATGTAGAGGTATGTATGTATGTATGTTTCCCAGTTGGTAAGTATCGCTACTGACTCAATAACCCGTCTATGTAGGAGATAGTAGTTATCATCACTGACATCAGCAAAGTCAAATCCCAAGGGCCGAGAGAGGCTCATCACAACCAAATACATAGTAGGCTCTGTGTTGTACGGTACCCAACCCACCGTCAGCGGTAACGGTAAATAACCAATACACTTGATACCGATGCGAGCGCACGGCGGTAACCCTACCCTCCCCATTGGAACAATCTACGCCCAGAGATCGTGAGCAACCTCCCCCCCCCTCTTTCTCGTCTGTGGGCTTGCAATTCGACCTTAGTGAACTGAGCCACCCTCGACCAAGACTAAGATTTACAATCTAATCCGCGTCCAAAGTTCCGGTGATTCGCCCCATGGGAGCGTAAGGTCGAAGAAGTCTGCCGTGCTAAACGGTCGCCGGTTAACCCTGCCCGTGCCCGGGCACTGCGAGGAGAGCCCTTAGATCAATCTGTGATTTAGCACCTATCGACGGGACCAGGTCATTGGCCAGCAAAGCGCGCTGACTGTTTCATGTTTGCTCGCTGAAGAATTGCGGGCGCAGGCAAGCGGGATTAAGGGGTGGGAGATTTCTGTAGTGTACCGTACATTAGATTGAGATTGAGCTGTAAATAGAAAAAAAAATTACAAGAGTGAGATCTTAGTGAAGAGATTGGAGAAAGGGCTTCGAGAAAACCTCACCACTCAACCTCCGTGATAGGGCTGGTCTGGTGCCAGGCTCTCATGAGTTCTACCGATATGGCTCTTGAGTATCCTCGATGCTCGAGTCTTGTACCCATAAGCTCAATGCTAGATCGAACATTGTTATATGCGACAGGTAGAATACACACGCGCTCCTCCAACGCGACTTCCTTCACCACGACCTTCAATTCCCTCTAGAATCTACCACACCCAATTAGACAGTGTGCTAGAAGCTAGCTACTTAGTACTAGTATTCCTCCTCCGCTATGGAGCAGCCTAGGTAACATCATACCTAGTGCCCTGGCCATGGAGACGAGCCAACCAGTAAGTAAGAAAGTCCCCCTCGGCGCCAAAACCCACCACACGTCATCTAAACTCACCCCCCCACATCGATCCTTATCCCGGCGGAACCAATGGTTCCAGAATCGGGAGGGAGGAAAGCCCGCCGACAGGACCCACCATCGCCCTAAGAAGCCTAGTGCCGGCGCTTAACTGTAGCTGCCACGATGTGGTCCCGGCGAAGTACTGTCTGTACCTTCAGGTTAACTACGAGTCTACGACTCTAGCTGGGGTGCAACAGCCCTGCTAGTATCGGTCGTTGCTACTAAGGTATATTATATTTAGAAAGGCTAGACTATAGAATAGGGCACTCTCCCAAGTCATATCCATAGTATCGAGAACACCCAAAAGGAAGAGCGAGAAATAGAGACAGAGAGGAACACAAGATACTTACCGACAAGCTTGACCATGAAAACAAGCTCCCATGCAATCAACCTTTGTGAAGGATTTTCCACCGGCCCGAAGAAGAACCAGAAAAACTCAATGTAAAGATCAAAACTCGGTTCATCACACTCATAAATCCTTACAACCTCATGGATTTGCCGCCGTGATTTCAGCCGCTCGCACTTCGCCCCCCACCCCCCTCTTATTCGGAGGGGATCATCGCACGCGTGTCAACCTGTCCCCCTTCCTCTGAAATCTCCTCTATACCAGATTCGTGCAGAGAGTTGACCTTACTCAATAGGCTTAGCCGTCTGAAGGGAAGGGGGACGGAAGGAAAACCTTTGATGACTTTAGACTGGGATTGATAATTCAGCGGAAATAACTACTTAATCAGCAGAGGCGGGCAGAGAAAAAAGCGGGGCAGGGAGTAAGTAAGTAGGTGGGGAGCGTCTCGCAGTTGGCCCAATCCGGTTGCATTCTTTGGTGTCTTCTCTGCAGGCTGAGGATGGATTGGCTGACTGACTGACTGATTCACTCAACTACACACGTAACACGACGGCTGGATGTACAGTATACTACCGTACTGTGCAGTAGACTTCTGTGCTCTGCAGTGGAAGGGAGGGGCAGCTGTTTTCTTAGACTGCAGGATAGTCGAACAGTGCAAAGGTCAGCAGGTGAGTGGCAGATGTGAGAGCCAGACACACATACGCACACTTCCTTTCCCTCTTGCTGGAAAGGCGGGTGGTGCCCTCGAAACTCCCGGATATCTGCAGGCTTTCTATTTTCATCACAGGCTAAGGAAGTTATTTTGGGTGATTGAAGAGACCCTGAAAGAGACAGTCTGATTGGGCCAAGCACAGAAGATGCTATGTATGCGCACTGCTATTCTGGGATGGAGGAGGGGGGGGGGGGATATTTTTGGTAACCGCTCTTAACAGCGGTTGCAGTGACGATGGGCCATACAGTGGTTTGCGATCGCTGCATTGGGAGCTTATATCATGAGGTTGGAGCCGGAGATGATGAGAATCATTGATGATGAACGTGGATGCTGGTCCGAGTGTCCTCGTCGACAATGCTGCTTGGATTCACATTGCAATTGACTTGATCCGAGGTCGAACATCAACAACACGCCGGATCAGACTGTCGTCAGTCCTGTCAGTGCATCGAATGAACAACCCCTCCGATGATAAAATCCTCCGGACAATCCCCATGGACTGAATCTTGATTTGACTGGTGGAGCGTGCGTTCATCAACCAGTGATAGTCCTCGACCTCATCGGCATTTTCGCAAGTCCGTGACGAATGGCGGGGGTCGCCGTGATTCTTAGCTGTCCTTCCAGCCCAGTCGGTTCATGCCCCCCCTCATCAATATACCAGCGGTTAGTCAAGTTGATGATGTTGACTTCTGTGATGATGATTGCAGAAATCGAGTGCGTCGACTTTGCCCCTCTCTTTCTTCTGAGCAATAGTCTACCAATGAACGTAGACGATTCGTCCTCTTTGGTGATACTCACAACGCGGGGGACAATTATAGAACAAATCATGGGCGGCGCGTCCGTTTCTTCGGGCAGTTTAAGCGCAACATTCCCTGCATGATCGCATCTCTTCATCACTCTTCCCCTTCCCTGAAGACTGTCCACCCGCGTATTGCCGCCCAAATGCTCGTCTCATGGCGGCGGTGGTATGGTATTGTTCTGAACATTGGGGTTTGCTTACCATGACCAAAGTTACGGACGTTTTCAGTCCGATGCAAGAGGAGTGATAGGCATACAGAGATGAGGTGGTTGACCACCTGTTGGCCAGATGGCTGCTTATAGAGGAGAGAGCCCTTCTCGCATGAGTATATCATGGAGGGATCACTCCCGCAGTGATCCATGACGAACGACACAATGAACCTGACCAAGGATATTGCTGACATGCCTGGCCCGAGTCCTCTTTGTCGCTCCACCATTCGTGGTCTCTTCCAGTGCCCCTCTTCGTTCTCGTTTCTGTCTTTGATCTCTCTTCGTACCTCAAGTGGGGTACATACAGTACTTCCTTGCTCAGCCTCGGGTGGCAGCCACGAGGCCAATCAGGCATCCCTCCAAGCATGAGGCATCACCATGGACTGTTTCTCTTCGACTTGCATGTCTGCTGCCATGAGGAAGGGCCTAGCATTCAACAGCAATGCAGTGATCAGGACGTGGCAGAAAACAGAACAAGAATGAAGGGGTGGGGCAAATAAACAAGAGAGAGAGAGAGAGAGAGAGCGTTGAAGCTGCGGTGTGATGCCAAGGCTGAATCTATAATTAGAAAAGCCCATCAATTTCAGAACCCCTCAAATCAAATCAAATCAAATCAATAATGCAAGTCAATCAATCATTCAATCAACCACCACCACCACCACCACCACCACCAGCGATCTTGACTTTTCTTCCAGTTTCTATCCTTATACTCTCTATTCATCTTCTCTGAGCCTCGTGGACGAGAGAGCATCATCATCATTATCATCATCATCATCATCATCAGTCCCACTGATTTACACCAACACGAGGAATCATTCCATTTCGTCTGACCCGTGATCGGCGGTTTCAGTTCCTCCAGCATCTCCATCCCCGTTTCAGATGCCTCATTCATCTTATCAGCGACAGTTCATTGCCCTCGTCCGGTCCGCCTAGAAGGTCCAAACCTTCATCGTCCTCCGTACCATACAACGACCCGAAAGTACAAACAAACACAAAACGACCCCCAAAGCCATGGCATACTCCCTCCCCACGCCTTTCACCCCCAACAACAGCGAATTCGCTGCCCTCGACCCATCGCACGTCCCCGATGGCACCATTTCCATCACCGCTCTGGCTCGCTTCGAGTTCGAAGCCGGCAAGGGCAACGACGGGACCAAGATTCTGATGATCGAGTGGGAAGACGACGATCTCGGCCGGATCGGTCCTTCAACGGATAACAACAACAACAACAACAACAACAACAACAACAACACCAAAGGCGGCGGTTCATGGCACGTTGCCTGGGAAGGGAAACAGGCGGTCATCCCCGCTGACGAGAAGACCAAGGACAACACGCGCCGGTTCTACTTCCTCCTCCCGCCGCACGTCACCATCCCTCCGACCGTGACGCTCTTCTACGAAGCCGCCCCCGCCGATCACGACCAAAATAATGCTGCTGCTGCTGCTGCGGCGGCGGGAAAGGCCCCCGAGCCGCTGCATCTGAACCCCTTACCCGCCATCTTCCCGCCGGAGCTGGGGGCGGACGGCCGCTCCGCAGGCAAGAAGGGGGTGCTGCACACCATCTGGGCGAAGAAACGGCTGCAGGTGCTGGACAAGGAGATCCGCGACGAGTGTCTGGCGAATGTCGAGGGAATCGCGCTGCACATGGCCTTGCAGGAGAAGGAGTGGATCGAGACCAACTTCGGGGTCTCGTTGACAGAGCGCAGTCCGCCGGCCAGCCATCCGGATCCGCATTATCCCATGGGTCCGGCGACCCCGGTGTCGCCCAGTACCACAGGTGGGGGGAAGCTGGGGGAGAAGCTCAGGGGGTTGAAGTTGCAGACGAGTGAGAAGGAACTCTCGCCAAAGGGAGAGGGTATGTTTTTCTACCTCTTGACTCGACCATTTTCACCAGTCCCAACTACAAGTCCACAAGCTAACTTCTCATCCAAATAACCTACAGGCCACGCCGCCACGGCCCGCCATCTCCTCTCCCCGCAGTCCCCAGACGTCGCCGTCTCCTCCTTCACCTCCTTCCACACTCTCCGCAGCAACACCACCGCCACCAACAACCAAAACAACAACAATCAACCAATCCAACCACCACCACCCCCATCTGACCCGCCTATCCGCCCCATCATCGTCCACTACCCCCCCGAATCCCTCCAAGCCCACCAAACCCCCGACAACCACCACCACCTACAACAAAACCACCACCACCTCCACCACACCGGCTTCACCTCAATAGGCTCATTGACACACACACACCCCTCCAGCGCCGAATCCGGCGAGGAACTCTTCGCCAAGGCCCTGAGTCCCCGCACGCCCGACCTGCCCCGGAGTCCATTCTCCTTCAGCCCCGGGACTTTACATATGTGAGTTTATTTGTCTTCTACCAATGTTCTGCATCTGCGACTTGGGTTGGGCTCTGTGTTATTCTCTGGGAGGTTTGTTCTCGTCTATAAATAAGCCTCGCATGCATTTACTACATCACCTTCATTTTTTTTGGCTCTCTGCATGATGCTGTTGCTGTTGATATATTAGCCACCCTCGCTTCACTTGTGTGTGTGTGTGTGTGTGTGTGTGTGTGTGTGTGTGTGTTTCGATGTGCTGCTCGTTTGCCTTCTTGTTTTTTTTATATGATTCCCCCACATACCAAACATTATAGTCTATTTTATGTGTTTTGATTATTTTCGTCTTCTTCATGACACAAGATTCGAAGATGATTGGGAAAGCAAATCCTGGTCTCTTCTTTCTTTCTCTAATTTGTATATAGATTTCGTATGAGTATGGTTGAGTACCTTTTGCGTTGTATTGTAGGGGCTTCAGTATGGGGGCGGGGGCCGGGGGGGTACGGTACAGAGCTTCCATGGTTAGGGTAAAGAATAGGGAATAACGGTATCGGCACCAGCCTTCTGTTCTCTTATAGAGAACAACGCAAAGGGTTCGACGATTTAGAACCCATACACTTAGGTAGGTGGGCAGATGATAGGTAGATAGGTAGGTAGAATTACCGCATTTAGCATCACAATCTCAAAAGCTGAGCGCTCGAAGACTTTTGAACAGCCGTCCATGCAATAGTACCTAGTCCACATAAGCGGAGCAGCGCAGCATTAGTAGCTAGCTAGTCCGCGTCCGACAACAACAACAGCAACAGACAACAACAGCAGATCCTCCTCACGTCACCCCCTCACCCCCGACCACACTATTCACAAGCAACCAATCTCACTAATTCTTCTTCCGCGAGCTCGCCTGCCTCGTCACCCTCCCCGTCGTCGTAGCAGAGGAAGCACCCTGTTGCTGCTGCTGCTGCTGCTCCTTCTCCTCCTTCTCCAAAGCCGCATCCTCCTTCACCTCCTTCTCCTTCTCCTTCTTCGAGGAAGAGGAAGAGGCCTTGAAACTCGCCAACTCCTGCGCCTCCTTCCGCTCGGCATACCATTGGCCCGCCTGCAAGACTAGCACCCCCACTAGAACCAGCGCCATAATCGTGTTGCTCGCCGCGAGGACCTTCAGCGAATCCTCGCGACCGAGGATCTGACCTTCCTCGGCCGGCGCGTCACTTCCAGCACCAGCACCAGCGGCGGCGGCGGTCGCAGCGAGCAGATCATCGCCGTAGGTACCCGCGCTGACCAGCCGCAGGCCCTTCACGATGTTCGCAATGTACACCGTCACGCCGCACATGTACAGGACCAGGCTCGCGCCGTCGAAGAGCATGTTGCTCTCCGAGGGGCGGTAGAGCTTGGTCACGAGGCCGGCCAACCCCAAAAAGATGACGATGTGGAGGATGCGGGGGATGAGGGGCGGGGAGGCGTGCAGGAAGCGGAGGTGGGATTCGAAGTAGTCGAAGTGCGTGGCGGGCGTCGGGGTCGTGGACCAGAGGATCGGGTAGTCGTAGGGGAAGAGGGAGAAGATGATGCCGAGGAAGAAGCTGGTTGCTATGGGTTTTCGTATGTGAGGTCAGTGTCTAGTTTGCTGAAAAGGTGGTATCCTCTCTGGGAATGATGGTGGTGAAGATATTTGAGTTGCTGCTTACGGCACACGATGAGAAAGGTCGCAAAGGACCCGTTGCGGAAAGCCATGACTGCAAGGCCTGAAGGGCTCCGGTGCGAACACTACTTCGAGGAACGGACTGAAAAGGAGTGAAAACAAAAGTGTTCTCCGTCCTGTTTGTGGTGGTGGTGGTTTGATCGCAACAGAAAGCAAGATCAGCCAGGCCCGAGGGGAGAGGATGCGAAAGTGCAGTGGACGGTCAGTCGGTCGCTGCCGGAGGCTAAGAGACAAACCCGGCTTGGGCCTTGGCGCGTCTTCCTTTTCCCCCCTTTAGCTTCTTATGCTTATCAACCACACCAACACTTCCTTATCAATGACTTGGTTTTGTTTTGCTGTGTCTTCGTATCGTCTCTTCCCTCCATATCCCATCCATCCCCCTGGCGGCGATAAGCCAACTCTTTTAGTCACTATCTCCAGCATGTATGAAATGTATGAAAAATTTATGAAATGTATGAAATGTAATAAATGAATAAAAAGATCACAAAAACTTAAATGGTATCTCCCGGTAGCCCCGCAATGCAATAGACTCAATCAGAGGAAAATGAAACAATGAAAACATGCTCCCTGAGCCAATTCGCTCATCGCTGATACCGCGGTAAGGACTCGTCGCCATGCGCCATGCCACCCACCAGGTGATGGTCTTCTTCATCATCATGAAAAACCGGCGCCGTGGGTGCGTCACCCGACTCAGCTGGTGCTACATCCAATTCCTCGGGCGCGCTGGCCTGCGCCATCAGTCGCCGTCGCTCCAGCTCTTGTTTATCATCACCCGTGTGCGCCGCCTCGCCGGCAGCCATGGCGCTGCTGCCAGGCACTACCGTCTGCATTGACTCGGCGGAGATAGCCGGGCGCGGGGTGGAAGTGTCAATTGGCGAAGGCAGATGATGGTAATCCTGGAGGTGGTCATCTTCCGGTAGCACTGGAGCCGTCGGCATTACCATGTCCGACGATCCGACTCCTGGGTCATCCTCCAGAGGCTGGCTGGGGAGAAGCATCTGCTCAGCACGCTGTAACCGCGCCTTTTCGTCCATCGGCTCTTCTGACGGAGTGAAAGCCGTCTCGCCGAGCGATTGATACGACTGCGGCTCATCCCCATACCCGGGTCCCGGATGCTCAGGCCAGTGTGACGGATCATGGGAGTACGCCTGATCTTCAGGATACTCTGTTTCACCGTTAGGCTGCGAATTGGGCTCAGGTGGCCACACTTCTCGCTCGGTGACGGAACTACTCTGCGAGGGCTCATCTGGTCCTGCCGCCACTGATGGCGCAGATTCCGCCGGTTTGACTCCCCGCTGCGAATCTCGCGTGCCAATCACGACTTCAAAAACGACCGCCACAACACCTTTCTCGCGCCGAATTTGGTCCGTGTCCAAAATATTGCCTGACCAGTTGGCTGTGATTGCACTGTTGTTGACATCGGCCGGGTTCAGCACTTGTCCACTGGGCGAATAATTACCACCCGAGGTGACCATATTAAACCGTGGCAGAAACCGGTCGGGAGAAGTGAGCTTCCCCCGAAGATCGACCACAACCTCGACATAGTATCGGAAATTAATCATACTTCCTGGAGTACGCGTGATGGTGGGAAAGGTGTCTTCGGGTACACGGATCGAGGTCTTGATGACGGCCGTCATGGTCACCGGGTCCACTATAAGAGGTGCAAAGGACTGCGTCAGATCTTTTCGAAAGACCCCCGTGGTGCGACTAGAGCCGAGGGTTAGCCCTCCCAGACCCGTCCGAGAGCGTGGATAGTAGTCCTCATAGACGGGTTTCTTTCCGTCCGGTTTGCCCATAGGAATTGCCGGATGCAAATCGATCCGTCCCTGGCGGTAGAGGGTTACGATTATACCATGCGCGCTGCGCACTTGTTTGCAATGGTTGATAGTTACCATGATAGGTAATGTATCGCCTGGCAGCACGCCCGCGCGCAAAACTTCGGCCTTCGCGGTAATTATTCCGTCCGTGACCGATGGGGTAATGCTCCGAGCCTCGCTATTGCGCATTCCGGTACTGGCCGACGAGCTTGGATCGCTGGGAACTCGAAAGCTCTGGCTGCTGTTGCTCGGTCGACTGGAGGAGCTGACGTTGCTGGGTGCCGGACTGAGCGGCGGGCGATTGTCGGTCGAGTTCTCGCCATTTTCCGGGGGATCGAGCGACTGCGTATCGGGCGCGTCAGATCCTGCTGACTTGGCCTTCGCTTTGGACTTGGCGCGTCGGGAGATTGGTTCGAGGGTGACAATTCGAGGTTTGGGGCGAGGAAAGGGGGCAATATCGATGTTTTCCAACACGGTGACGCGTCGTCGGCAGGTGGAAGTCGGGTTAATCGTGGTCGGCTTAGTTAGGGTGGACGTAAGCATATAGGAGATGGTCCCTCGTTCGAACTGCGTCCGAGTCACAATATCAGCACCGGCCACTTTCAACAGGCAGTTTACGTTGTCGCAAGGCACTTACATTGATGCTACTGGGTAGCGCATACGGTGGGAAAGACATCTCGAAGCGGAACTTGTAGACACCCTCCTTGAGACGACCCTCCCCGCACAGGACGACCTCATCCTCAAACAAGGTTGACAAGCCATTTCCCAGGTATTCCGCCCCTCGACGCCCGCGTCCGGGACCCAGAAAGCCCAACTCCGGTGATGACTCCCCCGTTGGGACGGTGTTCTTGTAGACTTTGACATAGCCATGCAGACTAACAACGAGATGTGTGATGCGAACGGGCCGAACAACGGTTAGCACGACCGTGCCGGTGATGGCGTCACCGGGGAAGTAGGAGCGCCAGGGATCGTCAGGCTCAATGTAGAAGTCGGTGATGCTGCGATTTCGAGGGCCGAGTTGGGAGCGGAATTTGGCTAGAAGGGAGCTGCTATTCCGACGGAGCGTCGAGGAAGGTCGAGAAGGGAGAGGGTTGACGGACATGACACACAGCCACTACGTCGCCCAATCCATACAAATGGCGAGCGAGATGAGGTGGCTGGTAAGCGGCGAACACAATGGACGTAGAAGAATCCAGCGCAGTCAATTGAGGGCGAGCAAGAGGACAGGGAGAGTGCCGAGCCAGAGAGGGAGCAAGGAGGGGAAGGGAGGGGTGGAATCAAGACGAGCCTCTCAGCGCAGCGTACTGCCGTCGAATGACGGAAGCCGTCGTTGATTCAAGGTCGACGAGGCAGCAAGGGGCGGGTAACGTGAGGAAGGATGACAACTTAGAGGATAAGTCCCGACCAGAATGGAAGATGGGGATGCGATCGAGACAGAAGGGAGATTCTCCGTTCCTAGCATCAAATCAAGCAAGCAAGCAGGCAAGCAGGCAAGCAGGTAAGCAAGCAGTCAATCCCCCCGGCAGGTCCGGCCCGATCTGGCCGTCGGGCGCGAAGGCAGTCAGCAATAACCACCGAGTTCTTTCAACCTCCGTAGCTAACGCAGCAGGAGAAATTGACTGGATGGCGCACGATTTATGAGAGGTTGCGTCGCTTCAGCCTAAGTTGTAAAATCACGCAGAGGACTGAAAGGCGCGTGGGGAAGAGTCCCCAATCCGGGGTGGGGAGGGGAAGACGTGTTCGGGAAGGACCTTTTCTGTCCGACCGTCAGGAAACTTAGCAAAGGCTAGCTAAGCAGAAAGAGGTAAAAGAAAGAAGGAAAGAAGGGGAGGAATGAAGAGAAGAAATTATCCGGGGAAGGGGGAAAGGGAAGAGAAAGGGAGGGGAGAAGAGAGAATTGTCAGGGATTAAGAGTCGGGCTGACTGGTCCGCATCATTTCTTCGGGATGGATGGAAATGCGAACAATGGTTGAGAGGAGCGAGACAGAGAGAGGAAGAGAGAGAGACAGGTAGAGGAAATTAGAGGGACTATTAGAGGGAGAAAGAGAGCGAGAGAGCGAGAGTGGAGCTCAAGTGGGAGAAATGACAAGATGAGATGGATGGATGGATGGATGCTAGAAAAGCCCCCCTTAGGCTAGGATGACTAGACTTGACTAGTAGTAGCAGTAGGTCCGAACCCAAAGGGCGTTTTTGAACCGTGGAGGGCCAAAGCTTAAGTGGAAAATAGTGGGAGGGGAGAAAGAGGAGATGCAGGTAATTGATGCAGGTGATACAGAAGAGAGTGAGGGAGGGAAGAGGGGTGGAAGAAGAAGAAGAAGAAGAAGAAGAAGAAGAAGAGACTAAAGAAAAAAAGGATTAAGATAGAGGACAATAAAAGACAGAAAATAAATTGCAGTAGAGGGGAAAAAAAGAGGATGAAGATGAATGTAGTCTAGAGATATTGTAGTGAGCGCCGAAGTGAGTTGAGTGAGTGGAAGGTCGAACACCCCGGGGGTATGAATTGGGATGGGATGAATCGGGGAGTGGGTTTGAGTGAGAGACACGGACAGACGGGCAGGCAGGCAGACAGACAGGACGGGGGGGGGGGGGGGGAAATGTGGGATTGGGAAAGGGAAAAGAGGAGAATTGACCACGGTAAGTGCAGATAAGCAAGAGGAGGCGATACAGTCAAGCTTCTCTTGGGCCGTTCGTGGCTCGGCAGTTTCCACTCACTGCACTGCTCGGCTGGAGCTGGAGCCTAGACTGGAGCACCACTAATTACTGTACATGCCCTGGTTTTCTCCATCTTAAAAATCAATAAATAATTCAAACAAACAATAACAACAACAACAACAACACTGAATACACTACAGTACAATCATCATCATCATCACCCTCAATCAAAGATCTCCCGCAACCCCTCCCCCTCCACATACTCCTCCTCCCCATAACATTCGCGCTGCAGCGCCCGTAACACCTCCCGATCCCCGCCGGTCAGCCGATCGACAAACCCTTCCAGCACATAGATATTCTCCGTCCACATCAGCGCCTGACGCCGAAACTCCTCCGTCTCCTCCACCACGCACGACAAGCTTTTCTCCTCGACACCGACACCACCACCACTGGATCCCGAAACCGCCGTCACCTTCCCCTGCAGATGACGAATCTCCTCCTGCAACTCCACTTTCCGTAGCATTAGCCGCTCCCTCTCCTGTTCCCTATCATAATCCTCACCACCACCACCACCACCACCATCCGCCTCCCTCTCCCTCACTCTCTCATCCTCCACCCTCTCCCTCTCCTCCGCAGCCTTTCTCTCCCTCACCAACGCCTCCAACTCACTCACCTCCTTCCCCACGAGTTCCACCTCTGCTTGCACCGCACGCAACCGATTCTCGCGCTCGCGCTTCGCCTCCCCCGCGAAACACCAGTACCAGTTCAAACTCCCGATCTTCTCCATGCGGATCTCATTCTCGTCCGCCAGCTCCTGCAGGAACTCCTTCACTTGGATCGCGTTGATCGAGGCCACCGTCGGCAGGGACTTCTCGAGGTCCTTCAGCGTGTGGCAGGTGCCGCTGGCGCGGAGGTGCGAGACGATCAGGGCCTTTTTGGCGCTCTTGGTGAGTTTTGGGGGCTTGGGTTTCGGCATTAGTTGGGCTGTCGGTAGCGAATCCTAGTAGAGGAAGGGGAGTTGGGGGAAGTGAGGTGCTAGCCGGGGTGGGTGGACCGCCCCCCTCCCCCCACTCCCAGTCGGCTTACCATGATTGCAAATCGCAAGGCTTGTCAGGAAGACGTAGGCATAAACGTAGTCGTAGTCGTAGTCTTGTGGATCTGGGTCGGATAATGGTAGTGGCTGGTTTGTTTGTGTGGGATCAGCACTTTGGAGACCAGATCATCTCTGTCGAGGTGAGAGCAAGTAGATTGATGGATGGTGATTGTGATTGTGGGAGGTGGAAAGGTGCTGTAGACAGTGGTGGTGTGCCAGGTTGCTCTAATTTACTAAGTACGGTAGGTACGGTAGGTACGGTAGGTACGGTAGGTACAAACAGGGCGACTGGATGGACCTTCAACCAGGCACGGTGTTTGCCTGAGGCTGGGGTGAACAGCCCGGCAGTCTTTAGTAGAACAAGATGGTCCATAATGGCCAATCTACATTGACTTACTGCCTACACCGCACTAAAGAAGAGAATCTCACGCATGCCAAATCGCTACTATGACCTTTCTGAGGTTAGAAGACTTATCAGCCCCATTGGGACAGTACTAGCAGTAGACTATCAAGTTCATGATGACGCCTGCCACCCATGCACCTCCCTTGATCAGACATGCACCTCTCGGACAAAACCCCCCTCCTTGGAAGTCTCCTCAATGTGGTGGACCTCATCACCTCCCTTTCCGACTCCGGCCACTCCTCCCACCACCGCCTGGTCACCATCGAAGTGCTTCGCGATCTCCTCCAGGGGGGTGTTACGGGTCTCAATGTAGAAAAACCAGACGACCGTCAACTCGACCCCGAGCCAGACGCAGTAGAAGATGTAGTACTTCCAGCCCAGGTTGTCCATGGCAATGGGGTTGATGTATTGGTTGAAGAAGACTAAATTGGAGTTAGTGTTGATCCCCGTCATTGACCTTCCAAAGGGGGGAAAAGCTCACGTGCAGCATCGATGCAGAACCACATCACTGTCATGCCCTTAGCGCGGATACTATAGGGAAGAATTTCCACCGTGTAGCCAACCAGTAGGCCAGACCAGGCGACATTGTAGAAGACATAGTAGATGTAGATCATCGCCACGACGGCGTTGGCAGCCCCGTGGTTATGAGCAATCTCATACCGCGCCGAGCAAATAGTCCAGATGATAAATGCGACCAACATGCCACTCGTGGAGATCACGAAAAGCCGGCGCCGGCCGACCTTGTCCACAACAAAGCACATCGAGAGAGCGACAATGAAGTTCAAGATCTGGAGGCAGCCGTTGATCAGATTCTGCTCGACGGACTTGGTATATCCGATGGAGGTCAGGATCTTCGCAATGTAGTACGAGACCAACCCGTTGCCGGACCACTGCGAGAATAAGCCCGCAGTGATCAAGATGATCACGCGGTGACGGTTTCCTTTGGTCCGGATCAATTCCATCCAGCTGTTGCTTTCGTACTCCTTCTCCAGTCGGATGGTCTCTTTGATCTCGTGCATCTCCAGCTGGACGACTTCGTCCTCCTGGTTGCCGTTGGCATGGCAGTCCGCCAGGACCTTCAGGGCCTGCTCATGTTTGCCCTTGTAGATCAGGAACCGGGGGGACTCCGGGACAAACCAGATGAAGATGATCTGCAGGATGGATGGAGCAGCCTGGACGATCGTGGGAGCCCGCCAGGACCAGTTGTTTTGAATATTGTTCGTGCCGAAGGTGAGCCACGCGGCAATAATGGCGCCCACGTACCATGTCGCTAAGGCAGGGATCAGTATTGAATGGGTATTCACCATAGTATCTGAACGTACTGTTGTAGATCGTGGTAAAGACGGCACGATGTTGGGTATGTACAAGCTCCGTGATCAGCAAGGGTGAAGCACCATGCGCGATGGCGACTCCGAACCCGATCAAGAACCGAGCTGCCAGGAACATGCCATAGTTGGCACTGATGGCCTGCAAGACGACGCCCAAGATCCTGACCACATAATGAGCACAGCACAGACTCGGAATAGTAGTTTGAGACACTCACATGATGAGGCAGCCGATGAGAACTCCCATCCGCCGGCCAAGGTAATCCGCTGTGTAGGGCACCGCAGGCAGCGCCGCCAATGAGCCCAGGGACATGATCGCACTCAGGATGCCAAGCTTTGAGCCACCGGGGTTATGGAAGTAGTCTTTCCAGTAGTACAGGGTCTGAAGACCATTCATCATCGACCCATCGTAGCCGTTCGTTGCCTGAGACCCTGTCAGTTACGTGTCATGCACCGGGAAACCCTCGCCAGCCAAGTGTATGCACATACGGAAGTCAATACGACAAACATGAGGCAAATGTACGTTTTCCTCATACCAGGATCCTTGTACCATGTCACCCGGGGAAAATGCTGGCCAGCGAGCTCGAAGGTCCCGGAAGAACCCATGGTGACCGTTCAATGCGTAGATTCCAAGGCGTGGGAAAGGTATTGTAGGGCACTCAGCCAGTTTCCTGCATAAGAGTTCCAGAGGAAGAAGACATCCTTGAGGCGCGGGGACAGGCTTAAAATCTAGTGTCTGCCAGCTTTACCATCCGGCTATTTGGCATACGAGGAACATGCAGAATGTCCACCGGTCTAAGAGAGCTCGCGAGCTCGCGGCTAAACCTAGGTAACGCCTAAACAGATGCGGTCACCTGCGAATAGCTACACGGGGGAAGAATCAGGGCCTGGCTCTAACATTATCCAAAGGGAACGACGGCCTAGTCCCCAAGTCCGGTCTGGCAGTGGGCCAAACACTGAAGGTTAGGCCGGGCCGAGAGCCTAGGCATGTTAAGAAGATGCTAGCTAGACGAGTTGACCACGGTCAATCACCCTGATTCACAGACTGGAGATTTGATCTTGATTTAGGCTAAACATCGAGCATCGAGCTGGTGCCAGCGAGAGGCCCACCACGATCATCCCACCGAAATCTGGGGATGCGGTCCGGGGTGCAGAGAGTGGAGGGTCTAGTTCCATCGACCCAAGCGTAAACGAGTGTCTAGTCCAGAAGTCGCAATGGCCAAGACCTTGGCCTGCGCCTCCCGGGACGGATTTAACATTGCGTTACAGTTTCCGATGATGGGCGCGACTGGAGACTGGTTGGCCACGTTGGACGAGCCCGAGCTAAATTAAAACCCTCGCTGGAGGCGTAAGAGCTAGGCGAGTGATACGCTGGCCACTTTCCACAAGCAACGGATAATATCATGCGCTCTCAGCTGATGGGGTGAGGTGGTCACTTGACACATGCCACTGTGTGCTGACAGTGTTCCGTCTGTGGCTGTTTCCAAATTACCCAACTCGTGTTGTTGGCTATTAAGCATCTCCTGGCAAAATGGTTCATGGGTAGTTGAACCGTGCCTCGGCCATTGACCTGGATTCATGAAATTGGGGCTGTGGTTCAAGTCATGCGAAAAGAGTTTCAGGTGGCGTTACAAACATTCCTTTACATGACCTGGAGCTTGACCCTGCATACCGTCTAGGCCTTGAACGCAAGGACAGGGTGCATTCGGCGGTGGGGATGCGCCACGAGATATATGCAGTGTATCTTAGCTCGAATTGGCTGGCAGTATAGGTTTCCTTAACCAAGTAGAATGCCCCCTCAAGTATGCTGAGTTGCCTCTCCGCTGACGAACCTCCAATCAGCAGGAAGGGGGGAGAGGTCGGTTCAATCACATCTTCAGACCTCATAGTAGGTCATCAAGCTCTGTGTCCATATCACTCGTCCAAGCCTTCCGAGCCAATTTGCGCTTCTTCTGTCGCTTTGAGGGAGCCTTTATCTCGTCCCCCGAGCTGGCCATCATACTATTCTGTGTATTCGCCCGTTTGCGACCTACGCGCCGGCCCGATTGCGAAGGCAGCCGATCCTCGTCGGTAGAAATTTCCTCCCCTTCGACGAAGACCAGGTCGCCCGTCTCACCCAGCGACTCTTTGGCCATCTCCTCCAACAGTATCCCCATTGCGATTAACGCGGTTTCGTCCATACTGTGATGGTCGTCCTGGCCGCGGTCAATGGTCGCGTGATCGTAGAAATCAGCCGAGTAGGCATGTACAGCTTCTAGCAATTCGGACGAGGGAAGCTGACGGTCGGCTGGGAGGGATTCATGGGCAAAATAGAAGTCATTTTCCTCGAAGCGAATGGGCGCATTCTGCCGACGGAAAAGCACTTCTTCAGGGCGAACCGAACGCCTGCTCGACGAGGCTGTGTCGCGGTTCTTGGAAGCATACGGCACGGCGGGCAGGAAACCATGCGCGTTGATCCGGCCTTGACATTCGATCGTCAGATTGCACCCGCTGTGAGTAGGATTGTATGAAAGAATATGCCTGACTCACCTGCTACGGCATCGTAAACTGTTGCCAACCGTCGCTGTTTGGTCACTTCCGCCTCATCCTGTCGGTCAACCTCCGGCTCGTCTCCGAGGTCGGGCGGCTTAACAAAGGAATTCTGGCTGAGCGCCAGAGATCTACCGTGCGACATAGCAATAGCCGTCAGTGCGGGACAAGCTCGACCTGTGCGAAAGCATCAGGGAAGTTGCCGCGCCACTGGAAATTGGGGCCGTGCCTCGCTGCTGAGGTTCGAGACCGTCTGAAATCTGCCAGTATTGATTGTGTCTTAAATTTGGTTTGGTTTGCGACAGAGCGGGCGGAGTCGGACTCGGACCCGGGCCAGAGCGGGGAGAAACACGTCTTTCCACTTTAGGACAGCTTCCCGGTTGAACATTCCTCCGTCCCCGCAGCCGAGGGAGGGATTCCTATCAGCGCAAGCTGTGATGAACGTCACCTCACACTAACGAGTACCTATAATCCGCATGCGAGATAATCCTGATAAATGAATGAATTCTTACATCCTCAACAGGACTTTGGGGTCCATTCATCCGTCCACATTTCATGTCGCGCAGACAACTCGCCTAATCCTGAACCTTGAGCCGGCGCCCGGTATACGCTTCTCCAGTCAGCACAACACTCAATTGGCGCATGGTCGATCCCAAGAGATTCCAGATGGGTCTTTGGGCTTAGGCTTAGAAGAAGAGACATTTGCTCATCGAGCCGGAGTCAAAGTACTTGCCATTGATCAGAATGAAGGCAGATTGTACGCCCCCTCTCGTCCCCGGTTGCAAGTATTCATACTGAACGCTATCTCAGCATGGTCTCCGGCGGCGCAGACCCGTCCATTCACCTATGGGATCTGGAGTCCCGCGGATCCGAGCTGAATCATGTTCATCGCTCGGTGGCATCGGTCAACAAGGCGTCGCATGAAGATGCGCACACGCATGCGATCACCTCCATCTCGATCTACCCCTTCGATCCGACCCCGTCGACCATCCTGACCACCTCGCACGATGGCACGCTCAAGCTCTCCGCACTGTCCCCGGAGGCCATCATCCCCGTCCACACGTTCCGCCTCGACTGCACGCCGTACACCCACGCCATGTCCTCGCACCCGGGCGCACCCCTTCTCATCGCCGTGGGCACATCCGAGAAAGCCGTGCGCCTGCTGGACCTGCGCTCGGGACTATCGACGCACGGCCTCCCCGGCCACGAATCCGCCGTGCTCTCCGTCGCATGGGCGCCGCACCAGCCGCATATTCTGGCGACAGCCTCCACAGACAACCGGGTGATCCTCTTCGACATCCGCCGCGGCGGGCACAACTCCGCCATCGCGGCGCTGCACATGGACGACGCGGTGGGCCTTGTGCGTGCCCCCACCACCGCCCCGCCCTCCTACCAACCGCGGCCGGCCTTCTCGCCGCACGTGCGCGCGCACAACGGGGCCGTCACGGGCGTCCGGTGGACGTCGACCGGCTCGCACCTCGTAACGGCGGGGCAGGACGCCCGGATCCGGGTCTGGGACGCGGGCACCGGGGCGAACACGCTGGTGCACTTCGGGCCCCGCGTGCGCAACAGCGTCTCCTCCCACCTGGCGGAGCGGGCGCCGCTCGTCGTCCCGCGGGGTCTCATGGCGGCCGGGCAGGAGACGCTTCTGTGGCCGAATTTCAACGAGCACGACGACCGCGGCGAGATCTACATGTTTGAGCTCCGCGAAGGAGCGTACATTAAGCGGCTCCGGGTGCCCGGACTGGCGACCACCGGACCGCAATTTCGTGGCCGGTCGACAGCATTGAGTGCCGCACGGATCAACTCGCTCGCCTGGCGCGGCAACGGGGCATCCGGCGAGGGGATAGAGATGTTCTCCGCCCACGGCGACGGCACCATCCGCAGCTGGATTTCGAGGGAACCCGAAGGGGAACCGGACGAGGCGGAGGAGGCCGAGCAAGCCGACCGCAAACGCAAACGCGATGTGCTGGATGAGATCTACCGTGGCTTTATCGCTTGATCGTATTCGTACATATACAACCGCAGCCTACGCATGTATATTACAACTATATGTATGTGTATATCCAACTACAACGGATGAAATTGATAATGACCATGTCATACGTTCTTCATTATACAACAAGCAAGACCCGTTCAAAACCCAGGTCGGTCAACCTCCAAAAAGATCTATAATACATTGATTTCATCCAGCACAAATATCGTTAGCCATCATGCAAGTCGCATACCAGCCGCGACTCGATCATCCCATACCCAAGAAAAATCATCATCACACAAAGTGAACACCACATCTACTCATTCCGAATCTGATGCTCCCCAGCCGCGTCATCCTCCTCCGCCGCGAAGCGGTCAAAGGCCCCGCGATTCATGTTCCGGTGCTTCAGGTCGCGGCCGTGGCCCTTGGCGCCCGGGTGCTGGTTGCCGATGAAGGTGCGCTTGGACTCGCCCTCGGCGGGGAAGGAGTTGCCGGTGCCGGTCAGGACCTCGCCGGTGGCGCCCATGTCGCGAGCGCTGCGCGGCATGTCGGTGGCGTTGTCCGCGGCGAAGGCGGAGGAGGGCTGGGCGACGCCGTAGTTGTCGAAGCCGCCGTGCTCGGCCCGCTGGTCCGGGCGCGGCACGGACGGGATGGTGTTCTGGAGGCCGGCGTCGTTGGGGATCGAGGTGCCCGTCGGGGCCATGTCCTCGAGTCTGCCGCCGCGGTGAGGAGAAGACATTATCGTGGTTGTTTGGTGGTTGTTTTGGATAAGGAAAGGAAAAAGTCGGTTGACTTGTGGCAAAGGTTTTCGTTCGAAATGGTGTCGAGTGACTGGCTTTGAGTCTGGTTCGAACAGTTCAACCGTGCAATTTCGCGAGGGTTTATATACATGTAGTCGATTGCAGCAAAGGTGGGTGGTTCAATCTGATGTCACTTTTCGCCCTCCAGCTTGGGTCAATGATGAAGCTATGATATCAGATCCCCATGCAGTCACCTTACTCATATTTTCGGTGTTTCGACCTGCATTCAATTCGATTCCCAATGCCCGTAAAAGTGGAGGTTATGATGAAACACTTTCGCTCAGAACCTGAAATTGTCGAGTCCATGATTTGGTATGTGCACAGTCGTGGACAGTAGAGATTCTAGAATCGACTCTTAGTCTGTATGGACGGTTGGGGTTAACTTAGGCCGCGGTTGCCGCCTTCCACCCGGTCTACCGATCGACTTAACGGGTGGCACGTGCTGCTACGTTGTGATTATTGAACTACACTGGTTCAGGGAAGCATTGCATGGCCCTCAACGCCTTTCAAATTGCTTGAATTCTCCAATACCATATCGCCGTGGGTTGTATCGGTGATGTCATGGTTGGAACTGACTAAGCCAGCCGACCCCTTCGCGGTCGAGATGCGATGCGATGCGTTCATTTTGCCACAGATGAAAGCTGCTAGCTCCAATGAGAAGAGGCTGGCTGGAGCACACTGTACCCGAAAATGATCCATGACTGAAGAGCCTCTTGAGCATTCGGGCATGCTATGTATTCAAGTATGAAGGTGGTGCTTCTAGGAGCTCATTAGCTGTAGCTAATGGTGTAGAATTACGCATTCTAGAATTATACACAAATGCTATACCGGGCCCGAATGTCATACTTCGATATACAACTAAAGCAATCCACAAAGTCCACATAGTAATGGGAAGGCAACAATCAGGGATATATGATCAGAGGGGAAAGGTGAGAGAGCATGCAGTCAATAAATCATACAGAACGTAAGCGCATCGAATTGAAGATATGGGTTTCTGGAGTTTGTAGCGAAGAGATACAGTCCCCGATGTAATTAATCATCATAAGCAAAGCCAAACACGTAAAAGCAACTCCAGTAACTCCTGGCCCGGGGTATGGGGGTATGACTGTCTGCGTCCTCGCAGTTATCGCTGCTCGTTCAATGCTGCCGCCAAGAAAGGAAAATCGCTCGTCATTGTTGTCCGGCCCAGCGGTCAACATGATGGTGGTATATGTAAAGGTCAAATGACTGTATAAAACAAAGATCCGATGGATAGATCAAGGCAAACAATGTAGTGTCTAGGGGGTATCTGGACTTTTTCCTGAAATGTGCAGATAGGTGATGAGGCGTAGAATGCCGATAGCCAGCTCGTGCATCCAGTTTTTTTCGAGCGACCAAGTGTTCGCTCTTCTCTCAGGTTGGTGGGCCAAGTTTATCGGATTCTTCGGGTCGGTAGTATTCTCAAGCCCGCTTGAGTAAAGATCCCTTCAAGGGTATAGAATAGAATGCAACGAGATGCGATCCCGTCGCAGAAGAATGAAAACCCTAATAAGTAATTTCAGAGAAGCAGATAATCCCAGCCATTCTGCTGCATCACTTCCCGCCAGTGGATGAACGGTTTCTTCACTTCCTCTGCATCCCAGTGTGCAGGACTTTCCTTCGGGGACTCAGACTTTTCGCGCTTGATGGGGCTGCTGCCGTTTGCTGAAGACGAGGGGCTAGCATCCTGGCTCGGTAGAGGCTCGATAGGCTCGTCTGACACCCGCCACACTTCTTTTAGAACTCGATACATGCGGCCAAAGCTGCCCAAGTCTGCGTGGTCACCAAGAGCAGCGGCGCGGTCGGCGAGAACGTTGCGGAAAGAGCTGTTCGGCGCGGAAAATGCCCCTGTGATAAGCAGAGGCCAGACCAGCGAACGATCGAATCCATCTGGTCCAGATGGAATGTACTGAATAGCATTGGCAACCGCTGCAACCAAATTGGCGTTACTTGGTTGGTGACGGTCAAATCCAGGAACCAGACTGCAGAGGTAGATCCTGGCTGCAAGTCGGAAAATCGCCGTGATGTTGTTGGTCAGGACCGTTGGGGAGAAAGCTCCATTAGACAGGTAAGGGCTCTCCAAGGGCTGGTTTGGCGATTCCGTGAATTCCAATTGCTGCCCCAGGGCGGAAACGTGAGAACAGACCGCCAGATCATCGATCCTTCCCTCCCTTTTCAATGCCTCCAAGCAAGTGATCTCCGAAATCAAGTACATGACGCGATCATCGCAGCCCATGAGTTCACGTAGACCCAAAGATGTTCCACTCAGGTGCTTGGAGCGATAAGTATGCGCGAACTCGGGTGTCTTTCCATGCATGGTAGAGCCTAGGATATCGATCCAAGAAGCCAATGTCATGGTGAATGGAGGCGGCATGTATGGGTTCCCGCAGGGAGGTACAGGCGACGATAGGCCCAGTCGGTTCACTAAGTTGGATGCGGCTTGAAAGTGATCGAACCATGGGATATCCGGGAGATAATCGTCCGCGGGCCCCACGGAACAATGGAAGAAGATCATGGCAAGAGTTGCATCGAGAATCTCTTCGTGGTTAGTATCCTCTCCAAGAGCCAAGCAGAGCTGTGAGACTGCCTCGAAACGGTTGCGCATGATATCGTGGTCAATCTGCTCTCCAACAATACCTTCTGTCGTCTTCCTGTGAATAGCGGCCACACTCAAGCAGCAGTGAAGGTAGCACTTGTTAGTTTCTAGAGCCTGAAGAATAGCTTGAGCTCGCACATGTCCGCGTTGGTGAGCTTCCAGCACGGGAAAGATAATGCGTAGAACATTGTAGATAAAGTGATCGAGAAGCGGGCGGTCATGATCACTGACGGGTATGCTTGACTGCAGGATCGCATATGTCTGTCCGATAGTTTGCTCGCAGAGTGCTGGATCAAGTCCTGGAAGCGTAGGAACTTGCGCGAAATACTCATCCTGGAACCAATCTTCTCCGGGGAAGGTGGGTAGGGGAGCGTTCAGCTGGGGAGGAGCAAATGTGCTGAATGTCGAGCTGCAAGAATCGTGGCGTAGTGGGACGTCGTTGATGAATGTCTGTCGCTCCGTCTTGACGTCGATTTCGTAAGGATGGGGCAGTGCATAAATATTCTGAGTGAAGGCCGGAGTAGGCAGATGAGATGCGAAGATATCATACTGCTCGGGATAAGCAGGTCGACTAAGCTCGTATTCTGGAGATGTTGGTGACGGAACGGCCATACTGCGGTTGCGGGCCGAGGGATCTATGACACACCAAGGCTGGTCAGATGGCTATACCTTGATGCGTTCCACAGACACACTACCTACCAGTTAAAGCACCATTGCGCTCGTTTATCTTTGTTTGCTTGATCTTGTTCTTGATGCGCTCCTTTTGAATCCTCCTTTGCTCGGCATTTCCCCACCAAACAGGACGTTTATATTCGCATTTGACACAGAGATTGATACAGGCGCTACATGATGGGTGCTTCTCGTCACACTTCTTCCGGCGTAGGCGGCATGTGAAGCAACCTGAGTGAGAAGCACTGTTGTTAGCCAGACCTTCGAGATACCTAGTACTCTGAAGGTACATGTCAGTGGCAACGTACCGGACCGTGAGCGCTTATGTAGCTTCATTGGAACCTTGTCCGTCGTTCTTGTCGACGTGCCCTCACTACTAGAAGACGGCTGAGAAAGGTCTTCAGCTTTGATGGGAATCATTGTGGTAGGTGAGGACTTCTTCTTTGATGGAACGGGCATGGTTGATCTTGTATCGTGGCGCACGGTAAGGGACTCAAAAAGGACAGGACACAGGCGCGTGGCGAGTGATTGCTGGGATAGGCGGGCTATTAAGGGCAAGACTGAACCAGCAGCCTTTGGTGTCTAAGTGGGGTATTAGAGAACGAAAGGCGCAGGCTGCAAAGAACGAGGCGGCTAAGAGATAATGCTGGGAGACAGTGGTCCACAATCGATGTTGATATGATCGGTGGGCATGAAGGAAGCTTTAAAGATGAAAGTAGTAGGTCGATCTCGGATGAAGCAGGTCATGATGTTTCTATTTTAGAATTGATTCCGAGTAACCGACAGGGCCGTGAGCACTGAGCACATACACACACACACACATACACATGCACATATCGGGGAAATTGCGGTGGTGGGAGTAGAAGCCATAGATTGGGTGGGGAAGGAGGGAAAGGATGATCGTAGCCAGACCATGCACGGACAAGGAACCGGCCACCAGGCGCTCGAAGGCTAATTTTGGATCATTTTGCAAGATACTACACTTTTGGCCATTAACTTGGCGCCCATGGCCGCCCTCTGCACCACTGATTGGATCACGCACGCTGTCAATCTTGCCATGGAGGCAATCTCTTGAACGCTGCTTGTGCCAGGTTAATTTTATCTTGGTGTCGGGTTCATGTCCTACCAACAGACGTTCTCGTCCACGTACCCTCTCAAACCGCCGAGACGAGTGTAACATGATCAGAGTATTCCTTTTGGGGAACCTACTTCAACTACAGAGCGATATAGCATTTGGTGCTATGAAGAAGACGTTCTCACTCTTTTCGACTCGAGGAAAAAGCGTGGCGACCAACAAGCGGCACGCCGCACAGTTCCGAGTGCCCTCCATCGATACCCATAAGACGCATTCGCGATGCGCCAATGGCAGGGTCATTTGCAGGCTGGGTTAAGTGACCTGACGATGTCAACGTGAAAGGAGTGATATTTACCCGAATGGGAAAATGCATTGGTGAGCATCAAACGATACCTACGTCTGTAGCCGTTGATAGCGCGGGGACATCCCAATGCCAACCGACTAATTGCCCCCTCTTCTCTTCTCGCGAGGAAATTCCCACTAGAGACAGACCAGGAATCAGAGCCCTGCCTCGCGCACAAGGGTCTCGAGCACCTCGAACCAATCAGACTACAGATTGGTGGTCATGTCTGGTCGTCTCTCGTAGTACTCAGGACCTATCTGATAGGCAGTTGGCAGAAGGGATGAACTTGGCAGGTTTGCGGGGAGAGGGGAGATTTGATCAATAATTCATCAAGAGGCTGCCATCGAGTTGAGCACCTACAGTAGTGGAAGCGCTACCTTCGGAGCTAATTTAGCGTGCTGAGCCAAGCTTCCTGAATTTGGAGACAATTGGTTGACATCTGCCTGGGTCTTGACAGAGCGGGACAGCCGCAACCAACCGTGCGTGGGTGGGTCGGGCCTTTGATGCCCCGTGCAACCAGAGGAAGACCAAGGGAAGTTGGCGCCAAGGTGTGATAAGATGGCGCTAGCCTCTCAATCCCGACCGAGTCCCTGACAGGAGGGAGGAAGGTAGCGCTGAGGGGGTGACGGGGCTGACGAGCTGACAGAAGTGAACTGACACGATTGCCTTTCCCCCCCTCTTCCTCCTCCTTAATTAGTATCAATTACCCGCCCGCACCGACTTCGATTGCCTAGATTATCTTTTGGTCTTCCATAATTAGTATACTTCGCAGGGCTGTCAACCGATCTGATAGGCCCGCACAGATGGTCTTATCCGCATTGGCCGCTAAAGCCGTGCGTTCTCATGATCTGATCCTGAGGAAGATCGAGCCGTGAGAATTCCCAGGTGGGGAGAAGATGACTGGGGGAAGCTAAAGGCATTTTTGACTTTAGCTGTTCTGCAACCAAGGTGTCCCAGTCACACCTCCTCTTTGGCACTCAATCACTTATCTGAATGGCTGTACCGGTTCCGAACCACCCTCTGGCGGATCGTTACCCGTGCCTCATGTCTTTACTGCACAGTACATATGCCTGATCAATATTTTCAACCGTACTGTCTCAGCTAGTCTTGCTTATTGTTGATTGAGATAGATGTCTTGGGATCAATACTATTGATTCTGCAGTCGAGACAACGTTGGTTGTGGGCCTGACAAAGTCGGTGGCCATCACGATCCCGGGAAGCGAGTCAGCATGTTGTGGGTGTCACGACGCTTCTGCCGTTTCTTGTCACATTCCTGCAGCTACGGCCTGCATTCCTCACGAATCGAACAATTAGCGTCCCTTTTCGCTTCCCTGTCAATTGACATTTCAGCGAATAAGATGCGCCCAACATGAGGTCACTTCCTGCCACTCTGTTGTGTGCCCACGACATGTACACATTCCTCCTGCACTCAATATCCCGCGGCACTGTTGCACCTCCATCCTTGGATATACTGTGAATGCTATCTATTCACGCGAAATCACTGCACAGTTTGTATCTTTAGCCCAATATCTGGGATCAAATTACTGCATCATCTCTCCTGACAAAATCAGCAGTAGTCCTAGAAATCATGCCAGAGATTTTGAACTCGGCCGAGATCAACCTGAGATTCCGTATCATTTTTTCTGTGCATAGCTACTCCGAACAAAGTCACTTCATGGAGTGACAAATACGCGAAAATTTCGCTGACGAATGATTTTGCCTAAGCTTATCCCCGGCATATTTCGAGGGCATTGGTCGGCAGATATTCCTTGTATCTCCGAGCGAGGAAAATTGTGCCGATACGTCACTCGTCCATACACCTTACATCTCTGTCCATCAGAGGGGGTAGGACAGGTTTTTTTGCATAACATCTACTTACTAGCATCTACCAAAATCTCCATCACTCGATGCACTCATGCGGATTTCGGGTCAAATCTCAGGAACCCAGACGCATTGATCAAAATAGAAACATGCCCAACCTCAAGCGTTACGAGCTGTGGCTAGAATAAGTGTTGATTATTTGCAGTGCTTCTAACCGCCGTGTTCTATAGAACCCTCTTTCCGGGCGCCTACAAGGTAAATTTGGCCATGCTTTGGTTGAAGATAGAAGATAATGGGACTACTCCCGTCTCATGAAGGATCTATTTTAGGGCCAAAGCCTGGCAATTAATTGCTCGATCCGACGCTACTCTATCATTTTATGATCTTAGTTGCATAATCCATTCTATTTTCCGGTTACTGCATCAGCCTTGTCCTTCACCATGCCTTCCCCAATGTACTGGCGCTCTGTGTGTAGCCGCCGAACACATTCTTAGAGACTCGCAAGTGCAAGGCCACGAGGGTCGTGCTTGCAACATTCTAGCACTCGCAGGTCGGCGCGTACACGAAACTTGCCATTGGATCCTTATGATTGGCATAATTAGCGATTCCAGTCTGTGGGGACATAGGGGCCTGTCTGACTCCTGGGAATCTATTTATCGTCGCTGAGAATAGCCTGATGATTATCTCTTGATCATCGGTGTCACGTTGGGATTTCTAGGAGAAAGTGCCTGGTTTCATCGCCATCCAGAACAGAGAATTGGACTGGCTATAATCTTCTTTCGGCGTCGGCCTTGATGCCGCTAAGATGCATATGACAGATATATAATACGCGGTCGGCCATTTCATTCTGCCTTGTGAAAAAGGAATCAGCTTGTTCTGTACCTGATGTGAGTTCCTCAATTCAAGTATCGAAAGTTTGGGAAATGTGGAACGGTATCCGGCTGGCGGGACTACGCAGGATGTAGTGTACGGAGCACTCACGTTTATAACTTATTTACTATAGATCCAGTAAGAAATAATTTCATTCGAAGCTTGGTTAGATTATGATCTATTCATGCTTCCCCTACGAAAGCTCCGCTAAGTGCTCAATCACTTGCGCAGCCCCTTACCTCTATAGCGTGACCATGCGAAACTATACATTTATATATCGGTTCAGCAGTGAGATGCTTTTCGGCGTTCGATCGAACCTACGCCCTACCTTGTACACCCTTTGAACAAGAAAAATTCTTAGAAGGTTAGCATAGACGACTTGAAGCTGTTAACTGCTGTAGAATCTAAAAATTGTGGCTCAATGAGGCTGGCGGACACTTTCAGTAGGTGGAACTGTACTGTGCAACCCGGCCGCACTCTCATTGGACAGGGCAGGGCTTCTCCGCCAACTGTCGGGATTCGATCCGCTCAGGCTCCAACCTCCGCATTCCACCTTAACATTGAATCATCTCACATTTTCATCCAGGTCGATCTTCTCTCACCGTCAGTGTGTGACTAAGCTACGTGGTTCATAATCTGAATAGTATGCTACACCAAAAAATAGAGCGGGTGCTCTCTCGCGTAGTTCCCCAGACAAATCAGAGTTCTTATATCGCATTGCAAAACCGTATTACCTCGACCAGGACATTCGCAAGCCACACCTCACGCTTCCGATCTGTCTCTCGAATCTTCTATCAGCCACAGAGCCGTAAGCTCTCAAGCACCGGCCGTAGATGCAGCAATGGGAACTACAACCGATTCAACAACTCCGGCCGGGGCCCACGGGCGCCGCCGTTGATATATCACCTGTTGTCGCGGGCACGTACCGGACACTTCGTTATAATAGGCCTTGGCGCCTCGGCATTCTACTACTATAACACCGAGGTAGTGGAGGTGAGTTCGGTTCTACCTTCTCAAGCCTCGAACCAGGCACTGACAGCTGTTTCGCAGATGACTGGCCGCCGGCGGCTCAACTTCATATCCGTGCAACATGAGCTAGAGCTCGGAGAACAAGCCTATCGAGAGATCCTCGCGGAGCATAGAGATCGCATACTGCCAGACTCTCACCCCGATGCTAAGGTAGTACACCGTGTACTCGAGCGACTTATTCCGCAGGCACGCGTAGAGGGCGCCCAGTGGAGAGCCCACGTCATCAAAGCGGACAATGTCAGAAATGCCTTTGTTCTTCCCGGGTAGGATCTCTTCTCTTATAGCCTCATCCAGTGATGGCATACGATCTCTCTGACCGGTTTGCAATAGTGGGAAAGTCTTTGTCTTCACCGGCATCTTGCCTTTCTGCAGAGATGAGGATGGTCTGGCTGCGGTCCTCGGTCATGAGATCGCGCATGTGGTTGCTCACCATAGTGCGGAGGGTATGACTCGGAATTATCTTCTGAAGTCTATTGTCACGGTTGTCTCGTTTCTCTTCGATATCTCAGCCATGATCCCGGCTTATTTGTCGCATTATCTGATTAACTTGCCCAATTCTCGGGTACAGGAGGTAACCTTCCCGTCTAGAGCGGAGATGAAAGAAACCGAAGACGAGACTGACCATCATCTATTGTAGGCCGAAGCGGACGACATGGGTTTAAGTATGGAACCTGAGCGCTTTCACCTCCCTCGATCTAGTGGCTGACTAACCTCACTTGCTAGTCATGATGGCTCGAGCCTGTTACAACCCGGAGGCTGCTATTGCCTTGTAAGTCACTTACTGGCCACATGCATTCTAGGCCATTTGCTTGTTTGATGGTACACATGATTGCTGACTTTGTTTCAGCTGGCAACGCTTGGTAAACAACAAAGAAGAACATGAGATTCATCAATTCTTGTCGACACACCCTTCGGTAGGTCTCCTGATCAGTGTCGGGGACACATCTTATATTGAGACACGTCCTGATTCATTGGCCACAGAACGAAAGTCGTATCCATGCTCTCAGTGAGAAGTACGTAAGCTCCTCGACTCAACTATGACAATTCATTGCAACTAACCCGGCTCTAGACTCAACACAGCACAAGCGATCTATCTGGATGGTGGCTGCAAGATGGCAAATGAGTACAGTACGTCGCTTTCCGCCACTGCTGAGTTTTGTATGCGTTGGCTGACAATCCTTTCAGTGCCTGACTTTAGGAGAGCTTTCGCTTATCACAGGGAGGTTTGAAGCACATGGTCCCATTATTTTTACTGTTTGTACATAACCTAGTCTATGTAAATCCCCAATCCTGTATCAACACAACTCAAATAGTTAATTTCAGTCTGCACTGGAAAGTGAACTCACACGCCAACTATGCTAATCATCTCTGAATTTACTTTTCTCCTCGGGCACAAGGACTCTCGCGCACAGAAAGAATCCTGTTATTCACCATAATTACCTGTATATAGACAAATTCACCACATCACCAGCGGATTGCTGACTGCCCCTCGGCAAAAAGCTACACAAACTCGAGCAAGATCCCCTTCGGGCCCGAAGCTTCGGGAGGCCAGAGTCGATCGGTATCTCGGGCCCGAACATATCCATAGTATCTATATAGCAATTATTTCCCCCCGCCCGAGCATTTAGTATATATACCATGAAAGCCCAGCATCAGCGAATTATCCGGGACCATTCCAAGCATCTCAGTTACAATATATACTTAAATCACCTCTAGTCCATCAATAACGACAAACAAAACCAAACCATGTCGAAACCCATCCTCATCGTCGGCGCGGGCCTCGGGGGCCTCGCCCTCGCGCAAGGCCTCAAGAAGAACAACATCCCCGTCAAGATCTACGAGCGAGACGCAAAGCAAGATTTCCGTGCGCAGGGCTACCGGCTCCGCATCGGGACCGAGGGCATTTTTGCCCTCCGGGCCACCCTGACCCCGGAATTGTTCGGCCTGTTCGAGGCAACCTGCGCGGAGAACGGGCTGCTATCCGGCGGTGCCAGGCTTGATGCTTTGTCCGGGAAGGCTTTGATCCAGCAAGTAGGTGGTGGTTCTGATGCTGGAGGAGGCCCTCCCATCCAAGCCCACGGCTCTCTGAAGCCGTACACCGTTGACCGTGGGGTACTGCGCGAGGTGCTCATGACCGATCTGGATGACGAACTACACTTTGGGAAGCGGTTTACACACTACGATGTCCGCCAAGGGAAGAATGGCGAGGAAAATAGCGAGAACACTAGAGTGATCGCGTTCTTCGAAGACGGGACCTCGGAGGAAGGCGCCTTACTCGTCGGCGCGGACGGACTACGATCGCAAGTGCGCAAGCAGCTCCTGTCGCCGTCCTACCCGTTCTTGGACACGGGGATGCGGATCGTGTACGGCAAGACGTACATCACGCCCGAGTTTGAACAACGCTTTGCTCGAGAGGCCATGGGGGGAATGTCCCTGGTCACCGAGAGAGAGACGGGGGCGCCGAAGACGCTGCTGCTGGAAGCCATTCGGTTCCCGCAGGCGGTTACGCCAGTGCGCGGGATCCAGTTGCCGAGGGATTATGTGTACTGGGTCGTACTGGCGCATAAAGATGATATCCTGTTGGGAGATGAGGAGGCGTTGAGGTTGGACGGGGACGGGTCGGCCAGGTTGTCATTGGAGCTTACGGCGGAATGGGATGCGTCTGTGAGGGTCTTGTTCGAGGAACAGGATCGGAACCAAACGTCCACGTTGAGGATCTGTTCTGTGAGGCCGGATGTCCCGGCTTGGGAGGCACATGCGATGGTGACGCTTCTCGGAGATGCGATCCATGCCATGCCTCCAACTGGCGGCATGGGCGTGAACACTGCATTGCGCGACGCGGAGGATATGGTGCGGAGGATTGTTGAAGTGAATGGGTCAAGTGGTGTGGATGTGGATCTGGTCGCAGGGTATGAGGAGAGTTTAAGGAAATTTGCGCGGGAAGCAGTCAGACTCAGTTGGGAAGGAGGACGAAGAGGATTCGACTTGAGACCAGCTGAGACATGTGAGGAAATAGTTTTGTGAGCTCGTTGTTTTTTAATGGGGACGAGGACAAGTGTTGGCTGTGGGTTGGTGGCAGGTTAGCTATGCATGTATTGATCTCTCCTCACATACACAGCGCATATTCCAGCAATAATCTCTGGCCCCTCGTTGACAGAAGAGTATACAGTAGTTGCAGTGGTTGCCCATGGCAAACAGTATAGAAAGTGGTTCAAGAATTGGAAGATCAATGCTCCGTCGTAGAAGGGGAAAGTTGTAAATGGATAAGCATGCCGAGCCCCTCCGCGTGCAAACCAAACAAACAGCCGCCGCCAGACCGTCTCCAAGCTCCGTCGAAAATTCCCAGAACAGCTACAGGCCAGTGTTGAGGAAGTGTCCCCTTACTCTCTCCATTTGGATATTTCCCCAAACTCCAGAGGAAGTATCCCTTCATCATGTCACTGTCTCTTCCCGGACCCTCCCAGGCGGGTCTCTTCAAGCCTGGGTACCAGAGGTAAGCGAAAGCCCACTCGTGGAATGTCCCCGCCCCTCAAGCCATCAATACCGCCAGGTTCAGCAGGCCAGTAAACTTATATGATATGGATTGGGGTTATAATCGTAGGACAGCGGCTGACATTTTATTCTCTATAGCCACGATGCCGAAGATGGTGCCGTCATTCGCAACATCGAAGCCTGCCAGGCTATTGCTCAGACTGTCTTGACGTCGTTGGGCCCTTACGGTCGCAACAAGATTGTCATCAACCATTTGCAGAAAATGATCCTTACTTCGGATGCGGCTACCATTCTCCGTGAACTGGAGGTTGTGCACCCCGCTGCTAAGCTGTTGGTGATGGCCAGTCAACAGCAGGATCAGGAGATGGGAGATGGTACCAACTTGGTCATTGTTCTCGCCGGAGAGTTGTTGAAGAAGGCCGAGGAGTTGCTGCGCATGGGCTTGAAGACGAGTGATATTGTTCAGGGCTACGAGAAGGCACAAAATTTTGCGCTCAAGACGCTAGAAGGTGGGTTGATTCTTCCGGCCAGGAGCGCTCGGCGGCCTCAGGGGCTGCTATGAAACAACGATCCAGGCAGGCAACGAGTGACTCAACAATTACTGACGCTTGCTTGACAATAGATCTCGAGGTCGATCGCCTTCAAGAACTTCGCTCCCAGACCGAGCTTACTAAGGCTCTCCGCACAGTCGTCGCCAGCAAGCAGTCCGGAACCGAAGATCTTCTGGCCTCTCTGGTTGCAGAGGCTGTCCTTGCTGTCCTCCCCAAGAACCCCGCCAACTTCAATGTCGACAACGTTCGTGTCGTCAAGATCATGGGAGGTGGCTTGGAGCAGTCTCGTGTGGTCAAGGGTATGGTTCTTGGCAGAGAGCCTGATGGTGTGATCAAGAAGGCTACCAAGGCCAAGGTTGGAGTCTTCAGCTGCCCCATCGACATTTCTCAGACTGAGACCAAGGGTACCGTGCTGTTGAAGAACGCGCAGGAAATGCTGGACTTCACAAAGGGCGAGGAGGAGCGTTTGGAGGCGGCTATCAAGGAGCTTTACGACTCTGGTCTGCGTGTTGTCGTCTGCGGTTCCACCGTTGGTGACCTGGCCATGCACTTCCTTAACCGCTTCAACATCCTTGTGATCAAGATTCTCTCGAAGTTCGAGCTGCGCAGACTGTGCCGTGTTGTTGGCGCCACCCCTCTCGCTCGCCTGGGCGCCCCGATGCCCGACGAGATGGGTAGCATCGATGTTGTCGAGACTACCGAGATCGGCGGTGACCGGGTGACCGTCTTCCGTCAAGAGGATGCCAACGCTGTCACTCGTACGTCCACCATTGTCCTGCGTGGCGCTACCCAAAACCATCTCGATGACGTTGAGCGTGCGATCGACGATGGTGTCAACGCAGTCAAAGCTATCACCAAGGATCCCCGCCTGGTTCCTGGTGCCGGTGCCACCGAGACTCAACTTGTGGAGAGAATCTCCGCCTTCGCGGATAAGACTCCTGGCTTGCCCCAGCACGCTATTCGCAAGTACGCTGAAGCGTTCGAAGTGGTTCCTCGCACCCTGGCCGAGTCGGCTGGTCTGGACGCAACTGAGGTTCTGTCTCGTCTCTACACCGCACACCACCGGTCTTCCAACAATGATGAGTCGGAGGAATCGTCTGCAGAGGAGGGCAGCTCCGAGAAGGAGGAGCCTTACTGGACCACGGGTGTGGATTTGGAGATTAGCTCTTCAGCTGGAACCCTTGACGCCGTGGAGGAGGGCATCCTGGACCTGCTAGCATCCAAGAGCTGGGCAATTCGTCTCGCGAGCGAGGCTGCCCGGACGGTGCTCAGCGTTGACCAGATCATTGTTGCTCGACAGGCCGGTGGTCCTAAGCCACCGGGCCCCAACCCCAACTGGGATGAGGATTAAATGTAATATTTAGGAGAATATGATATCCATTGGAGGCTCAAAAGCACGGGATGTGATAGAGACACGATAATCATGAAAAGCCCATTGACCTATCCATGGGCATCTGTATAGTTCGCAGGCTCTAGTAACAGTAGTGGTAGATTATTATCCTCATTCGTACATCCTGAAATACTTCATCTACTGCTGTTGATCTGTTCTATAATATACCTGACCGTTCCTGATATACATAGTGAGTACTTGATTCTCTGTTGACAGGACGCCGACTAGCGGGTGCCGGTATCACGTGACGCGACTGGATTTTCCGGACCGAGACTCGACTTTCTTTTCCCGCAAAGGCACTTTTCGAGCATTCGATCACTTCGAGCAGCTTAAATCCCCTCGGCCTAGCCACCTTCTGTCGCCCCCGTCCAGATCGCCTCCTTTCACGCCCAGCATGTCCATGTCTACCCAGTTCGCAGCTCGCTGCTGCAGACAGATTGTCCGCCCTACCGCTTCCCTGCGCGTTTCCTCCGCTTCATACCTGTCCAGCAGCCGGAGATGGCAATCCACGGAGTCTGCTGCTCCTGCCAACCCCAAGATCACCCAGATTGTCGATCAGATCAGCCAATTGAACCTGTTGGAGACTGCCGACTTGGTCGCTAGCTTGAAGGTGCGTTTTCTGCTTCTCCTCCGGCCCTGTCGCAACAGCTTCCCCAGGACTTGTTGATACAGGGTTCCTATCAATCGAACTGTCCCGGCCCCAATCGCTCATGTGATGTGATCGCTTGAAACTCATTAAGATCATTGCTGACGAGAACCTTGTCACCTTATAGTCCCGCCTTAACATCCCCGACCTGCCCGTCGGTGGCTTCGCCATGGCCGCTGCCCCCGCCGCTCCCGCCGCCGCCGAGGAGGAGGAGGCTCCTGTCCAGCAGGAGAAGACTCTGTTCAACCTGAAGCTCGAGTCCATCGACGCTGCCTCCAAGGCCAAGGTCATTAAGGAGATCAAGAACATGCTCGGTCTGTCCCTGGTCGACAGCAAGAAGTTTGTCGAGTCGGCGCCCAAGACCCTGAAGGAGTCCGTCCCCAAGGAAGAGGCCGAGAAGATCATCGAGACTCTCAAGGCCGTCGGTGCCAAGGTCACCATGGACTAAGAGCGGACTGTCATCTGACGGGTCCGTGGGGGGACTTTCCTTTGTAATGCTACCCGGTCCATCTGGGTTCGCTCTGTGGCTGGCTATCATTTTCTTAGATGGTGGGACAGAAGAAAAAAGAACCTGGATGGCCTGGAACGTTGTGATTGGGCTGCATCATCGAGCTGGAGTTTTTATCTCGCACCACCCTTTTCTTTTATTGTATTGTGTTCTGTTATATCACCCTTTTCTTTATTATCTTTTTCTCCGGTCCCTATATCTCTTGAGATTCTATTTTCTTTCTGATATAAATGGAAAGCGGGAAAAAGGCGGCGAATGTACATTATCACCTTTATCGATTGGACAATGTGGAAACAAGAAGAAAGAAACTTGTTGTGGTCTCTCTGTCATCCGAGTTTTGCTAGCAAATCCTCATGGGCTCGTGCGTAGTATTTTTGATGAGACGAGTAGCTGTCAAGTCTGTTTTGGTTGAAAGAGTACGACGGTGGAAATGCGCGACAGAGAAGCAAGACCTCGTTCATCCTTGAAGACATTTGAGTGAGATACTAATCAGTCCATTGCATTCTGGCGCCATTGTTGTTGTTTTCTTTTTGGCGCGGGTGTCGAAAGAAAGGTGGACGGAGATGCGGAAAGCCCGAACTCCATCCCAGATTTCTTCCTTCCCTCCTCCGCCTTTGCATCAACCCACCCTTCCTGAAGTTCACTCTTGTACGCCCCTCCTATCGATTCGCCATGTGCCTCCCTGGGTCCTCACGCAGCATCAGACGACAATGCCAAATACGTCTGCATTCTGGCACAAGCCCCTCCCTGAGCTTGCACTATAGCTCTAACCTGCGCTCCCGCCTTGCCCAAGATCACTTCCACCTTCAGCATAATCAACTCGCACCCCGACCTCCGCCCAGTTCCTGCTTCCACACCACTTCATCCAACAATGCCTTGTATCGAACACCTCGGAAATCTCCTGCGCTCCGACGCGCCGCCAACATGAGGGATGCCCGCGTGTCTTCTCCTCCCCACCCTGCAGAAATCGGCCCGGAGTCTCGCATCACCGGCGACCTCACCGTTCACAAAAAGTGGCTCGCAACAGGAGGCATGGACAACTGGGCGGACGCCGTTCTTAACAGAGACCTCACAACAGACATCACGTGGCCAATCTTCGAAGCCACCGGCCTACACTTGCTAGAGTGTGCTCATGGCGGCCCTCCGACCCTGGCCGCAGTTGAAAATAACCCGCGCAACTGTACGTGACATTTTCTATCAAATCCTGGCTTTCAAGCGTGACGAGTCCGGGAGGGTTATCCGTTCCTCCTGCGAAGATCGATTACTAACCATGTTTCCTCAAATTGGGGAACCATTAGTGACACCCCTGGAAGTGTTCAAAATTGGCAAGCTCATCCTCCCACACCACCAACCCTTCCAGCACTGGGTCTCCTCGGCCACCGCGCTGGCCAAAGTCCGGCCCGCGATCTACATCCAAGCAGCCAACTACCTGAAGGAGATGCGCGCGCACAGCAAGAGCCAGTCCCCGCCGCCGCCGCCGCCGCCGCCGCCGCGCGATGTGCCGATCCTGCAAGCCGTCGAAGCCCTGGCGACGGGCCCCTTTCCCGACCCGCGCGCCATGCACCTTCACGCGCGGGTCCTCTGCCACCGACAACAGTACCGCGAGGCGATGGCCCTCCTGGACGAACTTCTCGAGCTCATCTACCCAGCCAAGAAACTCGAACCAGGGTTCGAGACGGGGCTGTACTTCCCGCCCATCGACTCCTTCTGGGACACCTACATCTGGGTCCAGGGCCTCATGCTGGACCACAAGTACCAGACCAAGCACACGCCCGAGGAGATCTACCGCCGGGCCGCCGATGAGTTTAAACAGCCGGAGTACCTCGTGCGGTACGCGGGCCACCTGCGCGAGCAAGGCCGGTGGGACCAGTACGAGAAGTACATGCACATGGCGGTCATGGCGGGCCACCGCCGGGCCACCCGCCGGCTGGCCTGCTACTACTACCTCATCGCGCAGGGGCGGTACCCGCGGCGCGGGCAATCCGCCACCACCAACTTCCCCCGCCCGGTCGACCCTGCGCAGGAGGGCCTGGGCTTGCTGCAGGAGAGGCACCGCCCGTGGTGGCAGCGGCTCCGCGACGAACTCTGGGCCGAATCCCGCCGGCCGTCGTTGACGCACTATCGCGCCATGGCCCGGGAGCTGTTCGAGCTGGCGGCGGCGTATGGGAGCCCCGAGTCCGTCGTCGTCGCCGCCGTCATGGCCCGCGAGGAGGGCCGCCTGGCCGAGGGCGAGCAGATGATCCGCACTATGCTTCGCGCCACCCAATTTCAGGGCTCCGAGTGGGCGCAGGTCAAGGTGGATGTGCAGAGCCTTCTGGAGAAATGGGAGGATCTGCAGTTCAAGTTTAAGATCCCGGAAGAGTACTTCGTCCTCTAGGGAAGAACAATCAACAAAATGAAAGTTGGGTTGCCCCTTGTGCGAGTGGGTTTCGTGACTCGGTATCGGACTCGGTGAAGTGAGGTGTGGGCGGCTTTGCTGAAAGCTCGATTTCTTCTCTGTGCACTCTTTATAATGACTGTGATACCCAAGCATAGAGTAAGAACGCCGTTCCAACACAAGAGAGATCCCGGAGCAGTGGGGAGGGAATTTGTCCGAGTAGGCCTGGTGTAATTTTGAAGGCGCAGTAGACAATGCGATTGCGACTGACGCGCTTAGGTGGAATTATTCATGGGTACCAGAATCGGAAAGTATGACAAGACCCAGGTTGAACTTAACTATCACCCGTAACGCCACCCCTGTGCTCGTCGTAGCGCGACTGCATACCTCTGATCGCTCTCTGCATACTGTCACTCCTCCGACCAGAATCATTCATCATATCATAGAAAAGAAGAAGAAAAATTGAAAGAGAGATATAAAACACGGAACATCATCTGGGGGGATGGGAAAAACCGAAGATTTCCCTTTTCCAGTACAACGCGGTCCTTGTCATTATTCCCCCCCCACCCAGCTGCCGGCGGAAGCACTTTGGAGCGTTCTACGTATCACCTCCTTCGACCCTTCCCTTTCCCTTTCCCCCGCGTCTTCAATTCTACAAACCCAAGCTCCTTCAATCCCTCTGTTAAAAGGGACGAATCCCTCATTCCAGGAAAGTCCTTGGCCGGGAATACGCGGAAAGGATTCGTCCAAGCCTCGGCAAGGATCGGCATCGACTTGCCAGTGTCTTCCACGTGACCCCAGTTCATCAGACGGAATTGGAGGCGGTACAGTCCAGCTGTACGGACAGAAAGGTCGGAGAAGATGTAGAACGTAGCAGGCTGTCCCGGGATGTGTGGGCTGCCGTGGTAAGTGGTTGGTGGCAGGTATGCGCCCGTTTCGGGTGCGTAGTAGCCCGACGAGGATGGATGGGCTGGCGCTGTGCTGGGGTCCGGATCTTCATCGACATAGAAAGGCGACACGAAGGCTTTTCCGGATAGCAGAGGAGTAGACTGTCCCTGGCTCAATTCATCCACTCTACCCGTACCCTCGGCGTGCACGTCTGATTGGGAGAATCCGGGTTCGGGGATGAGGAAACAGCCCACAGTGAATCGCGGATCCTGAAGGATGTCGTTGTCGTCAGAGGATCTCGGATCGAAGTCTGTCAGAAGCATTTGGATGATGGGAGGTGGGTCGATAGGCCGTCGATCTCGATCACCCGCGCCACAAGCTCGCGCAGCTAAAGGCTGCTGTCTGATGTGAAGGTGATATCGTGAGGTTGAGGACGGTCGCCGCGGGGGAGGGGACGGCGTAGGCGAATGATGAAGCAGTCTTTCAAATCCAGAAGGCATACTCGTCGTACTCTGCCTTTGGGGCTGTTGTATCTGACGCTTCTCCGCGGCCATGCTGGCGAAAGACCCCCCCGTACAATCATAACAGTGACCAGGACTTGGGCCAGCCGTGGAGAGTTCGCTGTTTCTGTCAGCAGGAATTAGTGATTTGACAGGAAGAAAGCACATGGCACTTTTTGTCGCAGCTATGAAGGAAAAATGTGGGAGCAAAGTACAGTGAAGGTAATCTGCACGCGCATGCTCATCATGAGAATGTGAACCGGAAACATGCGTGCATGACCCAGTCAAGCGATAACAGAACCATAATCACGCATCTGAGCTCGACCGAGCCAAAGCCAACAAAAGAATGGATGGAAACTAAGAACTAGGAAAATGAGGCATACTCCACGTTTCTCAAGACATTTGACCGTTGAGCCTCAAAGTGAGCTGGACTACCAGTATTATACGGAGGAACCGAAGGGACATCATGCTTCGGATGAGCGACACTATCCCAGAGCCTCTCCTGATAGGGCAATCTAGAGTTGAAAGCGGTAGATGCGACAGTGGGTTCATAAGTCTGACTGGCTGAGCCAGGAAATAAGAAGCGCGGAAGCTCGTCCGTGGGATGAGAATGACTCGGAGCTCCTGTTAGCGCCTGATGGTCGTCGCCAGCGGCTTGGGCCCGCCCATCAGAATATTGCCCGCTGGATGTGGCATGTCTCCATTGATGCAGCGGCGTCCTCGACATCTAGACAATTGGCGCTCGGAAGCTCTCCTTCCGTTAATTCTTGTTCCTGGTGATCTCCTTGAGGATTCCTTTTCTGTGGTTTTTCTTCTTGTCGGTGGGTCTTGTTTCCTCTTCCTATCGGCAAGTGCTAAGAACTGATCCCACGGGTCGTTTTCTGCAAAGTGAACATCCATATATAGGATCACGAATTGATGGGTCGAACCGAAAGCTCAATAAGATTAAGGCGCACTCGGTGATGCCCAAAAAAGGAGACAAACAAGAAGGGGGTGACACTTGACTCGAAAAGAAATGATAGCCCGCGGCGGCATAATAATAGGTTCCAGACGGAAAGTAGCTTCGCAGAAATATGGTAGGGGTGTAGAAACACGGCTTTTGGCGGGGATTTTAGGGGCAATTCAAGGGTCCAAAGAACATGGTCCGCCGTTGGTGGACGTTCCTACGAGGAGAACTGGTAGAGTAACAGTCATCTATTAGTTCGTCCTGACGAATGCCAGAAATTTCCCACAAAACGATTGTTTGGGAAGGGGTATAGAGTGGGAGGGGAAATAAGTAGGGAAAATCAGAAAAGAGAAGAGTTCCACCGACCTCCATCCAACCAGCTCATAGCACCACTTGTGCGGCTGCAGGTAGTGACGATGGAAGTGCTGAGATTTGCAGTGAATCCGCTGCTTATAAGGCGTTTTGGCTTGTCGGATGACGCAACTGATTCAGCGACGATAGGAAATGTTGACTAACCCTAAATTAAGCAGTAATCTGCAAATTTGAATCCATTCCATATGTGGCCGTGAAAAAAAAAGAAAAGAAAAGAAAAGAAACAGATCCGAGGAAATCGGCAGGCTGGGTAATACTTTTGTGAGAGAGCCTGTGCGTGCCCACTGTGTATGTGTGTGGCATTGCGCGAAAATCAAGACTTGCAGCAACACTGCGTCCCTGACAGGATCCAGCATGGTCTATTCCCGGATCCTGGGATTTCTATCGAACATCTGGTCTCCAGTCGTTTGAATACAGCCCCCAAGAGGATGGTACTGAGACAGTCTCCGTTGGTAGTGTGACAACACATTGCTAGTGTCTGGTACTGACCGAGCGAGTCCGGCAAGAGCCTGAAAGAGGTCTTGATCATCAACAAACGAACATTAGGAGCAGCTCCTTATATGGTCTCTCGGAAGGTGTTCGCTGTAGAGAAAAGAACAATGAGTACCTGTACAGTATGGATGCAGACATGGATATCGCTTCCGAGTGTCCCGGAACTGGGACGTAGAAGGGCAGCTTGATTAAGCAGATCAACCATCACCAAGTACTGTGAAGTAAACTACTCCAACGAGCCGCCTGATGCTGAACTAGATGAGGGGTCAATCATCTCAAAATCCCTGACCTCTTTGCACAATCACCCCTTGTGAAACCAGGGAGACTGCTGTTTGGTCTGCTGCGCCACTATTTGAAAAGACGCAACACCAAGGGCCATTGTGTAAAGATGAGAACGCGACGTAGCGAGGGATCGGTGGTCGCAGATCGTACCGCATGATGCAGAATTAGCACATATTATCATTAGAACCGCTGATTGGTCCATGTGTATAATTGTCAGTTCAGAACAAACAGTGATACGCCAGATACCCGCGAACTTCCATGATCGCTTTTGACAGCGACTCATTCCCCTGCACATTGAGAAGCTACCAGGGATTCAAGTGAGCAAGATATATAGACGACTACCGAAGTGATGGTCTGGTATTGGGATTTCCCAATACAGGAGTCGCCTGCAGCACATTGAAGGGACAGGAAAATGACGTTGTGGGATTTGTAAAGAACCCACTAGAAAGCTGTTTGGTGGAGTCGAGGAGGTGCATCACTGTATCCGAGCTGCCGGTCCCATACGGAACTCTGTCCCGAGAAAAGAACCTGCAGGCAAATACAGTCGCTCGCAGTAGAATAAACAGTAGGTGATCAATTCTGACCGCAAAATCCCAAATTTTGCCATCCTGTCATGCAGTCTCGAATGCCTTGGCAACTGCATCACCTTCGAGGTTCGGGCCTCTTCTGGCTTCGAGATGTGCTTGTATTACAAACTCGACAAGTCTCTTGCTCTGACTCATCATCTTACGTCGAAGCAGGAGCATTTCACAGCTGAAGAAGACTGTAAAGACCAGACACCAGTGGCAGTTGTGGGGAACGGGATAGCCGTCGCTCATGGTTCCAGCCGCTGCTGATGGTGGCGTGCTGTGGCTATTGGACCATTGCACGGGCCACTACGGTAGGCCATAGTGCTGGGAATCCATAGTTAGACTAAGCGTAGCCGGAATAGAGTATCCTCGACAGGGCTCGATTGCAATGTCACAAAGGCGTTACCAAATAAGAAGGTTGAAAGAAGCGGATTTGTCAGGCGACTGAAGTTTGCAGGCCCGTGCCGTCTCTCTTCGATAGTGCTTAGGATATAAAATCCATAGAACGGGGTACATTCGCTTGGGTGATGCGTGTGTGGCTTCTGAACTGGCGAGGTAAGCTTTTCATCCTTGCAATGCGGTATAGGATCCCTTGAATGGCCACCGCCCCAGATTGTTTCATGTTTGCTGATTGGTATAGCGTAGTTAGTGCTCTGACCCACATTAAAGGTCCAAAGCGAAAGTATCTTTAACCGACAAAGGATGTGGTGTTGTTAGTGCATTAGCATCGTAGCGATTGTTCGCAGGCGACTTGGCGAACAGGGCTAATGCATGTGAGTGGTTGCCTTACCGAGAAGAACAAATGATGTGTCTTGACGGTTGAATGGCTTCCCTGGATCCTGTGGGATTGGCTGTATGCTGGCGGATTCAGCACCAGCCAGGAATTGGCGGTTCTCCCTGTGATTCATCCAGTATCTTGAAGTTCCTGGAATTTATGTGTACTTAGTGCCCACTCCTGGATTTGCGTTCGGGTAGCTGTTGGTCTGGACCTCTGGCTCTGGAGGCTACCATACTGCAGCCGTTAGCAGGACAATAACTACAGTGACGGCCCTGCTTGTGCACACGACGAACCTTCAATGCTGCAGGCCCTGTTTTTCAAGGTTCTGGGGCCGCTTTATCCTCGAATCCCTTTCCCTCATGTCTTGCGGCCGCAGCCCTGCGTTTGCATTGAGGTAGCGAGGCGACCAGGCAGTCGCTGACTCGAGCGAGGCAGCTGAATCTCACTTAGCGCTGCGTGTAGGCAGCCCCGAGCCATCAGCCTCGAGCAGGCAACTGGACCATTTCCAAGTTCGCAATACGAGGTCCCCGAAGGCGACCGCACCCCAGGAGAATCAAAGCGACGGAGTAGTCATTCCGGAAAATGTCCAGCAAACTATAGTGGAGCGCTCGAACCGGGGAGATCTGAGCATTATTTCCTTGGACTGGTTCACACGATGCCAAGGTGGAGTGGGAATGTATCGAGCGGGCTTGAAATCAAACGCCAATGAGTGCCAAAGAATTGTCCACTGAGGAGGAGCATCGGAAAAGAAGGATCTGGAGAGGTGGAGTGGAGGAGGTAGGGGGAGGAAAGAAGGAAGGGGGTGAATCAAGTGACCGGCACCCCATCACAACACAAGCAATTTGACCCCGTCCATTGCACCTCCGCCATAAAGCATCCCACGGTTTCAGGCATCGCCATAACTAAGCGTCTGGCTGTGCTTTCGACCACATAAGCTATGTGCGCGGGGTGAAGTGTGAAAGGGAAGCAGAGAGGCTCAGACTCCGGTTGGGGCGTTCCCATCATGACGGTTGGAGTACACCGGAACCAGACTTCGTCGACCAGACAACAGTTACCTCGAACTCCCATTCACCTTACGTGGGGCTCTCCGGCTGAGCCTGTCTGGTCACAGATCTCTTCAGCATGATGGCTGTGATATTAAACTTGGAATTCGATACCAAGGCACATTTTACAGCCCGAACCAGAACATCATTCGATCAGATAGACTCCTCGGAGATGCACTGCACGGCTACCGAAACAAAGAAAAACCTGAATTGGGGCCAAGTGCCATCTGGACAAATAGGCGAAAATAAAAGAGAGAGCAAGATAGAGAAGAGAAAATAGAAGGCAGAAAGCAAATTAGCAACTATTCCGAGTGAATTACGCTATTGCCTCCAATCCCCTCTTGGATGCTGATCCTCAAGCATATGGCAGCTCTACAAATCTTCATGCAATCAGATAACTCGCTCAGATGAAGGCAGAACTAGTGCATTGGGCGTAAGGGAGCAGGGATGACCTGGCGTCCAGACCGACAAGCTTCGTGGTGCCTGTACCTCTGTGGCACTCACCAAGACAAAGGATCCTAGTACTCTCGAATCTTGCATTGGCTTCTAGGCAAAGGCAAGTCAGCCCCGTGTTAACACAATACTGCTATTTACCTGGTAAATGCCAGAGCATAACAGACTGTGTCTCTGGTGTATATGGATCGTACTGTCTATGTTCGTCCACGGAGAAAGCATTGCAATCACTAAAATATTCTACTTTGGGTGCTTGAGGCGATCTTTTCAAGTCCCATATCTACGAATCTCTATCGTGGATACTACTCCGTTCCTCGACTAGATAATTGGTTCACATTGTGCCATCTCGGCTGGATAAGAGTATACCAAGCCTAAAGCGTATTTACAATGCTCTACACCCGGCAGGTTAGGCATTTTACAAGCTAAGAAAGGGTCGTGGCTGCATGCCTCGAGCCACAAGACCTCTGCGTACCAATGAAGCCCAGATATGATAATAACAACCTCCCTCATGGTGACAAGTCCGGGCTTGGGTCCACATCAACATAATATCTCGTCGCACCACTACCGATTGGAGTGACACGATTGCTGGAGCAGTGTGTCGGTCTGTCATTGAAAAGATTCACACTTAGGATGGAATTTAGACCGAACCGCAGATTCGAAGGTCCTGCTTCTATGCAATGTTGGCTTGCGCCATGGATAGGTCCAACGAAGACCGCAACCAGCTGCCCATGAAAGCGATCCCAGGCAATAATATGTCCCGTCTGTTCCCAGTTAGTGGCATCTTGCGAGTTTCGCCCTTGAGGCATCGTTGGCCTTGCGACTAAGTATCCAAGCTGCATCAAATGCAGGGATCGCTTGCCGGCATGATATTGACCGCTAGGATCAGGGCTAACGCGAAGTAAACCTAGTGTAGAGGGTGTCCGAGGCTTGGAAAAGTCGGTTCTAATAGACGAAAGAGAATCCGGAAAGTCAAGTGGGGCATTCTGGGAACACCAAGCATACTCCATATTTGTATCAGCATCAGCAATGACCAGACTAGACACCAGCCTCCCGTCATGCTCATTGAGAGAATCGGCAATCTGACCAAGGTCAGCTTTCGATTTTGAACATCCAAAGGAATGAATTTGTGTGAGAAGCCGCTCAACGCTATCATAGCCAGTGCTATCCCCATCGATGGTCAACAATGGTTGCTCGCTAGCAACCGTGAGGGGTTCAGAAGCACTTGAATGAAGTAGCAAGTTGGATTGCCAGCGGATGCCCAGTCGATTCTCCATGTCTGTGAGAAGTCGATTCAGAATCTCAGTATGTTCTACCTCGCCGATTAGGGAAGCTTGCAGTTTATCAGCGGGGAGAGCGTAGCAAAGTGACTTGGCCGTTGAGAAGAATGGTAAAGTATTATTAGCGCGCTCCGATATCTGTTTCAAGAATGCAATAGCTCGTTGCGTATCGCCGGCGTCAACCAAGGCCTCCACGCACGTATAGGCAGCTTGAAACTGATTTTTGTGTGATTCAGGCGACAGATCCTCTATGAGTTTAGCCCATAGAGCTTCCTGTAGTGCCTTGCTGTTCAATTTGACGAGCAAGGTGAAATAAGAGCCAGACCATGAGTTCCGATGGTCAGGCCCTGCCCAATATAAAATGTCATGCAAGCGATTGTTGCTCGGTTGGGCACCTCCAGTCACTAGGCCAGTCATCGCACCCATGTCCCGAGTTTCTTCGCAGAATGCAAGATACCTTGAGGCATCAAGGAGAGCGTGAGCTAGGAGTCTGCTCTCGTTCGGACCTAAGCGTTGCGAACCACAGGCTAGATAGCCTTCCAAGTAGCGCTTGAGAGCCGGAACTGAGAATGCGAGTGCTGCATAGTACATGCCCAGTACATACAGACGCTGCGAGCAATGCCCATTGATCCTCTCTACCCGCGTAATAATCCCATGAATAGCGGAGAGAACCTCTCGGAATTGATTGTGCCGTTCGCAGAGTGCTAACGCTTTCGATAGAGGAACGCATTGCCGGGACTGCAGAAGTCTGCATCCTTCCTTGTTTATCACATTACTTTCAATGAAGTCCTGCAGATCAGGAAGACTTCTTATTTGACTGGTATCGAGGCGCGAGGCCTTGGGAGCGTGTCTTTCAGGGTCTGGCCAGAGAGTGGCCAAAAGTGGCGAAGGAAGGGAGAATGTCGGCCACTTATCCTGTAGGATTTGAGATAAATGCGATTCCAAGATTGAATCAGATAAATCATGCTCAGGCCGTTTCAGCGTAGCAGTCAGGGCAAACCGAAGTGTTTGGGACGGAGTGGCCTCAGGATATGGAGACCTCTGCTTAGCGCAAAGGTCAACGTGGCGACGGAGCGTTATGTGGCATGAAACTGATCTCTTGTCCAGTCTGCGCCTAGATACAAGCAAGTGGCTATGATTCCGTGGCTTTAGCATGGAGATGAAATAGAATGGTTGAGACTAGAGGTCGATCAACCAGAGTATATTGTATGGTATGACATGCCTTCTGTGGGGGTGAGTGGGCGGGCGGGTCGGGGGAGGAGATAAGGATAATCGGACAATCAGGGGAAAGTCAAAAGGCGGTCGGAAGGGCGGCGAGTCGTGCAAATCCGAGCCAGAGTTGACCTCAGCCTCAACCTTTCTTTCAACATCCACGCTGGTAACACGAACCCCAACCTTGACTTCTTTCATTACCCAGCGCTCTATCATCACGTTACTTTAAAACCTACCATTGATTTCTAACATCATCGCGACCCGATTCTGTGCATACTTCCGCGAAATGCCCACCGAACACGACATCGAACAGCCTACGGCAAGCAATCCTGACTCTGAGCAGGAGCAGCCTGCCAAACAGCCAGGCGATGCCTCCCAGGAGCCTACCGCTACTGTTGCCGTCGAGGACGTCTCGAAGAAAGTAGATAAAAGAGAGGATGATGCTGCTTTGAAGGCCCGCCAGCGCAAAGAGAGATTCAAAGCTCTCCAGGCTCGCGCGGTAAGTACTCGACAATTCGCCTTGTCTGAAATGCGCGTTTTTACTAATATTCCTTCCAGAAAACGGCTACAGAGCGCAACATGAAGGAAACTGCCGCCGAAACACAACGTCTGGCGACCGACCCGGCATTACTTTCATCGATCTCGCGCAAGCATGCCTTCGCATCGCATAACCTGCTAAAAGCTGATACAGAGGCCGCGGGCGAGGATTTTGAGCGCAAGCGCGCTTGGGACTGGACTGTGGATGAGTCGGAAAAATGGGACAAGCGGATGGAAAAGAAACAACGCCATCGCGATGACGTTGCCTTCCAGGACTATACACAAGATGCGCGCAAAGTATACAAGAGACAGCTGCGGGAGTTGCAACCTGACTTGGAAGTTTATGAGCGAGATAAGATGGCAGCCATCGAAAAAGCCGCCGCCAACGGGGACCTCGAAATTGTGGAAACCAACGACGGCGAAATGATCGCGGTTGATAAGAACGGCACCTTCTATTCCACGGCAGATACTGTTGGGTTCACGGAAAACAGGCCTGACCGGGCAGCTGTTGATAAGCTGGTCGCGGACTTGAGAAAGGCTGAGGAGGTTCGACTCAAGAAGCGGAGAGACCGCCGCGGAGATGATGATGGTGACGTCACCTACATCAATGAGAAGAACAAACAGTTCAACCAGAAACTGGCTCGCTTCTATAACAAGGTATGTGCCGTCAACCTTTTGTTCTGGTGTCATGTCTAATTGTGCAACAGTATACTACCGAGATTCGCGACAGCTTTGAGCGTGGAACTATGATTTGAACGGATCCGATGATTTTCACCCACCAAATGCCCATCCTCGGAATATTCGAACATTGGCTCACTTTCGAGTGACTCTACACCTCCCGGTCCTTACATGCGGTCTCCTTTGCTGGGACCTAACTTTCCGAGCAATGCGATCAAGCTTGAAATAGCCTAGTCGCTTTATAGCCAAGCTCCTGACTCATTGAGCTTAGAACCACGATGCCAATCACGTTGAGCTCCATTTACAGAGAGCAAGAGCGCCCTTTACTTCTAAGGTTGGCAGAGATCGTGGGGCAAGATTAATCTAGGGGTATCGATTGGTAGCCTTCCCTGTACAAATACACTATACCAGCATCATGTCATTGCTTCCGCTCCACCTTGAAGCAGTGTCGCTCTGCAGCTCTTCCAAGAGATGCCTCATGCTAGGATATCCAAACTCGTCTTGAACACAGCCAAGAGTCAGCCATTTAAGCAGTGGTTGAACGGTCCATCCCTCAATGTTGCGAAGGGCTTGTTGCACACCGGGGCTCTATATCATCCTGTGACATTCTTCAGCATCAAGTTAAGGAAATAAAAGTATAGACATACTGTGCGATTCAAACAGTGCTCAAAGCATGCTTTTTCTCCAAGCCTTCGTGGCTAGGGCTTCAATTTTTTGTACCCCCAATGCTCCGCGAACAGACTCATCTTCGAGGGCCTCTGCCACGGCCTCGCCTACGTCGTCCACCTTGAGTGGCTTAGTTACCATAGAGCCGAGGAAATCAAGCTTATTTCCCAGCAGAGCATTGACTTGAGATCCGACAAAGCCACCGAGTGCAATCGGCAGGGTGAACTTTCTACTCTCATCGTACATAAAGGGTGCCTGCACGAACACATTTCGAAGTTCCGGTAGCTGCGCCGCTATGATTGCTTCCGCCTCTCTCTTAGTTGTGATGTACCGACTGGGAAGGACCGGTGCTCCTGACGCAGCAGAAATGTAGACAAAGGTAGGAACCCGCTCGTGGTGTGTCGCTTGGGCGAGGGCGATAGCTAAAGATCATGACCCCAACTGTCAGCATCCAGGCCAAATTTTCCCTGAGTAGAACCTAAATCCCTCGTCCGAGCACTGCATACTCACCGGAATCCCTGTTCATCAGCTCGTATGTAAACTGCCCGCTGCGGTCCCGGACCTCAAGTGGCTCGCCCTCTCTTCTCTCCCGAAGATCCTGACTGCCAGGCCTCGAGGCGCTGAAGGCTCTTTGTAAGCCACTAAGAATCGGCTCCCTTCCCTGCACCACATCTTTGTAATCCGCCTCGAGTAGGATGCCCATGCTGTGGACCACGGCCGTGGCTCCATTCAGGAAAGCCTTGTATGTCTCGGGTTTGAGGATGTCGGCTTTGGCCCATTCGACGGAGCTCGCCCAGCTCGGGCGACTGACCGAGTCTGTAACGGTCTCCCACCGCGGTTCGCCCGAACGACTATGCCGTGACGATCAGTATGGTTGCGCAAGGCCTAACGACAATTATCCGGCCATCAATGGAATAATATACCTGAGTGAAGTGACCGACCAGCCCCTAGCGACGGCAGACTTGCAGATCCTTGAACCTATTGAAGGGGATAGACTTCATCAGTCTCGTTTCCTTGCGTGCGCGACGTGCGGAGTATACTTACCCAGGAAACCACTACCACCCGCGACAACGACCCGTTTAGCAGCCATTTTGCTAATTATATAATCTAATCACACAGTCCGAGCGTAAGGTATGGTGTCAATAGAGGAATATGAAGAGCAACGAGTGAACATCAAGGTAACATGGTCGAATGGGAATTCGAAAAAGAGAGCTTGATCGCCGGAGCAAGAAGAATAGCTGCGGAGCTTCCGAGGAATTCCTTATCGTATCACCACCCACGGCTGTCACGTGCCACTGCGGGCGAAAGTCGCGACAGGGACAAGATCACTTTGCATCCTACATGCGCCCATTTGCAATTCAATTCCAACACATTTGTCCTCCGACACGACTACGCTTACAAAGAAACCTTCTCAGGCTTAAACATGCCTTCTGCAACGGGTACAAAGCGCGTGAGGGTGAGCGTTAATTCTACTCCCTTATTTGCGTCAGAGGAAGGCACAGGACCAGGCAGCTGACAAGATGAATCTGAAGGGTGTCTCTGTGTTTCGCCCTTTCGGTACGCCAACATCACTTTACTCCCATCACTCTCTATTCTGTACTAACGCTCGAGTACCCGTAGTCTTCGGCAGCGAAGCCCAACCTTTCGATCCCGCGAAGAAACCCCCCCACGTACCCGCCGACCACACGCATCAATGGCGCGTCTTCGTCAAAGGCGTCAATGGCGAAGACATCTCCTACTGGCTGAAAAAGGTCCAGTTTAAGCTGCATGAGACGTACGCGCAGAATGTCCGGACGATCGAACAGCCCCCCTTCGAGGTGACGGAGACCGGGTGGGGTGAATTTGAGATCCAGATCAAGCTCTATTTCGTGCCGGAATCCAACGAGAAGCCCCAGACGCTGTGGCACAGCCTGAAGCTGCATCCCTACGGCGACGATGCGGAGGGTAAGAAGGAACGCCGGGAGATGGTGACGAGCCAGAATTACGAGGAGGTGGTCTTCAACGAGCCGGTGGAGCAGTTCTACGAGCTCCTGACCGGAGGCCCCGCGACGGGGGCCACGCAGCCGCAGAAGGGGAAGGGCGGCAAGAACACCAAGCAGACCCAGCAGCAGAAAAACGGCCGGACGGCGGAGATCCCGCTCAACAAAACTCCGGGCAACGAATACAGCAAAGCGGGGGAGGCCAGTGAGATGGACCGCCTGGCGGAGGCCAACAAGACGGTGGAACAGATGATCAAGCAGGAGAAGGAGAGGCTCATCGAGCGCGAGAAGAGACTCGCCGAGTTACGCGCGAGCGAGGGCGTGCCAGCCATTACCAAGAAACGCTAGTTGGGGCCTCGGAAGTTAGATCCTCATGGCATCATGTCCCATGGATCGCTTTTGACTATCGGCCAAGTGCTGGCCTCCTGATTACCCAGCCACCCCAAATGCTAGCATCTATGGCCGTCACCACAAGATACAACTTCTCACCAGCATACGCCAGATGCAGAAAAGGCAGGTGCCGCGCCAAGTTAACGACCAGGTTCAAGCTCCTTCTGGTATGGGAAATCAAAGAATACCTTCAATGAAGACTCGGTTTGCGCTATGTCTATCTAAAGCCTCCGAGAGACTGACGTTCCTGTCGGGCCTGCGTGCATACCTGCAGCCCAACGATAGGTACTGAGCAACTCTTCCGCCCACGTCCGCGTTCTCACCGTGGACTCTGCCAAAAAGCAGACAACGCAGTCTAAGACTGGCATTGAAAGCCCGGAGGGCAATCAACCTTACTTCTTGGTATCACCATGGTGCTAAGCAGCCTATAGAGGCGTACGAGATGCCAGCCCCCGAGTTTCTGTGGGACAATCAAAGAATCTGATTTTCGCAAGAAAAAATGATAGTGGGATATTCATCAAGCCGTCTTCTTCCTTATAGCCTGTTCACCAGAAATGTACCTGCACCCACATAGGAATAGCTTGAGGCGTTCCACGTGCTCACCCTCTCCTCATCCAGGTCAAGCTTTCAGTTGTCATTGACTGAATCTCACTGTGACCCCAGCCATTGTAATAACCGCGTTTGAAATTAATGAGCTATTATCTGATTCGATCGAGGCAGCATCGAGCCTTCTCCGTTGCCCAAGGGGCCGTTAACGTAATTTTCTTCCCAAGGCAGGCCTCTCTCCCCTTGCCGCGACATGCTCTTGTAGAATAGAGGAACGGGAATGACCCTGTGCACTGCCACTTCCAATTGTCTTTTCCGTGGGCCGGAGAATATTCTAAATCAAGAGTATCCGAAGTCGAATCAATCAAGACGACGGAGTGGACGACGGTAGAGCTGATAATATCATTTGCATGGAGGGACAGCCAAGATACTTGACCACATTGGCAGCGAAGACGTCGAAGTCAGTGGTTTACTTGGTCCTCAACCTGCTCGCAACGACTCAAGTGTTGCTTGCTTGATGGAGAATCAAAAAGCAGCTTATGTGAAGTCGAGGTCGGGCATGGTGTGTAGGAGCAGCGGTTCGCTGCAAGTGGGATCAATATAAGCCGAGAGAAGCCCAGGGGAGAAGAGGCCTTGGACATCCGCATCTGCTGAGCGCAAGGCACCCGGAATCCCAGGGGCAACGATCCATGCACTACTGTCGATCGTCGAAGAATTGCTCGAAGCATCATTGCGGGAGGCTGGCGGTGCACTGCCACTGGCTTGCGGATAGCGAGACTCGATCCACGCCGTGAAAGTTTCCGACGCTGCATTTCTTAGGTAATAGTGAGCCCTGTTTGCTACCGACCACTTATTCTTCAACGTCTTCAGACAGCCAAGAACAAGTATGATGCGGTTACAGTGGTGATCCGAACATTCCGGCGGATGGATTCGACTGGTAGCGAGCTGCACCATGCCGCATAGCACAAGTCCAAACACGACAAACGGACTATATCTTTGGACGCTTGGTCTCACAGACAGCAGATTCGACAGTTGCTTGGAGGCTTCTGTGGCTTTAATGTCGTGGACATGCCGGGTGAACGACGGCGAGAGACGGGATGGGATTACTGGACTGATGGGAGCCCCTGTGTCTGGCAGAGCAGGTCGCAGATTGCTTCTTGGGAGATGCAGAAGCATAGCGGCATAGTGAATTGTTGTATGTGCTTGGAAGAGCATTTCATCAATGCTGCCGTACATATCCACAATGTCCACTTTGGTTAGTGGGAGGTGATTTGTCCAGCTGACAAGCGCATTTTCCACAGCTTGCAGATGGTCCCTGTGTGTCTCGGGTAAACTGTTGAGCACGATGACACGAGCCAGAATGCACACTGCTTCAATACGATAACTGAAAGATGAATAGCGGGACTGGTCGCCCTCGCCATCATCATCGTCAGCAGTGAAAATCCGTTTGTTGAATCCAGCAAGGGTTGGCGGGGGTGGGATGCTCGAATGATTGGCATAGGCCGCTTCTTCACAAGGCAGGGCAACGTCGTATGGGACGCTGCTGCATCGCAGGATGACCTTTTTCTGCAAAGCAGCCATATATACGTCCACGGTGAAAAGCTCCCACCATGTCCTGCGCAGACTTTCTGCTTCAACGTCTCTTTCGTCGCATGATGTGGTCGCAAAATCTCGTCGATACATGCCCAGCTCCAAAGCGATGTCAACCGCAGTAGAGAACATGATCTGGGATTGCGAGCATTCTTCGCGGGCGCATAACAGTATTGAGTAAAGGAGAAGAGCCTGGACCTTGCACGGAGTCCTCTCACCGCTGGCGCTCAACTCGGCCAATGTTGATTCAGACAGCGATGCACTCGACTGCGGCAAGAAATGGCTTCCTATCAGGACAACAATTTCGTGCAAATACTTCGGATATTTGCGCTCGTCATAGAGAGGAGCGGGGACCAGGATTGGGTGCGCAGCATGAAAGTTCTCGTAATACAGGCGAACCAGCCGGGCGTCGGACTCGGTTGAATCTTGAATACCCTCCGCTAATTGGATCGGAAGGTCTTGCTGCCCCGAGGAGGAAGGTGATACCTCTGTCAAATTGACACTAGAAGCATGGTGGGGGATGATCGTGCTTGGTGTAGCTAGATGCGAAGTCATTGGCTGTTGCAGAAGACGAGGATAGTTGGGAGTTGTAGCTAGGGGCTGTTGTCGAGTCGCATCCCGAGTCTTTCGCCTTCCTCCACGCCGTGAAGGTAAGTACAGACAATTGAATCGATTCTCAAGACAGCGGGAGCATGACGGTGTCTTTGCATCGCATTTGAGGTGTTGCTTGCGACATTCCGTGCAGGCAAGTGGTGCTGGGCGGACCATATTGAGATCCGCAAAGTGAGCAATGACCTTACACAGGATCTTTTTCTCTGAAGCCACTGCGTCTAAAGAGAACACAGGGTCCTACAGAATTGTCAGAGGCCCAGTGCATTTTCGGTGAATTGAAGGAAGCGAGGCGCATTTAAAGACAGTAATGCAAAGGCCGATGCTGAGCGGCGATTGAAGGAAAGGGACACATTGCTTGAGTCTGACTCAGCAGTGTTTATGCATGCACATTTTAACTTTATCTTCTGTTGTTAACTTTCGGTTCGCTTTCAAGGTGTACTCTTTTAGGTTCCCTCGAGTGTCTTTACTACAAGTGCTAGAGTTGAAAAAAAATTTAAAAGTCTATTGATTAAGCTAGTTCGTTATTCATTACTTGCATCGCACGATAGCCCAGTCTTGATAAAATATTACGCCTGGTAGACATGACTTCTCCGCCCCGACTCCCGGTCATAGATATTGTACCCAAAGTCCGCTGCATTCGGAGGCGTATATACTATTGCCAGTTAGTCAAAGCCTGTTACATTTCGGGTGATGAGGGGGCGCATACAGTGCAGGGAAACGGCCAGTTGGTCACTGCGAGGATTCATGACCCGGTGCAGTCCAATCTGATCACAAATATAGGCCACTTCGTCGGTCCCATACGTTGTGTCTTTCTTCACCCTCAACGGGGCCTCGTGGCTCTGTTCAGGATCAGGGGTGTCATAAACTGCCTCATTCAGCTCGCCAGCGAGAATCTTCATGATGCAATGCGCATTTGCATGGTCATGGATCGGAGATCCTTTCTCTGGGTTCCAGACTAGAATCAGCTGCCACCATATGGTCAGCCAAAATACATTCAGCCCCTCGCGACTGAGACAACAACTCACCAGATTTGCCCGTCCGTTGATATTGGCTACGAGGTTGCGTGTATAGTTCTTGCTTGGGTCATTCCGTGCAAAACAAGACCAATCCGCTCGGTTGGAGGCATATTTGGACATGAATGCCATGAGGACACGGTGGTCAACTTCTTCTGTGCCAATACCCCGCGAGCTACCAAGGTACATCTTCAGATCTTGGACCAGCTGGTCAAAGGTATACTCCTCATGCCGCAGCGACGTAATGCTGTCTTTCGTGACGGGAGACGAAGTGAAGTTCGAGGCAAGCAAGGTTGAAGACATGGTTCAGCAGTCGATAGAAGTCAACGGGTCCAATTGAGAGAGTTTATCCGGTAGGATGAAGCTCCAGGCAAGTATAATTGTAACAGTCAAGAATGACACTTGTTGTGGCAATGCACCGCGACTTTTTATAAAGCTGCTTGATATAACTAATATTTGAGTCTACAACAGAACCAGTCGGCGATTGAGCAAGCTGTTCGGCGATTGATAATTCGTCCAGTGGAACCGCCGACGCGTCAGCCAATAGTGTGCTCTCTCCGCCCTGGCACGACGATAACCGATGATAACCAGAGCAAATCGACATCTCAATTCCCAGATATGAATTACGCAGTCTCTCATGGGATGCTGAATACTGATCTTCTGCCTGGTCGTCAATCTAAATTCCTCCTGGAAGCCATGACACTCTGTCACAAGTGGAGAAGAGGACACACTTCAGCTAGATCAGCAGATGAGACACCAACTGCTATGGCACCCAGTAGTGTTGTTGATCTGAAAAGAGCTTCATCTTCCACCAGTTTGATTCCCGGCGATCTGAAAAGAGGCCGTAGCCATGGCAGAGCATTTCGACACATGTTTCTACAGGCTGATAGCTATTATGCAGTAGTTTCACGAAAGCGAGTCAGTCATGTCGAGTGAGAGGAACATGATGTCGATGTTGACACTCGAGCAATAGCATCTGCATGTCAGAGCCTCTGGATGATGCAGTATGATATATCTGTCAAGGCCAGAGGATAATCCTCTATCCATAATTTGTTCTCTCGGCGTTGGCTGGTTTCACGAGGGGGAGTCCCAGCTAACCTAGTGATCAACAGCATGACGACGAGTAGATGCCCAATGCGCAAGCGAAGAGCCAGTAGATGGTTTTTGGTCATGTACTATACAGTCAGTAAAGACCAGATTTTCCAAGGGATTCTACTTGTTCCTTTTGGGTGACATGTCTATAACAAACGGCCGCGATGATGTCTCGTAAGACCAGAACAATCCCCAGCTTCGCTCCGTTTTTATGCCTTCAACACCCCTATGAGATTAGTTAGGTTTCCCTCATCCTACCAGATGTCCATATCCAGATATCCCATGTATTATACACAACAAGCATTGCACGAACGGAGACAAACGTATCATGTCTACTAAGATCCTCCTACTGCATCGCATAGGACTTGCGATTCTATTCGCATTGCCACAGCATCACCATCCCGCCCAGAAGCCCCAATGTATACGCAACACAAATCCACGTCGTGATAGCTCACTGGCCAGGAATTGCGGTGAAACCGAATCGCCATATCGCCCTCGATGATGCGATAGCAGATCGCCGACCGAGAATTGACTTCAGTCGCCGAGTATGTTGTCCCCCTTACCAGCTCTTAGCCAGGGCGGAACCCAGTGCTGCCTGTATATCCTTAAGGTTTCGGGTGATCTGTCCGGTCAAACGACCTCCTCAAGTATGAGTGCAGTACAGTAACGGTAAATGCTCGTAAGGCTCAGTGGAGGGATTCATGCCTGGAGGCAACAGGTAGTTAGGTGTAGGGGAGAACACGATGAAAAGAATTCTAGCAACTTGTTGAGTAGGGCTGCAAATAGACCTACGCATTCAATCAGTCGCAGTGTAGCTTGGTTGTGATGTTGTGGGGAGCATACAAGCCGTCATATAGTATGCTCTTACTGGGGGACAATCCAAGCTTCCTTCCACTTCCCCACACACTCAGTTTAGCCTCCATGACCCAGCCCACAATCACACCGGCCCAAATTCACTTCCCAAGTCCTCCCAGAGAAACTCCCCTCTGAGCTACGCGCACCTTTGCTCCCTAAGACTTCCTAGGACTTTTAGCGATACAGTCTATCGAAATATGTTTCTTGGCTTATCTATAGAAGCCAAGCATCAGTTCAGCTGAAAGATCGCTACCATGACACCACGTCCACATGATAATGATCAAGACTGCTTACCAAAAGATAACTACTCGTAATAACTTGTCCTCGCCCTGGGCTATCAACAAGATCCACTCTTGCTACATTATTTTGGATCAAGGGATGAATAGCGATGTGCCTCCCGTATCTGCCCGTCTCACTGACGGATGTCGCCGTGGTGGTGACCCGGAATTGCTTCCGCTTCCGCTTCCGGTCCGCCCCAGTCCAGCCCCTGGCTTGTGAAGCAGGTCAGGAGGGGGCTTTTACCAAATGACGCGACTGGAATGTTGGCCAAGATTGTCAACATACATATTCTGGATTCTGGGCCGAGAGCATGCTTTTGAATACTGTGAAATCATGCGTCGGAGATTTTTTATTTCATTCGTATTCGTGTTTCGCTATATTTTTTTTTTGGAGCAACATAGGCGCTCTCTTTCGGGTTGTGCTGTACTGTACCTTCTATGAGTTTGCACCGTAAGATAGGCGCTGATTTGTACCTTGTGTGAGGATGCTGCAGCTTATCGCGCAAGTTTTAGATGATGATGCTGTGCTGATCTGACAATGATTCATGGGTCTCCTTATTATAATTCCTCCCACCAACGCTCGAATGAAAAGGCTGGGCAAGGTTTCCCGATGGATGGTGCCAGTCGTATGTCTGCGATAGCTGCATTAAAGAGGGCGAGACTACAATCACTACGACGATGAAGGTAAGTAGTATAGAATTAGGTGTTTATTGTGGCATTCGATTATGTACATGGATGATGATGGTGATGCTGTCCTCATACCTCGAACAAGCAAGTCACACAGTATAGTCGTCACACTCAATCCGAGTAGCAAGCTGCGGCCTTGGTGGTATCTCGTGTTTGCTTCAAGAACGGAATCAGGTCAGTCCCTCCAGTACCATGAACTCCATCAGTAACTCCTTGTCCGTTCCAGCTTTCCATGCGCGTGGATGTCCTCGTCGCCAGATTGATTTGCGAGGACGTCTCACTTGGGGGCGTACCGCGCGCAGGCCCGATAATGTATCGTGTCACCATCTTGACATGCTTGTCTCGGAATCTTCCCAGTGACATCACGGCTCCGTTGTATGCATCCCGTACCGGCGAGTCAGCCTTGTGGCTCAGAGCATATGAGCGGACATTAGCTGTGCGAACCAACATCTCGAGAAAGCGGCGGTGAGGTCCTGGCATGTATTTGCGCATTTGCTAAGTCACCAGCGTTAGCACCATGACGCGGTCATCATACCTGGAGAACTGGTACATACTTCTATGAATCCGCCCTTGGAAGCAACAGGGGGCTTCACGGTAGAGTCCTTTGCTTCCCCCGTCGCATGGTGCACCACACCAAGGAATATATCGAATGTCTGGATCAAGGAGCTTTGTGCATTGCTGCCGCCACTGTGCTGACGCCATTCACCTTCGCCATCTCCCATGTTGTAATACACGCCCCTCGGAAGCCCAGCCACCGCCATGTTTTTGCTACCCGCTAGGAAGGGACGTAGTTGATGATAGAACACGGTTGGTTGACAGTGCTCATACATACGCTCCAGTAGCTCACCAAGCTCGACAAGACCTTCGGCCAGCTGGTCAAGATGTGCTTTCACCAGCACAGCGTCATCGACACTGGCGGCCTGGATGGCGTTGGTCATCAGCGGGATAAGCTGTGCTCCCTTGGCCTCCAGTGCCACCGAAAGCACGAAAAACCATTCTTCGTCTTTCGTGCCAGTGAACGAGTTGACAACCATTAGATTATCGGGGTCAGTCAGGTCGGCGTTTTCTTGTGAGATTCTGAAGTTCCAAAGGTTCAGAGCTGCGTACGTTGCACACGGGGGGAGTTCTAAATGTTTCGACACCTCGATGAAGGGCCGCGAGATACAGGGTGGTAACACCTGGACACGAGGACGCCACAATTAGCAACGGACCCCAGCATGGAAAGACGGTGGAGAGCCATAAGGAAGGGTCTCTTACTTCGCGAGGTGTATCTCCGCCCCAGATGTAGGCATGGGTAAGATAAGCAAGCACAACATATGCTCTTCTCCATTCCGGCTCAGAGGCTAGCTTGCTAGTGGTAAGAATTGGCAACTCATCTACCGACTGCCTTATCACACGCTCTTCGATACGAGAAGGCAAGTTGGCGACGATGCTTTCCCATGGGGAGTAGTAGGGGTCAGGCAGTTGTTGTAGAGGAGGACTATCAGGAAGGAAGCCATTTTGGAAGGAGAGAGCGTACTGCTCCAAACAGATGCCAGGCGTGTCCAACATGATGAAGGGTGCAAAGTAGCTTGAGGGAATCTGATACTCAGGAATGGATGGATTTCGTCAATGTGAGCAGTGCCAACAACAGGAATTATATAGTTATTCCAACAATGACTTGCGGCAGTACCGGAGCCGGAACGGGTTATAGTAGCGGTCCCTAAGGTATTGTTACACAGTATCGTACCACCATGAAGTAGATAACAATGATCTGCAGGGAGATTCAAAAGAGGTGGTGTCAATAACGTCAGTCAATTTTCAAATAAAAGTCCGAAAAATGCCATTATCAGTGAATGTTTTTTATCACCAGGAACACGGATCTGGAGGCGGAAGCGGAACGGCATCCGTGCCGGGTCAAACCCAAGGAAGGCAGTCGTTGTTTTAGTGATTGTCTTATAAATATGTGATAGTGAACCAAGGAATATCATTGTCACTAGTATGAGTTCCTCAAGTCATTCTATCTCTTTGCTACCCAGACCTTCAACCACCACCATGGCCAAGCCTGTCTTCACGGAGGAGGCTGCATCGCCCGAGTACGCAGCTCAACTCGACGCACAAGATCCTCTTGCTGCGTTCAGAGACAAATTTATCATTCCATCCAAAGCGAACATCGCTTCTAAGAAGCTTGCTAAGCCCGGTAGATATCAGAAACCACCAATCATGAGTGACCTTGATTCCTGACAGTTTGGGCAGGACTCTCCTCCGAGCCTTGCATTTATTTCTGCGGTAACTCTCTTGGTATTCAATCAAAGGCGACCGTCAACTTTGTCGAAGCACAGCTAGATACCTGGGCGTCGATTGGAGTTGGTGGCCATTTCACTGACCTCGAGGATTCCCCTCTGAAGCAATGGCAATTACTATCAGAGCAAGCTGCAGCTTCCATGAGCAAGATTGTTGGGGCCAAACCAGACGAAGTGGCAGCCATGGGAACCTTGACGACGAACCTCCACCTTCTCTTAGCCAGCTTCTACAAGCCCACTGCCACCAAGCATAAGATTATCCTGGACTGGAAGGCATTCCCCAGTGATCACGTACGCAAATGCCGTCGCTGAAAACCCCCTGTTCTGAGTTGAGACTGACTGTAGCATAGTACGCTATCGAATCTCAGATTGCCTGGCATAATCTGGACCCAAAACAGTCTATGGTACTGATCGGCCCGGAGGAAGGTGAATACGAGATCTCTACCGAGAGAATTTTGTCACTCATCGACGAAAACGCTGATAAAGCGGCTCTTCTACTCCTCCCTGGTATCCAGTACTATACCGGACAGTTCTTTGACATCAAGAAGATCACTCATTACGCGCACTCACGTAATCTCGTCGTCGGATGGGACCTAGCTCATGCTTATGGTAACCTGGAGTTGAAGCTGCATGAGTGGAATGTGGATTTTGCAGTGTGGTGCACCTACAAATATGGAAATGCGGGCCCGGGCGCGATGGGCGGACTTTTCGTGCACGAAAAGCATGGCCAAGTTGACTACGCGGAAGGAGAAGACTGTCCCAAGTTTCGTCATCGTTTGACTGGTTGGTACGGCGGTGACCGGTCAGTGAGATTCAAGATGGACAACAGTAAGTCCCACCGCACCTTCCGGGTCCATGCATCTACAAAAGAATTGTGAACTAACGATCGGCTCATAGAATTCAAGCCTATCCCTGGCGCTGGGGGCTTCCAGATCTCAAACCCCTCGGCCATCGATCTCGCAGCGCTGTGTGCCGCGCTGTCCGTCTTCGATGGCACATCCATGGCAGAACTTCGTCATAAGTCTGTTCGGTTGACTGCGTACCTTGAATATCTATTGCTCAAGGACTATGATGAGGAATCGAGACCATTCCGCATTATCACTCCGAAGAATCACGAGGCCAGAGGAGCGCAGCTCAGCTTGTTACTTAAGCCTGGCTTGCTGCAAAACGTATCTCAGAAGCTGCAGGAAGCCGGTATCATCTGCGATAAACGGGAGCCGGACGTAGTGCGTGTGGCACCCGTTCCGCTGTACAACACTTTCAGTGAGGTATGGACATTCGTCCAGATCTTTAAAAAGGCACTGGAGGTTTGATCCAAGCTAGTGGTGTGAAGGGACAAAGCCAGGCAAGATGAATGTACAGTTACCACGATTAATGTTTACAAAGTTCATGGATCCAGTTTTTCGAAAGCGCCTTGCGTTTCCCACGTCTTATAGTTCCGGTGATTCGTGATGATCTGGAAAATCCAATTTAAAACTCTCTCCATAAACAGGCAGCCGGAAACACTGTGCGTACGTTTCTCCTAGTATGCGGAAAGACATAGACAGACTTTGGCATGTAGCTAGGTTTCAGAGGTGACCGAAACCATCTCTGCCATCACCCCTCGGCAAAAAGTCTTGAGCTTGAGAGAAGAAATTCGCGGCCAAGATCGAGAATTCGTCATTCATTGGGTCGGGCGACCGAGATGAACCCATAGACCCCATTGGATCTTGTCCGCCAACGAGGAGCGAAGTAGGCAGATTGAATTGTGAGCTTGGTGATGACGCTGACGTGTTGTGAGAATTCAGGCGAAATGGTTCAGGTAAGGGAGATGTTTGAGATACTTCAGCCGCGATTGTAGGAGGCTCAGAGTACAAAGAGTCCCCGAACATGCGGCGAGCTGAGTCGGTGTCACTGTTGGAGGAGTATTCGAGGATCTCCCAGAAGCGGGACAGGTCTATGAGGAGATATTTACTCTGTGAGCCCGAGGCCGGCTGATAGGATGCAGACACAGCATCCTCCAACTTCTGTAGCCTGTCCGCCTAAACACACACCCTCTGTCAGCTCATGCACAGAGATAGCGGATGGGCGCGTCAGCTTACCAATCGTGCCATATGAGGCCATTTTTGCCCCAGCTTCTGCACAAACCTGACACACCTGTAGAAACGGTCCCGCTTGTCATCACGAATAACAGCATTCTCGGTAAAACTAAGCTGCAATTCGATTGTAGCTACCACAGCAGCGCTGTATCCCAGGAACGGGTCCGAGATCGTAAAACACCGCTCTTCGAAAAAGTTGATAAAATGTATGATCCATGTTGTGTGAGATGAAATGAGATCCGAGCTATGCTGGAGAAATATCTCAGGAATGGTACTTCGAAAGTTCCTAAGACTAAGCGAAAGGAGAAGCGGGTGATTGACCAGGCATAGTATTGTGTGATATAAGAATTGGTTCAACAGCCACGGACCCCAGTAGTCTCTTCTTGCCTGAAGCGCTTCCAGTGTCCTTTCATCTAGGCTAGCTGGCTTGAACCTGTGAACGTAGGGCATCTGAGTCTCAAGGTCCATTTGAGCAGCCAGGATCTCCGAGTACTCTGATTCGGACGACCAAGGAGGCAATTTCCCGGGCTTCCCATGACGGCGGACATACTTGGCAGTTTTTGCGAAAACACCACTGAGCATTATCATGTACGCGAGGATACCCTGATCATGCATTCCTGATGACCGAGTCTCATCGGCCGCATCAATTAGAGAATTCGGCGGTGGAGGCCTCTTCGGACTCTCGGGGAAAGGAGGGAAGTTTTCCTCCGGAGAATCCAAGTTCTCAACGTCAACACCATGAATACGTTTCAGCAGATAAATGCTCCAGAAGCAGCGCCTACGTTCTTCACGTGTTAAGGAGAAATGTGACGAAGGCGATTCCGAGCCCAGATTGGCACACTGTGCCAGGTTCATTGCCAGACTACAATGAATACTTGAGCGATGTGTGTTTCCGTCTGTTTCAGTTAATTAAAAGAATGCCAGGCATAGATGTACCACCTACTGGTAAAGTCAACAAGGCTTAGTAGGCACAAGCTTTGGAGTGTGGAAAGTTCAACTGGTCCTTCCGAAACCCTTTTCATGACCAGACCTCTAGCCACTTCCGTATAGCCATTAATGAGAGACGGGAGTTCATCAGGACTTGACGCTTCGTCATCTGAAAACCGTACACTCAAGGCTAAGATAGCAAAGATTATCTCTGGATCACGAGTTGGCAATGTTCTCAGAAAGCTGTCCCTGTGGAACAAAGGGAGAGGCTGAGAGTCGCAGTATTGCAAGTATAACTCTGCTATTGACACTACCTTCTCCCATCTGGGTAGTGGAGTGAGTGCATTCGGTGCCGAATAATTCAAAGAAGGGGCCAGGGAAATTAGGCCGTCAGTTGCTGTGTTCTGTCGAGCGTGACCCTGTGCGTTTCGCCTAGCGAGAAATTATCAGTCACTGATGCAATAACAGTGAGAACGCGACGTCTTACTCCAGGGTGTCAAGGAACTCGCTCATCTTAACTTCCCAGATTCCCAGACGATCTTCCTATACGTGGCAAAGTTAGACACAAGCGAAATTCAGGGCAACCTTTGGCCGAATTACCAATATCTGTGAGATTCTGGCCTCCGAGGTGGGAACGCCAGAGATTGATTCTCCTGAATGATTAAGACCATTGGCCAATGGCCTTCGGTGCTCTCCAGCATAGGTGCATGTTTGATTCAACCGCGCACAAAGAGAGCAAGCTGGCTGCTCGCCAGGGCATTTTGCCTTTTTCCGCCTGGAAATAATCAATCATTAATGTGTCATATAGCGCGATGCTGGGCAATCAGTTCGGCTTACCTGCACGGCTCACAAGCTTGCCGCACTCGCTTAGCGGGCCGCTCAGGAGTAGCGGACTCCAAATCCATATCAGCGTAGTATCTATGTCAGGTATTTTCCACGAGTCTCGATCTTGAGATGTGTTCTGTGTTAACAACAGCCCTCGAAGTGCGCAGCAGCCTAACGCAAGAAGATTAGTTCCCTACGGCAGCCTCCTGATGGTTGTGGATATCAGGAACAAGGCACATTTTACATAGGTCGGGTAACTGTATTGACCGTCATTGCAATGGCGATAAATAAAGCTTGATAAGTTCGAATGCCACAAGGTCGTAGTCAAGGAACAATATCAACAACAGTGAGGTATACCAGTAAGTGCTTGCTTGCATGTGGAGGGGATAAATAACTAGTTAAACCGCGCTGGGATGACTAATCAACGGCCTATGAACCCACTCGATAAGGCTATATCAATAACCAGATATATAGATAACGATGACTGAATACAATGATGTAGATAATAGAAAAGTTATAACACGCCTAAAGGATTCAGCTGAAGGCTGAGGTGTGCATTAACGTTGATGATACGAGAGGTAGGTTGTTATGCTAATTCTAACCAATCACGACGCGTTCATTTAACGTATTCTCCATCCTAATTGCCATATGGCATGATGAGAGAGATTTTTCGATCAGGACATGGCACTCAGACTCACAGTCAGAAAGTAGGCCAATTTCCGGTGGTGTAAGGTGCTGGTATGGAAATCTGCTTGTTGCCGCAAGCAGTAGTCCTATACTAATAACATGATGCGTTCTCATCGTTGGGTGATAAAGAACCTAGGTGCTCCGCGTGTCCTGTACTCGTATCGAGACTCCGGAAGTCGCACGGAACAATTATTATAGTGTGGATTTTCAAGCCGAAACAGGAAAGTCGAGGAAAGATTTCACACATTGACGCCCTAGCTTAACTTATGTACAACGTCGATAATCCCAGTCTTCCTCTCAGATGAACCGTTACAAAAACCCAGACATACCGCCAATTGGTGTCAAGGAATATCAATCGCAAGACGCTGCGGGATCATACTTGGCAAAGTATTAGGCGTTTACTCCTTACCGAACCAGGTCTTGTGGCCCTGTTGTCAAGGTTAGCAACTGGCTCTTCAGGCAAAGAACGCAGTCAAGTGTAGCGTAGATGTGGGCAGCACTTACGAAGACCATGCGACCCATGGCATAGGTGGTAGCTGAAGAGACGTTAGTATGGACAACTCGATAGCGCGAGAATGAGTATTGCTCACCAATGCCGAGACCATAGACGGAGATGAGGTAAGGATACATGATGTAGTTGCTGCGCTCGGTCTGTGGGCAAACAGACAATGATGGTTAGACCTTCCATGCTACCATATAATCATTCCAACCCAACAGACCTTATACCACTGGCGCTTGCCGTCGTGCTTCTGGAAGAGACGCTGGTAATACGGGACACGGTTCTCACGGAACACAAATCTATGGAGATATTCGACATATGTCAGTTATGTGGAAGTCAATTGGGACATAAGCAGTGGTCGGAGCCCGGTCAACAGTGCGCTGCCCGAGCTGACGAACGAGTTATGAATCGGGAGCGCAGAGACCGTGCAAGGGGATGAAAAACAAGAAAGAGTAGTAGAGGCTTACCCAGCCATACGAGGAGCGGTGCGGAACATTTTGGCGGTTATGCGAATGCGACAAGAACGAGATTTTCTAGAGAATGAAGACGAGAATGGCAGCTAGAAGATTGGCAGTAACAATGATCAGTCGATGTCGTGAAGTGTGGACCCGAGCATGTCCTGGTCACGTGGCTACCCTCACACTTCCGCCTTAGGATGCAAGGCTTAATAACTTCACGTGATGACGCAGTACCAGAGCTAACTCAACTAGGTTTGGCTCAACAGATTGGTCTCCCCCAGAAAAGTAGTTTCCGCGGAATCCAAGTGCGCAGCAGTTGAGCTCAATCACCATCGATTCACATGTGCAAGAGATTTTCCGTGCTTTCAGGGAGGGAATGAGGAGGATGGTCAGATCTATCGTTCTCCTCTCTCCTCTTTCGTCTCAAGACTCATGCGCCCGGCTCTTCTTCGATTACTGAAGAGACCGTCAGCTCTTTCGGTTCTCGACTCCCTGATCTCAGCACCGGCCGGGGTTGAACAATTGGAGCTTAGACGCGATCAGAGATGTCTGCGATGTCTATCCAGGAGTACCCGACAAGAAAACTACGTATCCTCCGTCAACTCAGAACAGACAGCATGCAGCGAATCTCCCTCTCCCTCAACAAGGCGAAAATTGAGCTTCCAGGTCTACAAGATCAAAGCACCAAAGGCGCAAGCAGAGGATAGTGTTGAAAACAGTGAAAGCTCTCTCGTCAAGCAGAGGTACCTATCGCGATTCCGAATACAAACAGAGAAGCTGGAATTCGAGTCGGATATTGGACATGTACGCGACATTGGGACTCGTCTGGTGGATAACCCACTCCACCGAAATAATTTCAGTCTCTGGGCTGAGCTATTACGCTACCGTCAACGGCACTATGGAGAGCAAGGAACAATGGTCATTTGGGAGGCTCTGACTGATCGCGTGGACGATGTGCAACTCCCAGTGGACGGGGACTTGGCCGACTTTCTCTGGCAGAGCTTTGTCGACCTCGGTTTCCAGCGAGACATTGTGATGGCTGAGGTGGCTGAATACGCGCGAGAGCTTTGGAGTAAGACTGGGAACCGGTGGCCCAAGCTCTACGAGAAAATTGTCGGCGGCTTCATCGAACGCGGCCTGTTTGATCGGGCTGAGGAATGGCATCGAAAACTTCAGGATCCACATCTAGCAAGTCCGAATGACGTTCTACATGTTCTGAGACCGGACGTCTCTGCTCGTCGCTCCAACAGTACTGTTGTGGGTATAAACAAAGCTAAAGACCAGGGCCAAGGCTTCCTACCAAGCCTAGTGGCATTTCGCAATATCTGTCGGTCGATACAAGGTCACCAGATCTATGTTCCCGCCATGTCTGCACTCCTTCAAAATGATCTTCCTGCTCAAGAGCTGGTGCTCATGCATCTATTCTTAGTGGGTAAGGGCGATCAACCCCATTCCTACCAAGACATAGAGCCATTGATCCACGCCGCGGAAAAGCGTGGCCTACAATCATTCCGGCAGAAGCTCCGAGCTTATGTCGACCGTCAATTCCCTAGTGAGGTTGAAGACAGTCAATTCAAAGACTCTAAAATTGAGAATTCTGAGCATAGACCGCAGGCGAGCCCTAGCGAAAGACAGTCCTTGCATGACGAAAAGCCCATCAAGGACGACCTTGGCGCGCGCTTATTCGCTACGGACGCTTTGAAGTTTGAACTCATTCTTTCTGGCTTCAAGATGTTTGGTGCTACTTCTATTGGACCACAATCCTTACGGGAAATGGCAGTGAGAGCGCATGGCAGCCGCGATCTACTGGAAAGGCTTCGACTTCTGCAGGAAGCAGGTATTTCCATCGGGGACTCGATCTTCTCTCGCCTTGTCCGCAAGCTAGCCACAGAAAATCGTGGTATCGTTCTGACAGATCTACTTCGAAGTGATCAGCATCCCGACATGCTGGAGGATATGCGTGTTCAGGAATCTCTTTTGTTGTCTCACTACCTTAGCCAGGACTGGCGTCACTACAACCTGACCCTAGCCATCCTCAGCGAAATAGCCGACGAAGGACCAAACATGTTCAACATCCATTTTCGAAAACATCTGAGAGCGGGCGAGTGGGAATTGGCATCAAAGGTAGTCGATGAACTAGCTTTGCGCGGAGAGCCCCTCACGAAGACAAGCATCGACTTACTGATCAGTCATGTTCTGACCCCACGACGGCCTGGGTCTGGACCGATACGAGCTCCTGACCGGCCACCGCAAATCGAAGTGGCGTTCGTCTTCCGTGTTCTACAACGCACGGTTCCATCAGGGTCAACTGTATCTGCCAGACTCTGGATTGAGTTGATCAAACGACTGGGCCAGACAGACTCCTGGGTTGAGCTTCGGAAGTGTTGTCTTTGGCTGGCCCGTCATTATTCTTTCACCGGGCCGCAGAAGGATACACCTTTGGACATCATATCAGGATCAAGCGCGGCACCACATAGTCGGACCTCTCCAGCTTCAGGGCACAATGCTGACATGCTCCGCACAATATTCAGTCGCCACGTCCAGGAAGCCCTCGTGCATTGGGGGTTCCGAAAGCGAGTCTCTCCGAACATGCATCGCTACCACGCGGTCAATGATTTGATTCCATGGATACGGGGCCTCGCTCTTCTGCGTGAGCTGGAGCGTAGCGGTGTTGAGCTTCAGGTAAGCTGCATCAGCCGCGCGTGTCGGCAACGGCTTGCTGTTGTCTTTGGACGAAACCGGCGGTCTAGCCGCCCCATGAACCGCATGTTGCGACGAGAAAACCCTTATACTCTTGAGAAGGTACTAGGCGATATCAGCCGCGTCTGGGGAGAGCCATCCTTGTTTGCAGGCCGAGAGCACATCGATGTGTTTCGACTAATTAATCCACCGAGTTCCAAGATGTCGTACCGCAGGACACGTAAAACCCTCTGGAGGGAGCAAAAATTGCGGGGACCGGCTTTCATTCAGAGTCGGTCATAATGTATCAACAGACAGTGTATATAGACCCCAATAGACCGAATATATCACATATCTAGCTTCTAAGGCTTGACAGAGCCTGGAACTTGGACGCCTTGAGGGGGTGGCACGTGAAGCGACCGGGGCAACGTAAAATCCCAAACAGACCCAACAAACAAAGACATGGATGGCGCGTCCGACCGGGCTGAGCCACTGTTGTGCTAAGAATAGGCGGCCACACTTCCCGTTCATTCTCCATCTTTTCATGGCTACCCATGACATCCCAACTGCTGTATGGCCTGCCTAGACCTTCTGGCCCACTGTCAATAAGCAGATCAACGCAAGATTCTACTCCGGAGTAAACTCTCTCAGTGACCGTGCTCTCGTTGACTTACATGAGTACCACATCCATCCCCCTGTCGTAGCTTGCTCATTATCCCTCTCTTTCTTTTTTTTTCTAAGCTGTCAGTCAATAAATAAATGCAAACCTCTTCTATTGTTCCGCACAGTGGGGTCATTGTTTCTTCCTGCTGCATCATTCCTATACATATCTACTCTCATCTTCAACATTGAATTGTGACCCTTCTCTGACCGTCGACATCTAATTTTGTCATCCCTACGCTCCTCCATCAATTCTATAGTTATCGTTCTATTTTCCCAGGTCATTTTGCGGCGGTTTTCCTGCATATTTGTCTCCTTACACCTAAATACCATATCGCCCGAGAGTCGCCTGCGCAACCACAATGCGAGGACTGGGAATTCTGGCCCTTGCCCCTTTGGCAGCTGCAAAAGCTTTGCATTCGCGACAGACAGCATGCAACAACTCGCCGTCCCTGTGCTCCAAATCCTACGGTGAGATTACTCATCTAGGCGCACATGATAGTCCGTTTCTCCGGGACGCATCGACAGATTACTCAACATTCGGAGATCAGTGAGTAGTTTCAGAACCACATACGCTACTCAGGCTTGGAGCTGACTGACAGTCGCGCAGATATTACAACACGACACTACAACTTGAGGCGGGCGTACGTCTCGTAACGGCGCAAGTGCACAAGTCAGATTCAGAGTGGCACTTATGTCATACCAGCTGTGACTATCTAGATGCAGGCAAGTTAAGCACATGGCTATCAGAAATCAAAACATGGCTAGACTCCAACCCAAACGATGGTATGTCGCGCATCCTCCATTGAAATCCTTGACCCAGTGACAGAGCAGGAAAGTTAATATTTCATGGCTGCATAGTGGTCACCGTCCTGCTGGTCAACTCGGACGATGCAACAGCATCGGATCTTCACTCGGAGTATGAGACGGCAGGTATTGGGAACTACACCTACACGCCTACCTCACAGACCTCCGCGCCCAGCTCCTGGCCCACTCTACAGGAGCTGATCAACGACGGTACTCGGTTGATATCATTTGTGGCATCGCTAAGCGCCTCGAGCAACACGGTGGCTCCATACCTGATGGACGAGTTCACCTACCTCTGGGAGAACCCCTACGATGTGACCTCGGCGTCGAATTTCTCTTGTACACCCGACCGTCCAACAACCGTGAAGAATGACTTGTCTGCTGCGCTTTCATCCAACCGGCTTCCCTTTATGAATCACTTTCTTTACCAGACTACTATCCTTGATATTGAGTACCCGAATGTAAGCTATGTGGGCACAACTAATGCCCCCTCCGGCGGCACGGGCAATCTCGGCGATACTGCGAAGAAGTGTAAGAGTGCTTACAATGGCCGGCAACCGACTTTCATCCTGGTGGACTTCTTCAACAAGGGACCCGCCATCTCGACGGTGGACAGTCTGAACAATGTCACCGACGCTACCGGACGCGCCAACCTCACGTCGACTACTCAAACGAGCTCCGCCTCCACGTACTCGAATGTGTTCAAGGGACTGGTGGAAACGGTTCAGAAAGCAATGGACGGAGCGAATCCCAGCATGGGGGAATGGATCTGGGCCGGCGGGGACTGGGGCAGCTTGTTGGGCGGTGGGATTGCTCTTTAAAGTCTGTCGCACGCGTTCCCTTCCCCCTGCCTTCTCATTGGGCTCTCTTTTTCATTCCCTTTCCTTGCAAATTAGCAGCATTGCAGTTCTCTCATTGACATGCATAAATGCAAGCTCGGCGCTCCTTCAATTTTTGTGATATCTGGATGATTCTCATGACGCTTCTTCGCTTTATGATGGTTCACATTTTACTGCACATAGAGACGGCGTTTTTTGTTTGATGGATCTTAACGACTTGTCAATCATTGTACTTATATATGAAATTACCTTCCTTGTCCGTTCATCCGTATCTTCCATGCCCCGACAGGTGCAGGCAATCTGTCGGTCGTAAGGCTGATTGAACTCGACCACAAAAGCCCTTACAACCGAGATGCTCACTGCTGCCCAAGCAAGGAGCGGACCTTGTTCACCTTATCCTCAAATGACTGCTCCTTATCGGTCCTGCGACAGGGAGACATGATAAATTAGCCAACACCATCCACCTTTCGATTCCCAGTTTGAAAATGCGACATCATAGGGGGAAGTCGAAGACCGAAGTAACTATAATCAGACGAGAAATAGGAGTGTGAAGAAAGAGTGTGTTCTACCTTGATCCAACCCGAATATCCGTCTGAATCCTCACAATACCCTGCTGATGCAGGATCGTATGCGCCTGCCCAATGACCTGATGAACTTTGTCCCAAGGTCCCTCTGTTTAAATTGATGCCGCAAACCCCCGTCCCGCAAAAGGAGCACAGGGAGTTGGGGATCCTCATTTAGCCAAGAACCATGAGATGATTACGTGCACGAGTCGGAAAGAGAAGAAAGCATTGGGCAAGAGAAAAATGAGATTAGAAGGGACACAGTTGCGCGACTCACCAAGGGTTGTCCCGGCGGAGTGCATGACAAATTTGAGGCCCGACTTCTCGACTAAGCGTTGGACATCGGCGATTTGGGCGGACACTGATGGGGACGAGGTGCCGATCTGCGCGGATGGGTTAGTCTCACTGAGGGGAGTTCGTTCTGCAGCTTAGTGATCGGGGGGGGGTTGGGTTCCACTCCATATGGTGTTGCAAGATAGCGTGGAATAGAATGGGTGAGTGGGTGGACGGATGGATGGGGGGTTGATGGATGGATGGATATGCATGAAGCAGTCGGGGTCATCCCGTCAAATTGAGGCATGTCATAAATGCATGGATATAAGCACTACTCGCTGGTGATACCTTGTCGATGATGACGGAAGACGGCCTGCTGATTTGGGACACAGGTACAGCAAATTGATGCGACAAAGGTAGTCTGTAGTGTACTTACAGGAATTAAACAGAAGTCCGCCGTGCAATGCGGGGGAGTTGGGATGGACGCGATGTTGTCCATTTTCAGATTGACCTGTTGGAAGGTTCACGGAAGATGCACAATTAGCTGTTGCAAGCCAAACAAATATTTCAAAAGCCTAAGCTTAACGTGGACGATGGTGAGACCTCTGGTGTTGGATGACAGGCAGCAGCAGTAGTAGTAGTTGTTGTTGTTGTTGTTTCTCTCGCGTTGCTCTTCCCTCAGCGCGGGGCCGAACAGCGGAGGGGCAATTGGGGAAGGGGGGACATCATCTCCCACGTTTTCGACTTCCCCCCGTTCCATTCATCGACATTAACATATCAACATTGACCTTGACAAGGACCATTCCCCCATTACATCCCTGACTGACTCCATCAGATATTCTCTCTTCTAGACCCGATGAGCGATTCTTAGTCCACCCGGTTCTAGCATTGTACATATATATGACGCGCATCGCCAGCCATGCACCGGTCTGTGGGTTGCCGCGAACAACTCATCAAAATCTCGTTTCCCACTCCGGAGGGAATCAATAATCATACGGTGCATCAATTAACCTGTATCTGTCCAAATTGAACACTTCTGGTCGGAGTTTACGGACCCGACTGGATAGACTAGCAATCCTTTCTTTGTGCGCCTTGACGAGTGTCTCTCTTACTTCGCCCGTCATCTTGTCATTCTCTCTGGTCTGTTCGCTCGCCATCAAAATTGAGGACCACTAGGTCTCACTACGGTGCATATCGTTGCATATGCAATGAACTATCCTGGGGCCGATACCAATGCCGAACGGGGCGATCATCCGGGAAAAAAAAGAAAGACAATCAAAAGCAAAAGTGACAAGAAGAGATCCCAATGGAGCTGCATGGAGAGTAAGGAACCGAAGCAAACAATTAGTCGAATTATTGATTGGCGAGAGCCTTTGGAGGCTTGTTGACAAGGGAAGACGTCTCGAATATGTCTCCAGGGTGAGTTGCACTTCACTTCCAGGATCAATATATGATGCCTCCAAAATCGATCCGTTGAGCTTTCAAATGAACCACGGTTCACCTCGCGTCTCTAAATCCTCGCCAACTCCTTATTTCGGTCGCTTCGTACCCCCACTGCACTATTGAGAATATATCGTGGACTATAACTAGCACTTTTCCTTCAATCTCCTTCTCTGCTCCTCTTTCTCTGAATTACTTTGACTCTGGTGGGTTTGCCTACTACTCTACTCGGGTCTGACGCAGCCTCGTTGGCCGACCGGTTCAATCGACCATTCATTCCTCCACTAGCTCAGCCCGATAGATCAACGTTAGCCGTCCCTGGAGTATATTGCTCGCAGGAGTTAGCAGAGAACTAGGCAGGTTTCGTGACATTGTCGACCAATCTATTGAATACGAATCACCTCCTGCTATCCATTTTTGACCGCCTATCGCCAGCTATTGTGCAGCAACCAAGGCAGCACGGGTTTCCTACCGACGTCCGTGTGCCCGACGCCCTGCGCTCAGCTGGGTTTACCGGTGCTGTGATAGTTCAATATCTCCTCTCCTCGAAACTAGTTGCTTCTATCACCATTGCCAAGTATTGGTGGCCGGGTCGCGCTTGGTGTCAGCAGATCCGCACTCCCTGAATTCAACCTCAAGGCTGATCAAGGAATTGCAAGCTTAGTGTTTCCGCCTAACAGGAAGTCTGACCGCCACGGTGGCTGATGCGATTCACAAGGCTCAGGTCCTAGATCTACAAAGTACTAATTAATTGCCCTTGCACTAAACGAAATCGGACTGGGGGCTTTCCATGAATATTTGGAGTGGCTCATTCCTTCACGGACGAATCAACGAGCAGAGGCTTACTTCCAGGCAAGATCACCTGAGCCTGATTTGAAGCGATCAGATCTCATTTTCAGCAGCTTATTCACCATCGCCTGCACATCAATTGGCTGGGTTTAACGAGGCTCAGTACTTACACAAGGACGTGAGAGCCTAGAGACAAGCGATTATTGCACTAGTTCATAGATCAGCTATTCCTGTCTGCCCACGTTATTTGACTTGCTGCCGGATCGAACATTCGTACAGCAGGGTTTGGGAAGGTCTCTTGCCCTTTTGAGAGATCGGCATTCTCATACATCGCAGCCTGCTCTTCTTAAACCTTAACTGCTACATATCTTCGCCTGCGCCCTACGCACTTTTTCTTGCTCGAAGGAACTACTTCGACCACGTGACTCTATACATCGGAGCTGAACATCCCCCCTTGGTCTTTCGCTATCATCTTAAAGTGCGTTGTAGGAAGTCCGAGGAACTTTTTACTTGTATGAATATGAGTTCCTGCTTGATTCATCATTTTTGACCACAGATTCCGTGAGCCCTCAACAAATGCCAAAGCCCAATATGTTGGAGCTCCCGGTAGGGGCCGAGCTCGTCTATCTTGCTGAAGGGGGCGCCAATATCATCTATCGCATCCTCTTTTCTACCCAAAATCTTGAGGGACGAAATCCTAAAGATATCCCGATAACCGTGTCTTCCAACCTGCCATCAGGCGTAACGGATCGTTATAGTATACCCGCCAGCTTCAAAGGAAAGCTGCTCCGTCTTCGGAAAGACACAAGCTCAGGAATCCCCTATGAAGAGATTGCACGAAACTTCGACCAATGCATTCGACCTCTTTTCAAACCAGAAGAGCTCGTCGATCAGGAACTTGTCTGTCTTCCCAGAGGACTAGTTCAACTATGCAATGAGCAGCTTCTAGCGGCGGAGCAAATCGGGTTGCGTCCCAGAAGACGACAAGGCGTATATCTCTCTACGACAGAGACATTCGGGCTTCTGATAACTGACATGACCACATTCGCTAGTCCTGGGACCACGTTATCCGAGTTGAAGCCTAAGTGGCTCGCCCAATCTCCGTCAGCCCCAGCTAACTCTCGACGGTGTCGGACATGCGCACTCCGCGAAATGAAGAATCACAAGGCGCGCAAAATCGGCAAGTCTGAAGAAACATCATTCTGTCCGTTGGACTTGGTGAGCGACAGATTCGAGAATGTTCTCCGAGCGGCCCGGTTCGTCAAGGGATGCAAGGATCGGGTCCGGCTGGCAAAGGTACTCTATCGGAATAGTACCCTGCAGAGACTCCTAGCACACCAGAAGAGCATGTGCGATGTGGGGCTCCATGGTCCTCCTGTCACCTCGGTCGAAAAATCGCTCGGGATGACTCTCCGTGACTGTACAATGTTTATCAGGGTGTGTTTTTCTGCTTTTCCTGGGGCTGGACTGCCACACCTACTAAGCTGATCTCGATGCAGATTCCGAAAGATGAGACCAGTCGGATCGAAGTACGCCTCGGAGACCTAGATCTCAAGACTGGGGCGGGAGGCAAGGCGAAGTATTGGCTTGATTTGGAACATCGCCTGATTGACGAGGGCTGGTACATGGGAGCGAGTAGCAGTGTATCTGAGAATGAGTGTGCACTACAAGGCCCACGCAATCACTCTCAACCGTCGATATGAGTTGGACAGCAATTGCTTGATCAAGCTTCATCCACTACGAGTCCAGGTCTACGTCGGCACCGGGCTGGGGCCCGTAGAACCCATTTTACGGGCCGATACAGCATCGGATTCATTACCTATAACTCACGATGAAACGGCCTTTAAACCCCCATCATGGCTCCTCTAAATTAGTAAAGTATCGTTCTGTTTACCAGCCTCTACAGAACTTGTCTCTCGGGGAGTAGGCCCGATGTGTCTATGTTTGATGCTGAGCATGTAATGGCGTTCTTTGCGTGTACACTAATCAATCAGGCACAACTCAGATTGTATTGTTGTTTAGTCTAATTATCCTAAGAACTACATCATCCTCTGGTCGAAATGACCACTATATGTCGCACATATTGAATAGATGCAGCTATGTTTCTCAACCTACTGGATGATCTATGACCATCTTCAAGACAAAGTAGCCACCAGGTTACCAACCCTCAATCTCCCGTGGAGAAGGATGTCATGATGTCATCCTACACCTAGGAATATTGGATGTCAACAATAATCGCTACGATTCCAAGGCCAAACCACAGACCGACGACCGATAAGCAAAAACTTATGGTTTAGAGCTTCAATCCCCACCCAACACAATCTTTTTGCCTTTTTTTTTTCTGTTTTCGCAAGATACCTCACCAGCGGAGCTGCCATCGCCAATCATCTTAGCGAGAGTTCAGTTCTTAGATCTTTGCAATCCTCTCATCCTCCGATCCCTCCCCAACCATAAATGCAAACGACCATGACAGACCTCACCCCTGACGTCACGATCTGAACTTCATCTACTGAGTCGATAGCAGCACAACCACTTTGACCACTCAGCGGTTTAAAAAGTACTCGTCACTCTCAGTCCCTCGTCCCCGAAAGTATTCCCCAGCCATCATGCCTTAATTATCTTTCCGCGTTTCTGCACACTACTCCTCACCTCATACAATTCTTCCCAGCATTTAGCGATACATACATACATATAAAGTACACCTACAGTTATACATCCATACATCTATACTCACATACATACATACATACATACATACATACATACATACATAGATCCATACATCCATGCATACACACACATGCATACACACACATGCATACACACATAAACACCTGTTCCATCAATAACCCCCGTTCAACCAAATCCACAATATGACCGGCATCGCGACGAAGATCAAGCAATCCTTCCAGCGGGCAATGAAGCCTTTCCGCTCCACCCAATGGCGGGGCTTGATGGCAGCCAAGGACAAGGAAGACGATCTCGACGCGCAGTACAACTTCCCTCCCGGACGGAGGGCCGGTCAGGGGGGGTCGAGATGACTTCATATGGAATCAAACCCAACTCAACCCAGTTGCGTGAACCCTCCTCCCGCCCAACCTGGCATGCAGTATGCTTGGCATGGAGGCAGCTGCTAACAGACCTGGCTCTTGCAGTGCATCGATAAAGTCATATACTTATTCGAGTTTTCGTCATCAAAAGTTTGAAGTCGGTTCCTGTGATAACTTATAACTGTACATTTAAAAGTTCAAACTAGATGTCTACAAGACAAAGCTACAGGTAGCTATTCCAGTACTTTCCCGTAGGGGGGCATGATTCCACCGTACATGACCCCCTCTCGTATGTCCTGGTCTGCTGGTGGGTCTGAATGCGCGCGTGCAATGTCGTTTCTCTGGGGTACTCATGTAAAAGAGTCAAGAGTTAGGAGCCAACTGAAAATCTATATCAAAAACTAGCTCTACAAACAATAAAGGGATGATGAAGGCAATTTCATCCCGAGACAGTCCAATATCCTGTTTTCTTGAAGGCGCAGCCTAACCGGCTCTAATCCTTTAAGGCTTCCTCTCAGTTCCCGACATTCCCACTGCGATATACCTTATTATGGAACCAAATACTCAACACAGCATGAAGACTAAAACATGCATTACAAAACGGAACTAAGTAATGAAATGCAGCCAAATGGGCGTCCACAAACTGCCTTGATCTGCTCGTGGCATTAACGATACCAATTATACTCCGAGTCTCCCAAGCATTCTCCCACCGGGACAGCTAAGGCCAGCACCCGTGACATTAGCATTTGCTGCAGCAAAGCAAAGCAAAGTACTAACTAGAGCTATATGTTACTTACGAATGAGCCCCCTGGCCACAATCTCATCCAGCATCGCTCGGGTCAACGTTGCCACGGTCTGCTCATGGGTGTCGTGGGCTAACACCACCGAACCCCCGGCATTCAAAGCTTCCAGGAATCTCGTGAAGCTCCTCGGGATCAAGTCTGGATGGTCGTGCTCATAGTCCTTGGTATCCACGCTTGTGCTGATTACATGGTATCCCAGGTCGCCCATCGCGGCGAGGACTTCTCCATTGATGGCAAGATAGGGCGGTCTCATGTACGTCGGAACCACGCCGAGAATGTCGTATAATGCTGCCTCCAGCCGGCGCATTTGCTCGACGACCTCGCCGTATGATAAAGCGGACAGACGAGCGTGATCGTACCTGAGTTTCACATCTGTTATTCAGTCTTTGCTTTCTCGGTATTCCTGTCTTGTTGCAATGGGGATGCTGTTGCGCAAAGGGAAAAAAGACAAGGTTTCTTGCTTACGTGTGAGAACCAATCTGGTGTCCCTCGTTCAGGGTCCGGACCAGGATGTCGTGGTGGCTGGAGAGTTGGTAGCCATTGACGAAGAAGGTGGAGCGCGCGCTGTACTCGCTGAGGAGGTCGAGAAGCTGCGGAGTATAGATGCCTGGTCCGTCATCGAAGGTGAGGGCCACGGTGCCGGGGACCGCACAATGAGTGATGACTGCTCCGTAAAGTACATCTCGTGCTGTCTCATTCGAGGCCAGGCACATTTTAAAGAGAATTGTGGTTAGAATGTAGAAGAAGAAGAAGAAGAAGAAGAAGAGAAAGGGTGACTTCGTAGTCCTAAAAATGAGCGACATAATTGAGATCAGTAAGAATGCGATGGAATTATCCAGGTGACGGGTTCACTAAACTCACCAGAGAGAAGAAGAGAGCACTTGGCTTCCTTTGAGCAGATTATCGTTCACTGTGGTTGTCGTGAGCTGCCAAAAAGTTGGGAAGGAGCTATACAAAGCTCCCCGGCCAAAGAGCGGGCCATACGAAAAAGGAAAGGCAGGCTTGCATCATGGATAATAATGGATTCCCTACGGAAGTTACTCCGACAAATATAATATATGAAATGTATAGAAGAATAGGATTGTGGGATAATCATAAAGACCTCATGGTGTTGATTATTGGTAAGTTATGAATGAGTGCTTCGTACAAAGGTATAAGTTAGTAGTTGCGGACAAATGATGTCATCCTGCATCCGAAAACAATGGACTTCAACAACGATGGCCCGCGAGCTTCATCGAGAAAATGCAACCGCAGACTTATTTGTACAGATTATTAGACATGATACCCCACCGACACGAGCTCAATCTTGTCATCCTGAATCAGCCTTACCCAATCGGCCCAGAACCCCAGAGACCATGTCATTCATTGGTAAGTTCGTACCTGAACAAATGACGCTATCCACGAGCCTATCTCCGCAATTCCGCGCGAATACGAGATCCCGTCGGAGCTCGACTCCGTAATCCTCATACTGTAAACCCGGCACAACTATAAGAACGGCACCACATTTTCAAAAAAGAGGAGAGCGCAAACTGACCCTAGCTTTCCAGTCCATCCATCGAAGACCTGTGTATATACTACACAATGGCTTTGCCCCGACACCTCCTCCGCCGCTGCACCCCCGCAGTGCGCTTCACCCTCCCCCGCACCGCGACCACCAACTCGTTGTTGACTCCAGCAACCACAATCCGACTGTCCTCGTCCTCTTCCTCTACCCCAGCTAGAAGGCCCAGCGCACAATCCCTCCTCTCTCTTGCTCAGAACCGCCGCACGATCTACCAACTGGGCCGCAACCACTCCGTCCCCGACGCCCAGATCGAGGAGCTCGTGCAGCAAGCCATCCTACACGTCCCAAGTGCCTTCAACACGCAATCCACCCGCCTGGTCGTCGTCCTGCACAGGGAGCACGAGCGGCTGTGGGACCTCGTGATCGGTGTGTTCCAGAACCTGGTCAAGACGGGCGCGGTGCCCGACCAAGTGTGGAAGAATCAAACCTTGCCCAAGCTGGAGGGGTTCAAAGCTGCGGTTGGGACGGTGAGTCCAAGTTCCTGTTCGCACCTTCTCCCGTTCCCATCCCTCGCCCTCTCTATCTGCTCTTGGTTTGGAGTGAGCTGAAGTGAGAGCGTTCCTGACTTTTTTTCTGTGAATAGGTCCTCTTCTACGAAGATCCGGCGCACATCAAGCCATTTTCCGAGAAGTTTGCGCTCTACAAAGATCAGTTTGAACCATGGGCCCAACATTCGAATGCTATGCATCAGTATTTCTGTGAGTTTCTTTTTCCTGTGTCCTCTGTTTTCCTGCTTTGACACCCCCCACCCCCTTTCTGTTCCCTGTGCGCTGCTGTTGCGGCACTAAAGGGTAGCTCGTGACTCGACGGGCCGGCCGGCTGACTTTCGGTGACTTCGTCTAGTGTGGACTGGTCTAGAGGCTCTGGGGTTCGGCGCCAACCTGCAGCACTATAATCCCCTGATCGATGCCCCGGTGGCGGAGGCGTGGAATGTGCCTAAGGAGTGGAAGCTGAGTGCACAGTTGGTGTTTGGCAGCCCCGAGGGAGCACCGGGGCCGAAAGAGCAGAAGCCTGTCGACGAGAGGTTTAAGATCTATGGAAAATTGTAAATGGTCGGGGATATCATGGTGGCGTACAACCGGAAAGGGGGACATACTGTACGGTAGGACTTGGTTCCCGTAATAGAGTAGATGGATGTAGAGTATAGAATAGATAGATATATGGGTTTAGATCCTCGAATCTACAAAGCTTAGGAATATTTCGAGGGTTAGCTAATACGAATGGTCTTATAAGTAGAACATGACTTGTGCGCTCTACGGGTATTCAGGCAGCTGTTGGTTGCGCCTAACACCCGGTCAGCAAGTCGCAACATGGTATATGGCAAAGAACCTCAACTTGACCAACAGATTAGGAGCGTGCTCTAGATATCACCGCGTTGTTACTTCCTAAATCTAGCCGCTCAAGCCTGTAAGTCCAGCCTTGATCCTTTTAGATGTCACGTCTCATACTTATAATTCCAGCCAAACCGCATGATCGGTTCAACGATGCCAAGTGGTATATTCTAACCCAAAGAACTGATGCCGCTTATAACGCCCCCGCCATGTAAATATGTTATCATGCAGAAGGAAACAAAACCGTAAAATAAAACCTCCGGCGCCCTCGCAAAGCGGAACAACAAAACCAGAAATCAGAAAAAGTCCTGCTCATCCAGCCACTGCGAGTCAATCGCGTAGGCGACCAGATCCGCAGCACAGCACATGTCTTCATGTCCGTGTTCGAGGTCGAGCAGCTCCAGCACGGCGGTCAGTCTCTTCTCGAGTGTCTGTTTCAGGTCCGAGACACTATCAGCGTGAATATGGGTCACCGTCGGCGGCGTTTGTGGTTTTAGCGTGTTCTTCTTGGATGTGGCGGTCGGTCTGAGGCCCTTGTTGGGTGAGCATGGGGCCAGGGGTTGACGGGGTGCTGGGAGCGAGGGGATTTCAGGTTTTCTGTTCTTGAGGAGGGACTGGAGGAGAAAGAGGAGCCAGACGAGGTTGGTTCGAGGGGCGTACTCGGCCCAGATACCCGTGATGTCGGGGCATTTTTCGGTCTTGAGGGGATTGCCGTGATAGAGCTGGGCGCGCATGCTGAAGGTCAAGATAGTCAACTAATCGTGAACTTGTGATGAAGACGTGCAAGTTTTTTTCGGTGCTACTCACTATCGGTATGTGTTTCTGAGCATGATCTCATCCTCATCCCGTCCGATTGCATCGAAGATTTGTTTCTTGTCGAGGTCTGACGAGGCAATCTCAAATTCCTCGGCCGCCTCGCTGAGGTGCAATTTTGCGCGAGACAAAGAATAGTCGATGATGGTCGTCTCGAGGGAGCTGAGTCCGAAGCCACTTTTGTACGACTGATCCATGATCTTCTTGTTTGTGGGTGGATCCATGCACCCCCCTGGCCGAGTACTTCGAATACAGACGTTGCCTAAATGTAGGTCGCGGTGCTATTGGATGTCAGACTCGATCATATTTGGCGGAAGATCAAAAGCTTACCTCGAACAATGCATATTCCTCCGCCCGAGCAAGCGCCATTGCCACTCCCCAGAAGATATCGTAAATCTGGAAGATAGAAGTCCAAGCGAACTTCTCCAGTTCACAGCCAGCATCATCCATTTCCACAATAGCCCACAGCTGCGAATCGGGGTAGGCTCGTTTACTGGATGGGTTCGGGTTCCAGCAGTCGTCCTTAGTCTTCTTGTAGTGGTCCCAGGCTTTCTGGAACGAATCAGGGAACCGGCCCTGAACCACATGGATTTCTCTGAAGCGAGCAAATCCAGGGATCGGATCCAGATACTTAAGCATCTTTACTTCGGACACGATCTCATCAATGCTGGTGAACTTCTTCGAGCCTGGCCCACTCTGAGCCCGCAGGGGCACAACCTTGAACACCCCGTCGCCATAGGCCTTCAGGCGCGCGAGCTTGGATCTGGACATCTCCTTCTTGCACACCTCCTCCCGTAATCGAAGCTTGTAGACCTCTCCATATGACCCCTCAGCAATCTTGACCACCTCTAACAGGTTCCCCGCCCGGCCAGCCCACGAGTCAAACTTCTGGACACTCTGCGCCGCAGCCACAGACAGCGCCTCATTCAAGATAGGGCGAACATATTCATTGGCCTTCTCATCCGTAACACAACCAGACGACACCCGGGCCACTGGCTTGTCCTTGTTCCTTCGCGATGCCCTCGTCTCAGGTTCTGCGGAAGCTTCGCACGTCTTGTTCCGTCGTCGGGTCCTCTCTGCCGGGATCTTAGGACAGATTCGGACTTCCACCATCATATCGTACCGTGGCTTCGCTATTTGGCGGGTATCTGTCTCCGGTGTGTCGGTGACTTTCAGTTGGACTTGCGTGTGTTCGTCGTTTCCCGGCTCATCTTGTGATTTCGAGGTTCGGCCGGACCGATTCCCCCCAGATGTAAACTTCACCCCCTTCTCTTCAACTGCCTGCATGACCTCATATCTGTCCTCTAAGGTCGTCTTCTTCTTCCTTTCAGCTTTCTCCTTCCTCGTCAGATCTATAAGTGTGCTCTTCTCCTCAATCGCCACCTCCGCTAGTTTCACCCGCACATCTTCCACCGCATCCTCGCCGCTCTCTTTCTCGTGCTTACTGGGTTCTAACCACTCCGGAGCCTTGGCGGGGCTTCGCTGATCGAGCACAGCCCTCGGGGCATCTGCCCTCCTCTTTCCGTACACTTTTCTCTGAGCGACGGTGCGGGTTCTGGTTGCCACTCGGGGCATCCATTGCTGTTGGTCACCGTTCGCAGCGACCGGGGAGGAAGGCGGAAACATGGCGGCTTCAGTGTGCTTCGCTGGTAGAAGGGATACTTTTCGATGATGGTCGGTGGGCTAGCTGCCCGCTAATGTGAGGGACGCTGGGGGATTATCGCTTGCGTTGTTGCGAAAAGAGACAGCTGCAGCGGTACTAGCATGCCGCGGAGGTAGCTTATTGTTCTCTTACCGCTTTAGGCTTAGCTAGTCGTTGCTGAGGAGAAGGAAAAACAGCGGATCATGTAAGCGGACCTGGCATTCATAGTCTCATACTCACTAAAGTCAGAAAAGGAGGTAAATAGGAAATGAATATAAGGGGTTACGAGCAGAGAAAGGAGAGCGGTCATCTCGAAAGTATAGATAGAGAAGAGGTTTGTTTGCAATGTGCATTTGTTCGATGATGAAATCTCTCAGTACAATACAAATATCAATGTGTCTAAAGTTCTTTGTGTGTTAATATATAAAAGAGAACTAATTACTGCATGAAATAATAAAACCGTCTATGGGCTTGATTTCAAGCTCCATTTCTAAACAAGAGCAACTACGGAGTACACCATGTTTAATGTCTAGCAAGAAAAAGGGTAGGCTGAATTGTAGGTCAAAGTGCGAATGTTGCCTACCTCAGCATGTAAGCCAGCGGGCAGGAATTAGAACCCGTCGGGCAACCTCCATACAAACCTTGAACTGGATCTGAAGCATTACGGAGTACGGTCCACGGTCCAGTCTGAAGGTTCCTCTTCGGGCACTGTAAAGTGGCGGGGCATTTTCAGCACCGTGTTTTGAGACAGTAAGGATATCAA